TGTAGGGGATGGATGTAATTAGTAAAATAAAAGTCGTATAAAACAGTCTGTTGAAAGCACAGTGTAATCTCTGTGCAACACTACACCCTGCGCGTATTCCAATTCGCTCGTTTATTTACAGTGGATCGATATTTCAAAGTGTTTATTTATCATGGAAACTCAGTGCGTTTCATCAAAGGATTATGTTATTACCAAGTCAATAGCGTCCACAAATGGGAAACCTTCACACAGAATTGCTAACGTTGTTTCATTACATATTACATAACTATTTCTTTGATGAATTCTTTACTTGAGTTTTATTTGCAGTTAATTTTATTTTTAATACTTCGTAATAACAACTATATAGTACCGAGAAGAATTGTTGGTGCGTCCGCGGGAGGAATACAAAGAGCCAACTCTTCTATAAAGAATGCTTTTGTCGAAGATAATTATAATTTTTTTATACCTTCTCGCGTGTACCTTTCTTTTGCACCTCTCTCTTTCTTTGTCACAATATCTCCAAGATTTTTTGCTCACAGTCATTAAGCAAAAAACACGAAAACAAACAACAAACTTTTTAAATAACAAAAATAAAAAGATGCTCCAACTAACAAACAAGATTTTCTGACTGATTTTTTTACCAAGTTCATTTTTACCTTCATGTGCCAAAGATACTGAAGGAGGATCCCTAACTGCAGAATAACTCTTAAGTAAATCTATATTCATTTTTCTTAAAGTTTTTTCTTCCTAAAAGCTTATTAAAAGAATTTTAGAATTGAAAATTAGAGAGAGAGAGAGAGAGAGCGAGAGAGAGAGAGAGAGAGAGAGAGAGAGAGAGAGAGAGAGACAGAGAATCTTGCGTTGAGAAGTTTTCTTTCTTTTTGAAAAATTTGTGGATTAAAAAGATATTAACTTAAGCTGTGGATGTTTAAAAAGAGCTTAAGTGAGAAAAAATTTTCGTTTTGTTCAATTTTTTAATCCACAGATATCTTCAATCATTGATAAGAGTTTGAAAAATTTAACAGAGAGCATACTAAATTGGCAGTTTTAGTACTGTAGTTGAAAATCATGTAGATGGTCGATTATATTCCCATATGATTCACGCTAAATTCGAGCAAAGTTCTAGAGCCGATTATTTCTGCGCAGCGACGGAGCTATTGCTTTTAGTTCTAACAATTTTAATAGCCGATTTCCAACTCTTTTCCAGTATCGCCTTTATTCTGTGCTAAACTATTAACGCTGTCTTGCACGTGAACGTTTAATGAATTCTGTTTTCAAATTTTGGAACCGTTGTTATAGGGAACAGCGCTTTAATTATTTAGTACTCGAGTATCACAAGTTTGGTATAGCCAACTAGATGTTTGAAAATCGTTAAGCAATATTTCTGCTTTTATGATGTTTGACATCGACATTGTGAACGTCGAATTGACGACATTTCCTACAAAAAGCTTTTCACGAGTATGCCATCGGTGTTCATGAAATTCATGGAAGGTGTAACGCGTATATCGTATAATTTTAATGAACGCAAAGCTGTATTCAATATTCGCCGATGGAGAAAAATTTAATTACCATGTTAATTAAAAGAATTCAGCGTATTGTAGGAAAAAAAGATCGCATTCGTAATATCGAGTACAAAAATAGGTAAAAGTAAAATACCACTTAAAAATTTCAAGTAAATGAACTATATTTTCTAGCTGTTTAGAAAAAAATGTATCTCTCTGCTTCCAATAAATAAGTTTTCTCATACAAGCCGTATACTTTAGTAAAATAGTACAATCAGTACAATAGACTGGTAAGAAATTAAAAATAAAATATCGAAGATATATGAATGCAAGAAAATTATCTTGGTCGAAGGTGCATGTATTTTATCTAGGAGTAAGTTTGAACCTGAAGCAACGGCTATCAATTTCTAAAGTCTACGACGTGAATTTTCAGCGGAACTCCTGACAGTCGACTAATTAAATCTCAGCGAGTAACGTACGCGTAGCTGCTGGAATTAGACCAGCAGGCAAATTCTTATGCGCCATTCACTCTTGCTACTAGCTTCTGCTGTGCAGTGCTGCATCGATTCAAGCGCGACGTTGCGTTGAGCTTTGTAATTTCCTGTTTCGCTTTCATGAATGAGCTCTATTGTAAGTTTGATAATACGGCAAATCCACGCCAATTCTTCGAAAAATAATAGTAGAGAGAGGATAACGTCGTTGAAACTTTTCTACAAAGATAACTTTAATCCGACTGTGAAAAAAATTCTCCCAGGGCGAAAAAACTCGGGAGCTTTGTGTTTGTATGGTAGAATGCAAATTGAGGCAGACGTAGTGAATAAGGAAAATGTAGACTGGAATTTCGCAGGTCAAAGTGATAACGAGAATACACCAAGTAAATACAACTGACCATGGCCGCTACGGTCTGGGCTCAATTCTTTTTATGTTTGTTTACACCTGTCCGCTTTTCTCATCTGCATTCCAAATTGAAAGTGAGCGTGGTCTTTTCTGCGTAATAACTGCGAATGGTGCGAATTGAATTTCTTTTTTCTTTCTTTTGAGGGTCCAACATTTTATTGGATTCCGCAGCTAATCATCATCGTGACACATTAAAAATTTTCCTGTATTATGGTATTTTATTAATTTACGGAAGACTATTGACGTGGACACGCGTTGATCTTGGTATATACCTTACTGCTAGCGTTGGACGTTGAAAGTTGGCCGCGCGCCGATACAGCTTTATGGCCAATAATTTAACTGGCTCGTCGCAAAAGTACGTACTTCCATTTTCACCGATTTATTATTCAATGTAGCACGGCAACCTCAACGCACATCGAATTATTCGTAGAAATTTCTTTATATTCTTAAACAATAAAACACTATGTATTTGATAATTAATTGCCCTAGGTAGCGTTATAAGCTTTTGGATGAAAAACTAACGAGTCCGAAAAAAATGTGGTCTTCAAAAGAAATATAAAAAAACTCTTTCAAGCTGGTTGGCCCACTGGTCTCTAACCCTCGAGCGTAATGAATGAAGCCGAGTCCGCGAACACTTTTTACACGCGAAGTGTATTCTACAGATAATCCAGCTCCGGAAAAAATTTTTTGCCCTTTCTCTTACAAATGGGCTATCGTGTGTCTGATGATTCACCACGTTATTTGTCGAAACATTAGTCAACCTGAATAATTGATTTGATGACCATTAGGCGAGTCGACTCTCTTTACTCCGTCCTCCCCCGGGTAATGGTATTGCCCGGGCAAAAATGGAAGATGCTATCGTCATCTCTTTTTCATTCTTGCACCTATACCGCAGTGCTAAAAATTGTAATACAATGACGTGACAACAGAGATTGCAATTTCTCATCCACCTCATTCGATATTTTTTATTTGAAAATATTTAGTTCCTGGCAATATTTTGCCTCGAGTAATATATTAACGGGGGTAACTGAATGAATTTATGACCTACATAGAACCAGCACTACGCTGCGAAAAAAATAAACGTGCTTACTGTTATTACCCGGACAAACTCGGAATAGAAGCTTGAATTCTGGAAAAAGTTTTGAAACGAAAACAGCTTCTTTTCCGTTCTTTGAAATATCGTTTTTGGTAATGGAATTGTCGAACCATATAAGGGTTGATACAATAATGCAATCAATAGTGAATTTAGCGTTGACCTACATAACTAAAAATCAATAGAGCTTGTCAAAACTTACGGAAAAATTGCTGAATAAGCACATTCCAGTTGAGTCGCTCGAGTGAAGCCCCACTCGACCAACATAACATTAAAGTAATTATGCGAAGTGCACTTGTATTAATTGCCAACGAAAACAACGAGTTAAATGGTCTTGGGAAAGTGGACTAGTGAATAAATAATGAAATGAGCAAAACAATCAGATAGCACTGTCAGTCGATTGTCCGAAATTCAGGTGTAAATTCGAATAGCACAAGGTTATCGGTTTATTAGCTCGCTAACTTGACATAATACCCCACTGTTACGCAAGAGACCCGCCAATTAAGCTATCCAACGGGTAACGTCTTTGCAAGAACGTCAAATTCAATTTCATATTCCGTCGACGTGTACTTGTATGCGTGTGCGCGCGCGCGCGCGCGCGAGAAAGTTGCAAAGTGATGAGGCGGTTTTTTCGGCAATCCATCATTTTAATTTAAAATATCAGTCGGACATATAAACTGTTTCGAAGAATCTATCATTGTTAAATAACTTGGCTAAATCAGTTTGAAGCGATAAGCGCAGAAATAATAAATAGAAATTCGCGCTGTTTGCGCGGAAAATGGCGAGTGGATAAATGAAAATCGAAAGACAGAGCGACCATTCCTCTTCGTTCACACGAATGACGGCAGCGGCGGATTCGACACTTTTATCGGTAGTGATCTTTTATTTTTCAACGTCGCACCGATGGAATTATACATCATGAGAGGGAGAGGGAGAAAGAGAGATAAAGAACTCGATTGCAAATACCAGCAGAGAGCTGGACTCTATTATCGGTCGCTCGGCACGTTGATCTCCATCACTGACATTTTTTATTTCTTCGCTCTCCATTCCATTCGTTTTAAAAATCGCCGACGGTGATATAATTGAATTCTCGTGAAAACGCAAGAACGTCGAGTTGAATAGCAACCAAGAGCGCTCTCAGTTTGTGTACTCATTCAAATGTCTGAGACGTGAAAAGCAAGCCAAGGGGCTACTATATAAGTTGGCTTTTATCTATGAAATTCAAAGCAAGTTGCGTCCAAAACTCGCGGCGCAAAATTCATATACGCAAGCTTGCGAGGAGCCCGCGCTAAAAGCGCACCAAGTTTTGCATCCGCTCGCGAAATATATTTGTGTATGTGTGCGTATGTGCGCGCGCGCGTGTGTAGGAAAAATAACGGTCGTCGTCAAGTTTTATTCAAAAACACTAATCATAGGTAGAAACAGCCAGGTACAAGTATGTCAAGTGTGAAAAAAGGGAAAACTGGTGGTGGACTGCGAATGTAGGTGTGTGAGTGAACAAAGTCGAAGAGGGAGAGAGTGGTACTCACGTTTGTGTAGCGCGTTTTGGTGTTGCGGCAGGACTGTCATTGTCGGCGAGCTGCGGGAGCCTCTCTCTCTCATTCCCGTCGCCGAGGGAGAGAGATGGATATAGACGAGTCGGCGGTGCGCTCGCGCCGAGCAGCCAACCATAGCCAGCGCGCGCCTCGCGCAGACTCCGACGGACTGAGAGCAACAGCGCCACTGTGCACGCTCCTTAGCATCTCGCAAGCACATGTGCTCTTTTGCTCTAGCCCCGACCCTCCAACCCGTTTTATCCTGAATCCACTATCTCGAGCGCGATGTGGGTCATCCCGCTCGCTCTTGCTTCTGCTGCCACTGGCACGATGTCATCGCGTTTTGCTCGATTTTTACCAATCGTACTACCTTGCATTTGCTTTTTCACTTAATTTTTCGTTTGTTTCTGTCTTCTAATGTCGCTCGAGAGCTTTTACTGAATTATTGGACTGTTACTTGCTCACGTAGATTTGGAATGTTTGTGGGAAAATATCGCGCTATCGTCTTTCGCATACGAGTTTTCAAGCTCCAGTCCTAAATGCGATTATGAATTTTTGTTTACCGGCAGTGGAAAATACGCGAATATATGATTTCGAGGGAAATTTCGTTACATTGTTTGTATACCAAATGCACACTGTCAGTGCAAGCGCATAATCATAATTGCTGTGAATCAATGAATATTTTTTAATAAAGAAGCATTGATTTGCTAGTCGAACGATCAATATTATTCAGAATATCTCGACTTTTACTCTTTGCATTGCGTGAACTTTAATCAGAAAGTAAAAAATAGCGTAGCCGTACCTACTGCAGTAATGGAAAATGCTCTTTTCAACTATTGACTGGTCCAACTGAAAAGTCCGCTCAGACGTAGAAAAGAAAAAACAAAGACGAAACAAAGGTAGTGTTCCATGACTAAATGTCCGTAAAAAGAGTGAACGCAGAACCCACTGCGTATCGTAAAAGATTAATTGGAAAGGTTGTACTTGCAGTCGCCTAGTTTTGATTTATTGTCAGTGAACGAAATTCTGACTGTAATGAAATTCCGCTCAATCAATCCAATTAGGAGCCTTATCAAGATTGATGAAAAGCATCGAAGTGTAAGTTGCCTCGTTACTCTCCTTTCCGCTCCCCTTCTGTTTGTGACCTCTTACACCTCTTGCTCGGTACTGCAATAAATATAGAAAAAGTGTATCTTGGGCGAGAAACTCTTGGAAAATTACGCATGAAAGTTAGAAGGAGGGACAAGAAAAAGTTTATTAGCAAGATTGATGCTGAGCCAAAGAGAAGCAAATCAATATTTTTTCCTCATTTCTATGTGTTCCTTCGATTCGGTTTCCATCGCTGTACCTCGTAATGAGCTCAGAAACAAGATGCTAATAGAACGATCTTGATATTGGAGAAAATCTGAAGTATGCAGTCAAATGATTTGATTGTCGAGCGTTTCTGTATATTCTTATGCTCCTGTGTATATTCCTGGCTATTATGAGACGTTTACTAGCGGATAAAACGAAAAACAAAAAAGAAAAAGAAAAAAGCCGATATCTGGTAAATAATAACCGAGTCCCATTTTCTCTCGGGCGTTGCTGCTGAAAAACGCACGCTGAAGTTTAGAAATATACACGCGGTTAAAGTCGACTCTTAAAAACCACTATTAAATATTTTGCAAATCTAGATTAAAAATATTTGTTTTGCCCACTAATAAGTTAGTAGATTCGTGCGGAAACTAAAAGCGGCTTAGAGGCTAGCTTTACTGGCTAATTGTGGCTCAACGTGGATAGAGGCTGAGCGAGCGGGAGAGAAAAAGGAAATTAAGAACACCCGCTTCATCAAGTATTTGTCAGCAGGAAAAATAGCAGGTAGCTTAATGAATTGTGGCGCATAATTAGTTGTGACTCGCAATCGCATAAACTTAATTAATATTGTTGCCACCAGCTGCGTCGTATTGATCATTTCCGAAACTTGTATTCAACAATCCAAGCTGGCCATTCAATCCAAGTATCTTTATCCATCAAAATATTTTTTCTATTTCCCAAGCAACGGATAGTTGTTAGTTGGACCTGCATATACGCGAATGCCTCAAAGCACCATTTATTTTTTTTAAAAGTAATGTCAGTTCGCTGGAAAGGAAATATCAGCAGCAGGACTACATACGCATAGAATTTTTTTTATTACTCTTTTGTAAAGGAATTCGTGATATACGAAATTCTACAGTGAAGAATTAGCTTCCAAAGAAGTGTGGGTTTCTTTTAACGTGGATTAGACTTAACTTACTCCAGCGCCCTCGAATTTCCTCTCAGCTATTTCCCCTCTGGGTCGGAGTGATTTAACAAATTTAAAAGCGAACTTTCGCGGTCATCGAATGGGCATTTTCCATGGATTTCGTTTCAATATGCGCATACGAATGTGGGCAAAAAGGTCTACTTTCACTCGAGGTGAAATTATGCAAAATGGCCGGCGGTAAAACTTTTACAAGTGTCCGATAACAGGGTAGAAAAGAATCTCCACTCCGGTATGGCGGTTCGTTATAACCGTGGCTAAAGTAAAAGTTCAACGAGCCGGGAAAATCCGAGGCGACGAGAAAGGAATCTTCTTCGCCCGCGTCGGTAGAAATTTCGGTAAGAAAATTCCTTTTTTCTGAAGACATCGCAGATGAGTAAGCGAGAATGTGGGAGCAAGCGGAGTAAAGAGAAGAAAAGCAAGAGGGAGCGCTCCCTTTTTCCTTTTGCTCGGAATCAGAGGCTGAAAGAAACGAGAGAGTGCGCGCGTGTGTCTACGCCACGTGTATATTGATCTATAAAGTGAGCTTGGAAGCTCCGTGCGTCTATATACCTAGGCAGATAAAGAACTAAGCCTCCGGTTAATTTTTACATGGGCCGTGGGCCAACGTATAGAGTGCGGATCAGCAGCGAAGGCGCCGAGCTCGCTTAGCACATAAAACGTGGCGGCAAGAGCGACAGAGAAAGAGAGAGAGCAAAGCTGCGTAGAAAGACAGGTACATTCACGTCCACGTTGTCGTCGTGAATAAATGTGGGGCGCTCGTCGCTTTTGAAGTTAAGCTGACGGCTATTTTGTTAGACGCCGATATTTCATACCCCCAGAGATTCGCTATGGGATTTCTGAATTATCGAGCTAACTATTCAATAGCATCAAATAGTTCTCTGATAAATGTGATCCATCAAATAAAATATAGCTTAGTTTGCACGTCTACTCGTTAAGAAAATGTAGCTTTGAAACAATAGTTTTTTTCTAAAGAGACAGTTTTCAAATCCTAATGAATGTCAGAAATGAATATCGTTTGATTAAAGCTTTTCTCCTTCGAGATACAAGCATCATATAACAAATGACACTGCTGACATTGGGTTGAATTTTCGAAGCAGCACTTTATGCTAGACTCTTTATCATTTGAAATAATTTTTCTCGTTGACACATAATAAAAATAAGTATCATGTCGCTTCTGAGGACTTAGAACAATCGCGGAACCGAAGGAGAGAAATTTCAAGGAAAAACGTGTGCGTGTGTGTGCTCGTGTAGGAGCAGATACGTCAAAGAGTTTTGCGGAAAATTCCGTCTCTCGGTCCCGACTACCGAGAAAACAAGCTTGGCTCGGCGAGTTTTCAATGTCGTCCGATCGAGCCGTGGCTTGTTTTTGCAGTTGAACAGTTGAAATTAAAAGTTGACCAGTTGGTCTCAGACTCGTAAGGAGAGAGCGGAGGGATTAGGCGAAGGTCGATTTCTATCTAATCTTATTGTTAACCTTATTAATGTTCTCGTGGGCAGTGATTGGTTTTAACTTTTCAAGTTTGAAGGAAACACATCGAAAAAGCAAATATTTGGGGTTTTTTTTTGGTTGGCTTGTCCCGAATGTGCAGTTGCACGTGGTATGGCGCGAGGCAACAAGTACAAATGCTTGTGCATCGTCGATATTGGAAACATCTCGACCGCAAACCGTGCTAGATGGAAGCTTTCGAACAACAAACATTGTCCAGGTCATTTTAAATTATTTTCAGCCTTGAAACTAAAAAAAGAAGAGGAGGAACGAGATGAAACAAAAGAGTCTTTTTACTAAAGAAACTTTTGCTCTCTAGCCGCTTATCTTTCTCAGGGGAAAAAGTTTCGCGGCAGATTAGAGTTTATGTGGATGCGGTGGGTGGGTGATAAGTAGCTCGTTATGCAGTGGCAAGAAAGGAGTTTCAAGTATCGTTGATCGGACGGAAATCGATCGATTGAGCTTATCTACGGTAGTCATTCGACGGAAAAACACAGACGCGCTAAATCTTCAACTATGAAGTTGCTCTGCCGGGTCGCGTTCATCTGCATCGCAGCTTCGTCGACCTTCTGTTTTTTTTTTTTTTTTTATTGGAAAAATGAAAGACGCGAATTCGTTAATTCGTCGTCGAAGCGTAAAGAGCACTCGGCGATAAAAAAAAAGGAAATCTGCGTAGCGCGCATGTATGTCAAGGATCAGTGGTGAAAAACAAGGGAAGGGGGTGGAAAATGAAATATCGAGTAATCGCGTACACTGGTGGCGATGTAACGTGGGTCTAGCGAGCGCTTGCGCCAGGAAGCCACCTGTAGCCCTGCTGCCGCTAGCCAATCGATACACTACGGCCCACTGCTACACGCAGACACAGGCGCACAGACATCGATGAGGGTTTTCTCTTTCTCTGTCTTTCTCAACGATTGGCTTTTAAAGCGAGCGTGTCTCGTTACGACGATCGTTATCTCGCCATCTAGCCCTGTTATCTCTACACATTTTACGCTTATCTGCTGCTTTGTCTGCTCGTCTGTGCCAAAAAAGAATCCAAAAAAAAAAACTGTTTTTTTCTTTTTGTTATTTTCGTCCTGTACAGCTGATATTTCTCCCTATCTTCGTTCAATGCTACTTACGGGCTAAGCCGGAAATAATGGCGTGCTGCCTATGGTCTATACCTGTTTATTTATGAAAACTGGTAATCTCGCTTGGACCTTTCAATTTCATTACTTTTGCAATGAAACGACGCAAATTGACATGCTCTAATTTGCTTTCAAAAGTCTCGTAACTTCGAAAAGCCCCAACCTCGGAAAATACTCATTAACCAAGTGGAAATAATTTTGATTTGAAAAGCAGCGACAACTTGGAAAATCCATTGGTTTCTGCAGAATTCAGTCCGAATAGTGAATACGTATGATGTGAGATAACTTTATACATTTTAGCTTAAATAAAAATGATCGACGCACTCGGCAAAACGCTTTCGACGAGACGGTAATTGGAAACTGGATAATGGCCATTGGAATGCATATTCGAGAAGCAGCGAGATCCCGACGCACGACTGCTGGCCAATGCAGAAAGCTGAGCAGCCGCGTGCGTGGCGATTGCTCGCGAATAATAGAGCATAATCTGCGCCGGTAAATGCCAGGAAGCCGAAAAGCGCCTTAGCCGTAAAAGGGAAAAGCCGTGCACGGCCATGAAAGAGTCCGTCCGACGCGCTAGCAGGCATTGTTTACAGCTGAGATTCATCAGCAGAAAAGCGACTGCAAATTCTCGCTTGTAATTCCTTAGAGGGCAGGCTCTCGCTTGGTCGCCCCGGCGAAAAGCTGCCGACGTCCTCTCGCTTGTCCGCACAGCCAGCGGAGGAGGCTTAGCGGAAAGGCGAAAGTAAGCTATATTCTCCGGGAGGAAAGACACGCGCGTCTCCGCTAACGTCGCATTAACGGGCAGCTTTCGATGAAGTCTCTGTCTCCCTCTCTCTCTCTCTCTCTCTCTCTCTCTCTCTCTCTCTCTCTCTGTCGAGCGAAACTGATCACATGCTATCAGACGTTGTCCAGTTTTGCGTGTAGTATATTTGAATGCACAACACCTGTACGTGCTAAAGTTTGTCAGCTACAGTACCATATGCTCGCGAGGGTGAAAGGTATGTCGGACAAACAGGTCGACAACAATAGGGACACGCGTGATAGAGATAAGCCAGATATATGTATGTACGCTCTGTATGGCAAGCTTGCGATAGAAATGCAAGACTGCCGTACGTATGAATATGCATCACGCCGCGAATTGCAACTCGTCCACGCGGAAAATCGCCGGGATCAGCAGCTCTATCGCACTTACCCGAGCTTCAATAAGCCGCTTTTTGCCGCGTAGGCGTGCTTCTCATCGACTCGCGCGCTGCGCACTATAACTGATTTCCATCGAACGCACAATTTCGTTAATTGAATCTCTATCCCAGCGCGTGAAAACTCGCATCTGTGTCTCGTCGGAGGCATTGATCGAAACCACCCTGCGCGAAGTGTCTCCTTGGTAGAAAGATTTACCGCTGCTCACGGCCAGTTTCTAAGGAAAGTTGTGACGTGTGTGAATCACGCGACAAAGCGAAATAGAAGCCACGCGAAACGTCAGTGCGACAGATGACGATAAATCGCGATCAACTCATCCTTCAATAGCGAATTTGTGTTCACAGCGCCAGTAACGCCGGGACAGAACACCGTTGGCGCGTAAACTTGGCAAATGTAATCGGCTTGCTAATCACCATAACACTCTGGGAACGCGTATCACACACGCACTCATGGATGGTGAGGTGGAGAGTATGTGTGTGTGTGTGAGAGAGAGAGAGAGAGAAGTAGCCTTGGATGTAAAGCGTAAATTCTAAATATAAACTGCGTCAGGGCTGCGCGCAGAGATATCGATTCCAGCCCAGCGGAACAGGGGATGCTTAAAGCCAGCCCAACGGCGACGGTGAGTAGAGGGAGATACGTACGTGTGCCCGTACGCGTACGTGTGTGTGCACTGTAGCCGCGATAGAGAAAGAGAGAGAGAGAGAGAGTCTACCTTGTACCTTCGGCTTCGCCATGTGTAGGCTCTTTGTTTTTCTCTTCTCTACCCTTTTACTTGCCTCAATTGACAACCCTTTCAAGAGCGCCTCGTAAATATCATCGCGCACCCGACCAACTCAGGGGGGCTTGCCTGTTTTTCTTCATTTTCCAACACTCTTCACCCAAAAATGGTTTATCATCCTGTAATTAAATCTTCTTTCCTGAACTTTGTAATCGATACACTGCTTATTGTTTTCTTTTTATTTTCATCCTCCTACCCATTTGACAAAAGAATAACGCGTATCTAGAATTTTGATCGATGTTTCAAGTTTTTTTTAACATGAGTTTGCTTTCTAGAACGGATGGAGACTTTTGGCAATTGAGGATTCATAGAAGAATGTTGATTGATTGCTTGACAGCTAATTGAATTTGATATTCTACGAAAATTATCTAAATTGCTTAATGAATATTGATATAGAAGTAGCCAATCACGACATTTGCTAATCACATAATTTTTATGTTTTTTTTGTTACATTTAAGGAAGGTTTTATCAAAACTGTTACGTCATGCATAATTAATCGGAGCAATCTAATCGCGTCGCGAGCAAACAATGAGATCGCATAATGCAGTTAGCCGTTATTAAAGAGACAAAAAGTCGCGTAAACCGAGAGTAGCGAAAGAGAAGAGAAAATGACACTGATAAAACGTTTCGCTTTTTCTTCGAAGCCGAGATCTGTGTCCTGTCTGCCGTGAGTTTTATCAAACGAGCCGAGCGAGAGCAAGTGAGTAATACAATGAAAAAGGAAGAGATTTCCAGAAAGAGAACGCGCAACCTCGACGTATACACCTTATCAATCTTTGTCGCTTTTGCTCGAGTTTAATTAATACATAAACTCGTTTATCTATATGTATATATCCTACACTCGTCTATGCTTGATATAAAGAGCGAATTAGACGATTATCGTTGACACGCGTGAGACTTTTATCTAAATTACAGTCGGACTTTTGGGTTTAATCCGTTTGGTACAGGCACATTTAAACGAGTATCTTCGAATTACAGTGTCACGTGATTGTACTTATGATAGTTACATCATCAGTTATCGAAAAACGTGGCAAACTGTTTCATCCTTTCGCGCATCAACTATTTTTTAAGTCGAGATGGTTCGCTTCGTAAAAAGCCTCCGCTAGAATCGGCATTTATACGTATAAATTAATGACTGCATTCCCCTTAGTTTCAGATTTGAAAAGTGACGCGTGCCGTGTGTTAGTGAGGTGAGTGTGTGCGCGTATAGAATTCGAACATGATCGTCGTCATACAAGGCTAAAAATCAGCGATACACACACACACACACATACACACATGGCATGGAGATTCTTTATGGGCTAATGGATAGAAAGTGCATAGAGTAAGATAGACCGAGAAAAAGAGATAGGGCGCCGATTAAACGAGAAAAAGATAGATCGGACCTAAAAATAATTTGATCGCGCGCTTCAATAACTTCCTGACCACGGAGATGCTGTGACAAAATTACTGAAAAGAGATTCGTTTCTTCCTTTAAATCCTCAGTATTAAAGATTGATCAACTCGTCTGAAAGTTTATGCGAGCAAGGATACTTGGTAATCGGCACGAATAAATCTTGAAAAACGTAAAATTTTATTTCGATATCGAACTGTGAATTTTTAATGTATGCTAAATGTGACTTATTTATATCCGAGTCGTTCAACATCCGAAAAATATGACTTGCTAAGATAGTGCGTGCATCATCAATCCTGTATTATTTGACTTTTTACTAATTATAGATTAGGAAAAATTAACAAATTTTATAGGTTTGTTTTGTCTGCCTCAAAATATTGTTCAATCTGTTCAAAATTCTATAAGGAAACTATATTTATAGATTATTTATAGTTTATGTGAACTTAACGACATAATGATATCAATGAATTCATGTTGGTTGTGCCCCGCAATTTGCCAAAAAAAACTCCATTAACTTAACCTCGTTTGGTGTCATTAATGCTCAATTGTTAAAAATAATTCGTATTTTGAACTTCGCGGGTCTTTCCAGTAAAATCTCCAGCATAAACACACATACGCACGCATAGATATATATGTAGGATTTTCCATGAAGAGCATACCGACTTGAGATAAGGTAGACTAATTGATATAATTATTAATTTGAAATCCATCAAGTTCAAAATCAAAATTATTTTCGACAATTCAGCATCGATCATATCGAATGATTTTTTTCTTGCAAAGTGCGGGGACACAACTTGCTAAAACAAGCCCTTGAGTTGACCTCATTTTGTGTCATTGATGCCTAATCCTCAAAAGTAATTCGAATTTTGAACTTCGCGGGTCGCGAATAATATCCGGGCAGAGTAAAACATATAAAGCGCTCAATTGTCACCAGCTGATATGGACGACAATGGGGATATGGGAAGGAAATAAGAGATAAACATGCAGAGAAAAGCAATGTGTAACAACAACAATAACATGATGCATTTAAAGACCAAAAGCAAACTAGTGACCTAATGACTGTCGACAAAGTGAGTGAAACTACTAATAGTATTATGAATGAAACTGAAAAGAAGTTCTTCTTAAGGCACTCCTTGAGTGTTAATAAATAACCGTCAATTGAACGGATTCATTGGACGTAATCTACCTTTGCACTTTAAGTTATTACGTCAGTGTGTATGGCTGAACTGTTATGTTTTGGTTCACTACCTACTAGTGCCAGTCACTTAAGTTATCTTTGGTTGACTCATAGAAACTCAACGGAATCTGGCTCATCAAGATTTGCTGAAAAAAGATATATCAATGAGTATCTATCTTGAAAGCTAACTATGGGGAATATGGAAGATGACCAAGCGGCTAGAGAGGCCAATAAGATTTGTGGAGTTTGTGGAGACAGAGCACTTGGCTACAATTTTAATGCTGTCTCCTGCGAGAGTTGTAAAGCTTTTTTTAGGAGAAATGCTTTGAAGAATAAGGTATTATTTAATAATTAAGAATTGTTTTTACTTTCATTTACTTTGCAGCAGGCCATTATTTTATGTAAAGTAAGATATGCACACTTGATGAGTGATACTAGATGAGGGTCAAATATTTTATGTATCTCCAAATATTCCATTTTATATTCCATAAGTTTTGAGTATGATTGCTAAAAATTTTATAAGCACATACTGTTATAAACTTCAAATACTTTATTATTTGAGAATAAATTTGGTGTAATATAATTGTTTTATTCGTTTCAGGAGTTTCGCTGTCCTTTTTCTGAAAATTGCAGTATAACACCAGTTACAAGACGTTTTTGTCAAAAATGTAGGTTGGATAAATGCTTTCGAATTGGCATGAAAAAGGAATATATAATGTCTGATGAAGACAAAGTTTTAAAAAGACAGAAAATTGAACAAAACCGAGCAAAGAAAAGACCATGTAAAGAAAATTATAAAGCAGTAAAGGCAAAAAAAGAAAGTTTAGACGATCCTAATTTTGATGATTCTACTTCTATACCATCTGTTGCTTCAGTAGCTTCTGTTATGTCTGAATCATACTTTTGGGAATCAGACAAAAAGTATGCTGACCTTGATGCCAACAAGCAATCTACAGTCGATAGTTTAAGTCCAGTTGCAGCTGCTTGTGTTCCAAGCCCTTCAAGCCCCCCTCAAAATTGCGACATTGCTAGTAGTAAGACTTTAGAAATGTTAAAAGATTCATCGCGTAATTCTATTCTCAATTTTACTCAACACAGTCAATCTGTTACATATGAAGCAGTGGACATAGATATTCCGAAAGGTTCTCCAAGTCAAGTGGACTGTCCAAGTCAAGTGAATTTTTATTCTAGTGCTAAAGAGAGTATTGAGAGTAAAGGTCAATCGAACAAAGTTAATGAATCAGTATTGAAATCTTCAAATCGATATTGTTTACGTTCCATCAATTCATCTGTATCTTCACCGAATTGTTCAAAATTAGAAAAGAGTCCACCAGCTTATACTATGTATAAGCTGCCAGAAGAAGAAAAGTCTCATAATGATTTGAATGAGTGTTTGTCAAGTAATGAAATAGAAGAAACTGTTCCAAGTGTGCCTATACATTGTTCAGAAGAAGCAATAATGTGCCAGAAATCAAAAGAAAACTGTATAAATAGAACTGATCTAGTTACAAAGATGATACATGATCCAGAATTAGTTGCTAAACTAGTTACTAATCCAAATGTTATTGCTAATGTTATTATTCAGGACCAGAGTTTGTTTACTAAATTTATAAAAGATCCAGAAATCATTAGTAAGCTTGCTTCTGACCCTCAAATATTGCAGTATTTAGAAGAAGATAAAACAGTAAGTTCTCGAATTCAAGAAACTGTGAAAACTAATTCACATCCTGAGAGATATCTTGACAATAAAATTTCTAGTAATCTTAACAAGAATGTAATTGACAGTAATCGAGGTCACGTCGAAAATCCTATTCTAACAAATCTTATTACAACGCATAGAAAAGAAGAACTAAATCAAAGAAATGATATTCCTACAACCAGTGAATGGCATGATATTACTGATGAAGTTACTAGGGATGTTTTACAAGATGTAGAAAGGTGGATAATCATTGATCAAAATTAATTTTTTATTTTTAAATAATACTACTAATACTTTAATTTTACATTTGCAGGATACCAATAACTGCAAATTCAATTGAATCAATCCTATGTGAAGCTATAAAATTAGAGTTTTCTGCTTACTCAAGCTTTGGTGGTAGTCATTATAGCAGAGAGTTAAATGATGCTGAGAGGGCCAAATTAAATGAACTTATAGTTGCAAATAAAGCACTTTTAGCTCCATTAGATGACGATATTACAAATTTGATAGGTGAAGAATGTAAATTTAAGGTAATGAAAACTATCTTTTTAAGTAAAAAAATTAAACCGAAAAAAGAAATGGAGATCTGGCTTTAAAATAAATATTTTATTTTTTCTAAGGCGAATCCCGACCACGCAGACCCGGCATTACTTGATGTTATAAATTTAACTGCTATAGCTATTCGAAGACTGATTAAAATGTCAAAGAAAATCAATGCTTTCAAAAACATGTGTCAAGAAGATCAACTTGCATTGTTAAAGGGTGGTTGTACCGAAATGATGATGTTACGTTCAGCTATCAACTACGATCCTGATAAAGATAGCTGGAAAATTCCTCATAGCCAAGATAGAATATCAAATATCAAAGCAGAAATATTAAAAAAAGTTAAAGGAAATTTATATGCTGAACACGCAAGATTTGTCAGAACATTCGATTCCCGCTGGCGAGACGAAAATATTATTTTAATTCTTTGTGCTATAACTCTATTTTCTCCTGATCGGCCAAGAGTTGTTCATAAAGACGTAATTAAACTGGAACAGGTTAATTTGATTTCATGTAAAGATTTCTATCGTTGGTTTTATAAGTTATAATTTGATTTTTCATTTCAGAATTCATATTATTACCTACTCAGAAGGTATTTAGAGAGTATATATCCCGGATGTGAAGCTAAATCAACTTTTATGAAGCTAATTCAAAAAATATCAGATTTGCACAGATTGAATGAGGAAGTAGTTGGAGTTTATTTGAATGTAAATCCGTCTGATGTCGAGCCATTATTAATCGAAATATTTGATTTAAAACATTAAGTTTCATGAAAGATTGCGATTAAAAATTAGAAAACTCTAACTCAACAGCAATATTCTGCATTTCCGAATATCTTTTTAAAAAGGATATAATAATAAATTTTATATTCCTCAATTTTTATTTCATTATACATTATATTACGAATAGATTTCGGGGCTTATTAAATTTGTTAGCGATTTGTAGACTATTGAATGTACGTAATATAGAGTTGTTTTTTAATGTATATACGAAAATACTGTGAATATCGTGGTTACACAACAATTTTTATTATTATATGTATAGGATTATGTGTAATTAAACATATTCGTACCTTATTGAAATTTAACAAAAACTTTTGTTTTTTATGTTAGTATAAAATAAAATATTGAAACTTCAAAACTTGACAAACATATTTTGATATAGAAACTAATTATTATAGTAATGTTATGTTTTATATTATTTGAAAGTAGAATAGTTTATTGTAAATTTTGTGAATTTATCTTTATGTTATAATATTAGTAATCATTGTTATATTCCTAAGTGCAATTATTTCTGCATTATTATGTAAACTATGTATATTAGTTAAAAGATAGATGCTTACGCCATTAATCCACTTGTTTAGAATCGATTTTATTATGAAATGATCCGCCTGTAACATAAACTTAACATTATACACATGTGATATAATAATAAAATATTTTTTTTCATAAATTTACCTTATTCAGTGTATTTTAAACATTTTTTTCTATTTATTCAACGTTTATATTAAGCAATGAGTTGAGCGTTTGTTAGTTTTCTTCATGTGAGTCAATCGCGAGTTGGTGGAGCAAATGCTCCAAGTAAAATAAAAAATAGCGCAAGAGTTAGTAATAACGATATAGAAAGAAACATCACAGAAAAGATAAAAATAACGCTGTAAAATACACCTTTAATTATGGTGCAAACAACCGATACGGTCCAGTTTACGACAAATTTTATTGCGCTATATATTCCAAACATTTTTTTTTGGTTTTATTCGTAAAGGTTACTACTTGTTAATTTGAACATTGTTTTTAAATGAACATAGATGCAGAAGATGTGGCTTTTGTTTTTTACATGAACTAATTTCGATAATGATAACGATATGTGTGAAGTAATAAATATACAGGTTTATCTGGAATATACGTACAATTTTAATAAGAACGCTCAACTTTAAAATACAATAAAAAGATAGTCAACACAACAAAAAATTGACAAATCAATTATTTTAAGAATTTTGTTTCAAAAATTCTTGCTAAAAAATGTGTATATGTATATACATATATTTATATATTTATATAAAAATATTGACTTCTACTTTTCATCTTTCATCTTGTCATAACAGTTTTGTACGAATCAGACTTTACGCATTGATCTGAAGCTTTCTCCGAGGCATATTATACAACTAGGAATTTCTTAATATGTTCTAGCCGATACAGCACACGAGCTTTCTAAATGAATTTAAATAAGGTAAAAATCATTGAGAAGCGACAAAAAAGCAGTATCCAGTCAAGAGAATTGATGCCGTCACTTTTCGAGGATGCAGCGCTCAAAACTCGATGTCATCAAAATGAAAATTCAATTCAGAAAGCGTCATAGTCGGGCAGTTCGGCCGTCTAATAATCAAAACTCAGGATTTTTATTTTTGTTATAAATACGACAAAAACAAACCAATAGAAAACATTGCGGAAATCGTTTACGCGTGGATTATCTGATTTCAATGCTCTGGTCGACACCGTTTTTATAGCCAGCGGCGAGTTTGTAGGCGAGGCAATTGTTGGGAGTAGCCGGGGGCAAATTTTCGCGCTTGTAGTGGAAGAACTCCTCGACGTTGTTCTGGTAGGTCTTGTTCATGGTCATGCAGTCGATCTTGTCGGCGGCGATGTAACATGAACCGAGTGCCGCTGATGTGGTGAGGCGCACCAACGTTAGCTCGTCGACGGAGCAGTGGTCGTGGATCTCCGTGATGAAACCGGGTTTTAAATAGCACCAGGACTTCCACACCGAGCCCACGCATATCACTTTCAGTCCGCCTTTTTCTAGTTTCATTTCCTGTAAATTGCAAAGGGCAAACAGTTTTTACAAACGCTTTTACGATATTTTATTGAGCAAAATAAACTTGGGACGCTCAAAAAGAGTATTTATGACATCAAAAAGTTCAATCGTAACTTTGGCATGAAAAATGTAAGTCGAATTGAGTCAATGCTTCTATGGATCATTGCGCATTGTTTGAATGGAAGTATGAACTAGAATTAAAATACGAAAGCATCCAATTGAAATTTTGGGCCGAATTGTTCAATAAAAATTATCCATAGCCATTAAAGAAGGTCTAGTTCGAGTGACGTGAACAGTTAGGCTGGATAGAGTATATTGAAAAAAAAAAAAAAAATACAAAGATTATTAATATTCAGGACGTCAGGGTTCCGCGAAAAAATGAGAAAAACGTGCATCGTACCATGTGTGCTTTTCCGGAAACCGCAGACACAAATTTAGCAAGCTGCACGCCAGCCTGATAAAAGAGTTCAAGGCAAAGAGGATCGTTTCTGTCACAGCCGATGGCCAACTCCTTAGTGAACGAGGCGAATTTACACTTATTGAAGTCGGCGTGCAGATGCGGTAGCATGCTCTGTTGGTCTTTGACTTCGAAGTACTGTTGCATTGCCGGCCATACGTAGCTTATGGGCTTGGGTGCCTTCTGCAAACCATCCAAGTCGTCGAACACGTACTTGCACGCCCTGTGCGCCAGCCAGTATGCTGCGATTCGACAGAAAAGTAGTATTTTATCCTATCTGGATTCCCGAACGAAAAGGTAGTCATTGCGCGAGCAGAGCGTGATCGCGCTCGATTTCAATTTGTTTTTTCGTCGAGCTTGCGAAAAAGCGAAGACGGCATTCTGATGAAATCAGGTGTGGCAATATTACACTTCGTTTCGGTTTCACGATCATGCACAATCGACGATGTATGAAGTTGCGATACGATCTCTCATTGTCCCGCGAGTCTCTCCCGTTTAACGATGCGCGGAATGGGCAATCCGCGCCGGAAAAAGCGAGCAGCTGGACTCGCAAGCGCTTCAAAGCAGTTTTCCGATGATAAACGACCGATCTTTATTGTGAATTCCTTCGGGCGAGAGGGCGAGAAGGCGATGTGGCGTGCTCGCGAAACAAATTGAAAGTTAGGGGTCACGTCACGGAAAACAGAAACTGGGCTTGACATAAAAACGTCGATGAGACAGGTGAACGAAATAGTTGGTGGCAGGCAGGTCCGATGGGCCAAGGCGAGTCGCGCGGCAGAATCAATCGGCGAGTAATAATGGGGCAGAGAGCGCTTACCGCTGCCCTCGTCGCCAAGCATGTGTCCCCAACCACCGCAGCCGTAAGATTTGCCGTCGTTGTCGATGAGCAGGCAGTTGCTTCCTGTACCGGATATCAGCACGACGCCACCGTTGCGCACTGCTGTTTTCAGGCTGCCAAGTGTGTCCGAGCCGACCTCGTATTGGCGCGCAGATGTTGGGTAGAGCCGGTGCAGCGTGTCAGCTAACAGTCTGTTGCTCTTCTCCTCCTCGCAGCCACTCAAGTTCAGGCCCTACATTTCAAAAGTCCTCTTCGTAGACTCGTGTGCCTCTTACGCGGATCGCTTGTAGCTTGTCGCGGGAGTAGCGCGAGGGGGCAACTCCGAGATACGTTGTCTTCGAGGAATATTAATGAGTTGCGCTCACGTGCGATGACAGAGTTCTTATTATTTGGAGCGACGCTGATGTCCCAGTTACGATCAATCACTAATTACTGCAGCGGCATACATTTCAGCAAAAGCAAACGGCGCTCAGACGTATCTCTGCACTTGGAGATTACGTAAGTAAATGGTATTGCATTAAAAAGCTGTCGATCGAGCCCAATCGCCAAGACTAACGATTACCGTATCCCATGATGACAAACGTTTTCTAAGTGCACTGCGAGTCGAAATAAATCATTACGTGCTATCGTCTTTTGACCATTGAAGACATCGGAGCGAGTGGCGATTGAGTCGAATGAAAGTGACGACGCACGGCAAGAGCGCGAGAAGAGAAAAGTTGAATGCCTATGCGAGCACCGCGTGGAGTCTACGCGACGCCGCGCGTCACGCGAGTTCGCCACGTGCGCCTTGCTCGTGTGGCGCGAGCACGAAGAAGCAGCAGCGACACATGCGGGCCTGCGCCCGAGAGTAGGAAATGATGATTTACGCCGCTTTAATGCCACTTGCCGGCAGCGCAGCGCAATGGCATGTGCGCCCCGACGCGCAGTCGAACACCCGACGAGAATCTTCTTCAGTTCGCGTAACGGCGGCGGCGAGCTCGCTACTTGCACAATTCCTCCATCGGCGCGTCTCCAATAATCATTGATTTATCACCCGACGCGATTGAGCTTTCGAATCCGCTTGACGACATTTGCAAATAGTGCGTCGTTAGCTCGCGCAGCGCACGATTGATTAGCTCCTCCGTCACTCGCCCATTAAGTCTTCTCGTTCCGCGGCAGATCGACCGTTCTTTCTTGCTTCCTATTCGTGGCGGATCGTGCGCGTTGGGGGTAACGAACAAATTATATCGTCAACATTGGTCGATCGTGCGTCCGCTTATTGCGATGAAATATCGAGAGCGAACCTCTTCGGCGAAGAGCTCGAGGGTAGACTTGGCTTCCAAGCAGAAGAAGACAGAAGAGCACGCGGGAAATGTACTGGGTCAATTTCGAATTGTAAGTCGCGCAACGGCGAAGCACTTTAATCGTGGGCGATGCAGCCCTGATTAAAAGCCAGGCATCGCTCGAGAGGGAAATTCACCGAGGCAAGGGCTTGCGCGTAAAGATTGATTACTCTAGCCGGATGAGGAATCGCCCCGCATGCAGCGGAATCGTCCTCCGATCCGTATGTGCGTCAATAGGTGATTTATCAGGCTAATACTCACCACAATGTCATAAGGTACAGACAAGGGTATTTCAAGCTCCTGTTTGGACCTGACAATCATATCGTTAATCCTTTCCGCGGTGCCTTCGATTCCTAGGACCTGCAACGTTTCAAAAGTAAAGAAAGAGTTGCGTTGCTTTCATAATGCTCACATTAACGAGTGACGCTCTCGTCATACATCATTGATTGGATAGATCTGACCGCGTCGACTCCAATTGTCCAGAAGGCAATTGTTGCGCAAGTGTCTCGCTGCAGATTCGCCAATCGGATCTCTTTTTACCCGACTCTCAATTGTCAAATTGTACGCGAGACGATTTTTCCTGGCCCCGTATACTTATAGCCATATGTAGTAACGGAAAGTCGGATCCAATGAACAGAGTTGCCTTTAATGCACTATTGACAAAGAACTTGTCGATATTTCGACAAAAACGAAATTCATCGAGAATCCATAATTAATGAGCAAACTAATCCTACGGTAATTAATCTTTTCGAGTAGCGATATTAATTTCCAGTCATTCCCGAGCGTTACTTGTTCAAATAAATAATCATAATTTTAAGTTTCAATATAAATTTACCATTGAGTCAACTGAAAATAGTTATAAATATATGTTACCGTGATTATAATGTATTAAATAATACTAATAGCATCAATAAATTCTTTTCAATTTTCACAGTAGTTTCAAAATTAAAATTGTCTTTTATTGGGAAAACCTATGCTCGTCACACCTTATCTTAAGTGCTTATTGCTAACTACAAAATTATTCAGTAAAAGTTGATAACGAATAATTGTTATAGTACCTTCAAAATATTAAAGATTGAAACTTAATTGTTCGATGTTGATATTTAATGATTTATTTATAACATTAAAAAGGTACAAATTTTATGATTTCACTACCGAAAACCAAATTGTATTTTTCAAATTGTATTTTACTGTAATAATATTTATTTCATTTTTGGGATTATTAAGAAATTTATGTTAAAGACTACCTGACAAAAATAATAGAGTTTGAAAATTAATGATCGTTTAAATAAAAGGGAGTGTTCCACTTGACCTGCAATATCCATTGGTTCCAGCTCTCCCCCTACGATTAATGCTGTACGCTCCCTGTTCGGCTATTAAGCGCGATATGCTATTTCAAACCTAGCGATATCACCTGTGCGACGTGATCTTTTCCCGATTATTTACTCGAACATTCGGAATAAATAATGTGGCAATCGTGAACGCGTATATTACTGACGGTACAGGCAATTGAATTTGAATTTTTTCAGTTGCCTCATGTTGTCGCGATTGATCGAGATTTTGAATTAGACTTGTTTTGATAGAATGATCTTATCGTTTAACTCAAAGTCTAGACACTTAGCTGAGCTGCATAATTAACACAAAATGAACGCGATGGTAATCGAAAATACTTTTGATTAGAAGTGGTAGCCTGCATCGATTAGATTGCATTGAAATGCACAAGAGTTCAAAAAATTGTCAACTTGTATTTCTTCGTCTAAACAAGTGAGGCTCGAATGCAGTTGATTAGTACTCAGCGCTTATCTACGAACTCGTTTGAATAAATTCCTACGCTTCAAGTAGCTTGATAAGACACACGATCATTCGACTCTTTTTATATATTATCACAAACCTACACCGTTTTGAAATTTATTTTTCTCACAAATCAAGGTTTTTTAATGTTACACTTCTTCAAACAACCTCGCGTAAATGACATAATTCGTATTCAAATATTGCTAAATCCTTCCCCAACTACAAAAAAAAACTAGTGTATTGTGTATCGGTCAGAGTTCAGAAGATAAGATTATTACAACGCGTATTACGGAGTGATTCAGTGTGTCAAGGCGCTGTATTTTACTTTTCTCGAGTATGGACGAACAATTTAATTTGGCGTTCATCTACGTTTGTGCAGTTGAAATTGAAGGATGGTGCGTAGTTTGCGCTAGTGCCGTTAACTCTAGCGCTTGATTAAATAACGTAACGGTGCTTTACCCAGTGATTCGTGTGTGGCCCTCGAACTTCCGATAATTTGTTGCCTCGTCCATCCACCACGAATAGCGTCGAATGTGTGGATCCTCTGAAATAGAAAATTTAACTTTTTGTTTTCCTTCCGATTCAATAAAAGACATTACATTTTTTGTTGATCCTTCGCGAAATTCAAAAAATCGAGCGAATGAAATGCTTAACAAATTCATGTTTGTTAATCAATAAATCGAGTGCCTGTGCCTATTAAGACAAATAAAATTATTCAAATATTAATAATTTGAATAAAAATGTTTACGTTTATCTTTCTCCACATGCCTGCCTCTGAAGAACAGATCATATTACCGTTTATAAATTTCTATCTTCAAATGAAAACATCTCTTAATATAAAGATAGAAACACTATGCACTATTTCATGGGCCTAACGCTGTATTTTCCTCGATTCAAAGTCGATTTCTCATACTTCACTGTAGGCCTTTAATTTTTACAATCAACCAATTCATTTATCAATTCTGATTCATTTTCCTTCATCATCTTTAGCAAGTCACATGTCGAGAAACAAAGTGATATCTCAATTGCACACTTTTATCCTTAGCACTTATTAAAAAGAGGTTAAAGACCGAGTATCACCTCGGGCTCGTAATCACGTTTTATTCCAATTGTGCTTTACGGCGCCGTGCAATCCAACATAAATAATGTTTTATCGATTTGTTGAGTACCACGCGAATCTCCCGGTTGATGACGACATTCAGGCCTTACAATCGTAAGGTTCAGAGGCCAAGAAGCAGTTCTTGAAATTATTATTGTTATTTTATGTAAACAGCGTTTATGTAAGATTTATTAATGAGAAATTACTCCTCGTTCCCTGCGATATCCAGAGACAATTTCAAATAACGCAGGCTGATTCATTTTTTTATTTTTTCACTACTTACAAATGATAAACTACAATACAAATGAGTAGCATTTTAAAATTATCAAAGCGCGTTAGTCGTCAAGTATTTGCTTTAATTGAGCAAAAAAGGAATATTTATGGGTAAGAGATTTTGCAAAAAATTACGCAGAAAGTCGAGATACAGCAAAGCTCAAGTACGCGGAAACATCAAGTATACATAATTTGACGAGTGGATATGATTGTTCAACTATTTCGACGTTCAGATAAATAATATGCGTACGTTATAATGTACGACGAAATAAAAAAAGAAGTTTGTGTAGTGAGCATGCTTATCAAGTATTTTCGGCGCGAACTCTGGCATCAATCAGTGGTACGATAAGCGATTTGCCTGAGTTCACGACGAGATTACATCGTCAGCTCGATTACGGTGGATTACAGAGAGGGGTGGGGGAGGGGGTAGGCAACTAATCCGGCGACTCGTGCGATACCGTTATAATACGAGCCAAGTGTCATTGCCAATTACGTTGCCATTGAAATCGTTCCTCTCTCTCTCTTTTCCTCTCTTTCACATGTGCTCTCGCGCACTTTTGATAAGCCCCCACGCACTACCGCACTGAAGCACCATCGTGCGAATTATTCTATCTTGTATTTATTTTTAGATACTACGGCTTTCCATCTCAGAAAACGTGATGGCATTTAGTGGAAACTTCACAACCACAAACTTTTTCAGCAGAAAACAAATAAGGCGTGAACAAAAGCTTCTAAATATTTGGAATAATGTGGTCAATCTGATAGCGGGAGATTAACAGATTTTCCGTATGAATGAGGACAAAAGTTAGGTGGAGACGAGTCATGTTATCGTGTAAGGAGAAAATTCGAATAACGTAATTTTCCAAGACGATATCAGACAGAATCATTGTGAAGGAACATTTGTACAGATAAAAGCGCCGTCGGTCATCTATTCAAACATTTGCTTTTCTCTATCCACCGCTCGAAATGCTTACAAATTACATACAGTTCCTTTTGCCTCTCATCTCATACGCAAACCAAACAAGTGGGCGCGATAACTTACCCTTCGACTCCACCAATCCTGATGTCTTCCGGGTTTTTCTTGAGATTATCTGTCGAGAGATTGTTGCTCACTCCGTTCACTTTTTCCATGACGAAGGGTTTTTTAATTTGTCAGTTGTCCACTATCGCTCAGACTTTCATGGATCTACAAATCAAACAACCAAAAACATTTCTAAGATTAATAATCGGAAAAAACTACACTTTAGACAACACAACGACGTCAGCGAAGTGCACAGGGTGAATGAACCGGCCGCAAAAGTATGACGACTCAAATTTTACGGTCAGCCGGTTCACTCAAGTTTCAAGTACCGCCTGCAACGACAAAGCAATGTAAACGCCAACGCAACAGGCGAAAAACTTCGGAAATCGATTTCGAAAAGAAAAAATCCCGCTTATCTGCTACGCAAACGTTCAACGACCCTTGCTTTGATTTTACGAAATGTAAACAAAGCAAACAAGAAGCGTTAGTTACGAACGCATAAAAAAGCAAAACAAAACAATATTAAAAATAAAAGAAAGAAATTAACACGTCTGTGAGAGACGAACCGACCGATGCAGCAAGGAGGGCAGACACAAACTCGGAGCATCACGCGGCTCTCGATCCACTTTATCAGCGCGCGAGCCTCCGGAAACGCTTGACGTCACAAGCGTGCGCTGCACGGGCCGCCTACTGACTAGTGCGCCGATAGAAAGGTAAGCACATACCTGCTGTGTGCGCGCAGCGGGAGAGGGAAGAGGCGTGGGTAAACTTGGCCGAGCAGTCTGAGGACGACGAGTTGCCAAAAAACCAGCAGAATTCTACGTACTTAGGGACGACGACAGCTGTTGCGGTTAGAGGCCAATGAGCGCAGCTGAACGGCAACAACGGCAGCACGTGTTGCCGTCGCGGACTCGATAACGACTGACGGAGACTACACACCCGTCGGCTTTCTTGGCGTCGACTGGCCTCTCTCCCATTGCCGAGGTTACATATGCCATGCCGTGCGACCAGCACAGGAGGGAGGAGGGGTAGGCGGGCTGCCGTTGCGCTGCTGCTTACTCGTACTGGCAGATCGATCGCATAGCTTTAGCGCTTGCGTACTTTCGACTCCGCCGTAAGCGACTACGAGGAAAACAAAATGTGCTTTCGATTGGCGAGTGATTTGCACGTATCTTAGTCTACAGGGATTTGAGCATCGAGAAAAGTTTGAGAACGTGGAAGAATCGAGGAATAACGCCTAGAAGGCACTTTTTATTCGAATGAAAAAAGTCTTGGCGGTTTACTTTCACTGCGCGATCTCCTGCGCGGCGGATCATTCGTTTGTTTTGCCGATTTTAAATTCAAGACTACCAGCGACATCTCGCCGATTCAATTTTAAATTTGTTGTGTGCAGTGAGTGTTGATAAATAAGCGAATCCAATCCACAGTCGTGACAATCCGAACCATAGTTGGTAAAAAAACAAGCTTTTTGTTCTGGCACAAAAAAATTTGTAATAAATCGTTCGATTCTCAATTTCAATAGTACATTTGTGTTCTCGAATAGTCGTTCGTGAACAATTTGGAATTCTATGCGGGGTAACTGTGTATTCGATGTATTTACAGTTGATGTAATTCTGTTGAAAAAAAGATTACACGGATTTTGACACCCTCGTTCAAAGAAGATTGCGTTTAGAGTCATTCCTGTTTTCATTCCATACTGCTTTCACTTAAATAATTCTTCATAAAAAAGCGCATCACGCAAGACTCATTATGCAACGAAAATTACCTCGTTTTCTTATCTGCAAAGCTGTACTATGTGGTTGGAAGTAGATTAACGTCAATAGTTTGGGCAAGATGCAGGAATAAAAAAAGAATAAAATTAAATGAGGGATCGCATAATTTGCAAGAATTACTAAAGTTACTTGGTCATTCTCAAGATTTTTTATTTGACTTTGAAATCCCAAAATGGGCCCGGGGCCAATTAGCAGCGCCACCTGCTCTAGGAGGTGGCTCCCTCTCCAAACATCGTCTGCTCCGTTCTGGTTCTTGCAGCCGTCATCTAAAATCTGGCTGTTCCATGCTCAACGAACTCAGGACGCACACACACTCAGACACCTGGTGCAGCATAAGTGTACTGGCCGAGAGATGTGACGAGACAGTCAGCCAAACGCATAGACGGAGTGCGAAGTCAGAGTGGTGAGAGAGATCGCGAGTGTGCGTGTCAGGCAGTCGTCGGCAGAATTGAGAGTAACAGCAAGTGAGCGCCTCGTCTCGAACAACTGCATAACAAGCGTGGTGCAAACAGTGTGTAGAAACCGCTCGTAGTCTTGAGTTACGTTGCGAGAGCAAAGGGCGCGCGCAATGAAGCAGCCAAGCCGGAGCTGGTCGATGTCGCCGATCATCGTGCCGGGACGTCACTGCTAGGAGAGGTTGCACTGATATCTTCGTCAGATAGAGCTCGGAGAGAGATGGGAGTCGAGCAAAATGGCAGAGGCAGCGCGGATGTTTTTGTTCCTGTTTAAATCCAAGTACCGGCGGAAACGAGGCCGAGGCGGAGACGATGCTCTCTCGCGGCTGGCACTGTTGGCCGTCATCTGGGCGACGCTTCTTCGTTGCGCCGCGCCCCTCGAGAGCTCGCAATTGGCCGCCGCAGCGGCCGCTACTGCCTCTTCTTCGTCGCCGCAGGGCCCACTGGCCACCGTTGCCAATGCCTCCTCCACGTGCCACGAGCCGGACAACTGTTTCAATGGGCACTGCGTCAATGGCAGCTGCCTGTGCAGGGAGGGTTGGCAAGGACCCAATTGTCAATACTGCGCCAGCAAAGTCAGGTCAGTCAGCAGGATCGTCGCGTACGCTTTGTACTTTTACAACCGCCTCGTCTCTGCCTTTTTTACCCCCTCGTTCCCGGTCAAGTCGGTTGATCTGCAATCTCATCTGATAAAGTATGTCTGCAGTGCTTTCACCTGACAGTCTACATGTAGTGTTTTTGTTGAGGTTAACAGTGCTTCTTGCTGTATATCTGTATCAAGAGGGGCTCTCTCCTCCAATGTGAGTTGCTTATATAGCAAGCCATTGAGATTTGCTGTATGCAAACACAGCATGTCTCTAGGCATGAATCTTAGCTTCTGAAACTTATCAATAAGAGATAACGGTGAACCGATGAAGTTCAACCTGCTAAGTATGGCTATCATGAATTGAATTCAATATTAGTTGATAAACTAGCTATTGAAGACTCTTCTTTGCATAATTTATTTCATAACAACAATTTTATTGAGGTTAATTCTATACAATTAAAGAATATTGTATACATGATTAATTTTGTAATGATGGAAAGAAGGGAAATATTTTTAATATTGTATACATGCGCACTTGACCCTGTCTGTATTTACATTATTTGCACAAGCTAATTACTTGTAGTTTTACTAATCCTTCAAAGAATATTTTGCTTGAACAAATTTTTATATACTGTGTCATATCTTTTAGATAATAGCATTTGTAAATAAATGTAAGAAACATACTGTTGAAATTAATTGGTGGCTTGTCACAGAATTATCTTTATGAAAAATTTTGATAACAAGAGATAGCTTATTAATATTTAGAAAGCTGACTTGGCTTGTCTTTGAAATTTATAGAAGTATTTAAATAATTCAAGCATTTAGTTACAAATATTGTTCTCAAACGCGAGTAGCATTAGCCTTGGCGCGGAAAAAACTTTGTCATGAAAGCCAAATGAGCAATGAAAAATTGTTCTCCACAGATGCCTCATTAAAACTTGATTCGAACAATAAACTCAAAGACCATTACGAAAACATTGTTGCCATCGAGCCACCCCGAAGAGCAAGCAATTCGGTCTATCTGAATCAATAAAATGTCTTTTTCACAGTTTACTCGACTTTAAAATGCAAATTGAAATGCTTGGCCAATTTAGTCGCGAAACAGGAAAAGAGTGGAGTGGAAGAAGTAAAAAAGATCGCTGTACGCGTGAGCCTGAGCCTGGCGGCTGATCCTCGCACGCAAGATGCATATCTCGCCGGTGCAGTCAGCCGATCGAACCGTCGCTGCATACCTTTATGCGCTCGATGACGATGAATTAATATAAATAGCACTGCAAGAGTTGTCCCACGATAGCCATTCAGTGACACGCATGTCGTGACTTGTAACGGTAAAGACCTCGCGCCGTTGCGCCCGCGATGCTCGGTTCTAGCCTACGTACCTATAAAAATTTTTCGGATGATAATTATTCCGAACGCGAACGCTGCCTGCAACGTTTTTTTTTCTTTCCTCTTCCTTAGAGAGGAATTTCGATTTTTCGACAAAAGAAAAAAAAGTATGACTCGCGCGCGCGCGTGCGTAAAACTGGTTCTCGTCGAGTCGGTCAGCCGTGCGTATAGCTTTTGCGCTCGGGTTTTAATTGGCTCTCGAGCCGCTGCAAAAACAATGCAGTTTTGTGTGCATTAATGTTTCTAATATCGATTTTTCCGCCTGGTTAGAGCTCTGTATCGGTCCGTTTTCGCTTCGGCCAGAAACGCCGATTGAATTTTTCAAGCCGTTAATAATAAACGAGTAATATTTACGAGAGCTAATGGAGCCTAGCATGACGCTATATTTGTGATCGATGACAAGCCTTGTAATTGTAAAAGAAAAACTGTCCCGACCGAGTGCATCCAGACGACCGTCAGTTTTTTCGAATAAAACTATAGTGAGTTGCAGTTTTTATCGGCGAAAAGGGAAAAATTTTCGAGCTTTCGACATTGAAAATTATAAAGTCGGCTCAGGTTCGGGATCGATGTTATGTAAAGGTCGCCTCGCGTTCTTAGTTTTATTAAATAAGACTGATCGAAAAGTTATTTGCCCGAGGGTCCGCGCGATAAAATTGTTAATCAGGCAATTTTCGTTGTCCGCCGTCCACGGTTCATGAAACGATATCAAGCAGGGCTGCGCGTAATGCAGAAAGTAGTCCCGTACACAGAGGCTTTGTGTGGGTCGCTAATGCCATTAGGCGGCGTACGCGCGACGACGATCGAAAATGAGCGATGCCTATCAGCGAAGGGCCATTTGAAATTCATATACAATCAACGATTCACCTACTTTTTCCACTGTAGGTGTAGTCTCTTCGGCGTTGCGCAACGCCACGCTTATTATCTCGACAGCCGCATATAAGTTTTCACGCGATTCAACCTTCCGTTATGTTTTCAAGTATGAATTCCTTAATGACCCTCGGAAATTGAACGACCTTACCCGGCCCTGTTACGCAAACTTTCGACCTTTGGTTATTTGATTGCCCGGAAGAAGAGGTCGAGTCAATGTTGTCAGAGAAAACACAGGTAACTTTCCCGAAATTCGCTTAATCAACGAGAGAGAATAAAAAAAGGCCGTTCACACGCGAGTAACCAAAACTCGTGCGTTATATGCGCGGGCTGTCACTCGCTTCGGAGTTGGTCGCCGTTGAATTCGACGCGCACATGATCGGGCTAATTAGGCCGATCATAGCCTCCTCCTCGTCGATGACGCTGTCGCGTCGATCTCTCCCCGCATGCTCGCGCTCGTTCCAGCATTGTTCAATCGTAAAATATTCCCGACGGTTGCAAAGTATCTGCATGCGCGCCTATCCTACACAGCGCTCATTCAGCTATGCGGAATTCGCCAGACTTTCTAAAATTGCGTTGTAGGTTCAATTCAATTTTCGACATTCCGAATGTGACCTTTCTCACACATAGTAATTATAGTGCTATCCTAAATAAATAGAATTCCTAATTAATGGTTTTAAGGCAATAAATGGATAATAAGTGAACGTAAACATGTTCTGAATGAAGAAATGTTGGCCAATAATGTGACAATTTTATCTTATAAAACACAATGCAAGAATTGCACTTTCAAACCACTTCCTAATCAAACAATCCATGTATTATTGCAATCCACTAAAAAAATGTGAATTCTTAAAGTTAGGTTAAAACGGTAATATAATTGTCGATCATTTACGAGGTGACAAAATCGAGCTTCGTTTTCTTGTCATTCACCAAACTCGCTAATCGGATTGCGCTTCAATATTATAAAATATATGGTGAAAAAAACAAACTCGTTGAGTAGCTTGAGCTTAAATGTTTATCAATTTATAATATTGACTCATCTCTCCAAGTTTTCTAAGTTTTTAGTGTTTTTACAATTGATCTTCAACCACTTGTTACTTGATGCAGGGTACACACCAGCGACTTTCAACTTGAATATTCCAAATTTATGAAAAAAAATAAAAATACTATGCTGCATTACAATTCTTTGCAATTTGGATCATTGTGTAATTGAACGAAGATTGGAGCTAAGACTTAACAATCGCTTGCTACATTTTACCAAAGACGCATGTTACCTGTAGTGGTTTACACACTTTAATACCCGATAAACGTATCGAAAATACTCGCAAGATCTTCAGTTCAAATCTGATCAATGAATTTGTCAGTCAGCGCATAGTTAATGCAGACAAGCAAGTGAAAATTGAAGGTTTAATTGGAAAAGACTGGTGACGCATTGGCAGAGATGAGGCATACGATTAAATTAATAAAAAAGAGGGATGGGATGTAATCAATACGATCGCCAAGATTATCCCGTTCTTGACACTATCATGCATGCATACGTACATGCGGACAGGTTATCGGAGCCATCGGGCAGCATCCATGACGGCGTGGGCAACTACACCACGGACGTGAAGTGCTCGTGGCTGATCGAGAGCCGTGCCAATTCGAGCATACGCATGCACATCGAGGAGTTCGCGACGGAGTGCGGCTGGGATCACTTGTACATCTTCGACGGCGACAGCGTGGAGGCGCCGTTGCTTGGCGTCTTCACGGGCCTCATGCACAAGGACGACTACCACATCAGACGGGTGCCCGAAGTTATCGCGCGCTCGGGCAGCGCCCTGCTGCACTTTTACTCGGATGTGGCTTACAACATGAGCGGCTTCAATATCACGTACAAAATCAACGCTTGTCCTAGCAGGTGAGCCTCTCCTCTCTCGGTCTTGACTCTCGGTCTCTGCGCACTTGCGAGGTTTCGTCGACAAGGGGTATGTTCTTTTCTCCAAGCGAGAATCTCTCTTTATCTCACTCGTCTCGGACGTGTACGTCGCCACGTTAATGCGATTCAGACGATGTTTCGCATTGAATATTCCAAGTGGGCGAATCGATCAGCGAAAAATCCACACTGTTGACAGTTGACTATGTTGATTCCACAATCCATACTTCTTATTCATTCTGCTTTCGTTTTTGAAGCATGTTTAAACATTTTTTTCTTTTCCTTTTTTTATTCTGGAGGTTCTGCAGACAGACTATTACGTTTCAATTTTAAGAATTTCATAGATTTGTTAAGCCGAGTCTTTTTAGTGACATTACACAATCAGCCAAAGGCATTTAAAAAATCATCTAAAAGTTTTTCGATAACCTACCCAAATTTCTAAATTCAGAGATGATTACTGCAGCTATTGGAGATATTCGCGAGACTTTGGGCGAGCAACCACTTCGTTAACGACTCATTCCAATCGATGCGCATAACAAAGATTCATCGAGGCGAATTCCAGGATACGTGATCGACGCTGGTCGCGCAAGCGCGTTTTAGCTAGTCCACTTCGAAACTTGATTGTCTGTCTCTCCATCACTCGTGCAAACGTTTGTCCTAGCTCTCTAAAGTCCACGTTGCGCATACTAAGCACGCGAGGCACGTCGCAACTTTCCGCGAAACACGTGAACGTTTAATTATCGGATCGATCGAAAAGACAATGAGAGGAAGGGAGGCTCTTTCTTTCGCGCGTCTCGCGTACACGATTCGAATTGGAATTTCTTTTTTGCGCATCGTACAACCAAGAGAGAGTGAGAGAGAATGAGAGAGAGAGAGAAAGAGAGAGATAGAGAGAGAGAGAGAGAGAGAGAGAGATGTGGACAAAGAAAGAACCAATGCAACCCGGTCGTCTTATACACTCGCAGTGGTCGCCGGTTACTATACGCGGCCTTCTCTCTTTCGTTTCTGCTTCTGACTCATAAGCCCTCCTCGATGTCTGTCGCTTGCTCGGCTCGTAGCGCGCGCGTTTTCTTGAACATCGATGTCGATGACCTTCGCCCTCGCTCGCCTTGTGATTTACGGCGCGGCCTGCTCACCATTTCAATGACCAACGACATTCGCACGCACACAGAGATTCGCACGTGGACTGTTCGGGACATGGAGTCTGCATCGAGGGCGTGTGCACGTGCGACGCCACGTGGATGGGCGAGGCCTGCGACGTTCCAGTCTGTCCCAACAACTGTTCGGCCCACAAGGGCCAGGGCAGGTGCAATCATCAGGGACACCGGTGCGACTGCGAGGCCGGATACAGAGGTACGTATGGCTTTGCCAATCATGCGAACGCCCATTGACGTCACCGACCAATCAAATTGCCAACGGCGTCGCTAATTTCTCAAACGTCCATGTATCTTATTCGCGGCATCCATAATTTTATTATCTACTTTATTAGACACGGCACTTCTAACGTTAGTCATTTGTCTCGCCTGTCTGCATGAATTTTAAATGGTTGCGCGTGCTAAATATCGCTTTGAAAGCCAACGCAAATGCATTTTCTCGGAAACAAATCATATTGTCCTCTTTTCAGCATACGTTATCTTTTTTCTTTCACTATATCCTGTCGAATGAACCCTGTTTAAAAGCAAGATAAACATTTATTGTACAATGGACAATCGAGTGCTGCACAATGTATAGTCCGGAAGCGTTTAAAATCTGCACAAGCAATTTACGCGCTTAAAGTATTTAACTGCATTTGTTTAGTTTTGCCGGAAAGAGTAAGCGCTTAACGACTGATTTCGGCAGTCGTGCACGTAAAAGGAACATTACCGCTTGTCGATAAAAACCGAGCGGTCTGAAACCGCCTTTTTCAAGCTGGCGTTGTTGTGCGAAAAGAAACCATAGCCTGTTGCAACTGGGGTATATCAAGAGGTCATTGACAAGCCCGGCGAAAAGCAAGAGAAACAGAGCTCCGCGCGTAGAAACGAGAACGGCAATGGGTGACAATTAGAATCTCTCGGCAACTGCAGTTCAGATTTGCAGCGCATCGCTCACCGTCGCGACAAAAAATCCGGGGAGTTTCCTTCTTTTTTTATCTATCTTTTTTGACGCTCTTTCCCGAAAGTTTCTGAAATATGCTTGCGCGTCGTCGTATAGCTGACTTTGGGCGAGCAGCAAGCGCGCATGCACATCTTACGACTCGTTTTTCTGCTTTTACATGCGTGCACTTCTCCTTCCCTCCCCGCCTCTTGCTCTCTCGCTCTTTCTGTCGCCGTCGTCGCGCGTACGGTACATACAAGCACCACTTGCGAGCTGGGATAAAATACGCGTGCCTTCTGGAATAGCGCTATTTTCGAGTGCTGCGAAAAGTACAGTGTAGGCGGTGTGGACTTCTCGACTTGCGAGAGCATGTGCAGCAGTTGGTGATGGCATAGTATGAGAGTTCGAGAGCTTGCGAAGCGCAAGACTTTCCTCTTTTAAAGGCGCCAAATGTCACTCGAACGTTGCAGATTAGCACTCTCCTCAAGAGCTTATGCTGCATCCTTCAAGCAGTCGTTTCGCTTGAGCTTTTCCGAAAAGACATGAGCGTAATTTCCGCGACATGTTTCAGGAGCGGACTGCAATCAAACGAGCGAGCAGGGCTATTGGGACGCGATCAACTATAACGACCTGGCTCCTGATGGCTCAGCGAGCCACTGTGCAATCGTTTGGCAGGACTCGCTCTACATTGTTGGCGGCGAGAGCTTTCATCGAGCGAAGATGATCTACGTCTACGACTACAATGGTAACGTGTGGGAGACTCCGATAGTCTCCGGTCGCCAACCACTGCCACGCTACGGTCACTCGTGCGTTCTCTTCGGCGACAAGATCTATATGTACGGCGGTGTGATCGAGAATTCAACGGTCACTAACGAGATCTGGGCTTTCGACGTGTCAGCTAAGCTTTGGGAGAACGTCACCGTGCACGATAACTGTATCAACAAAACCATGTGTGGACCTCTTAAGGTTGATTAACTTTTTATATCTCAATCTTAACTAAAAATCTTGATTTCACAATAATTTTAGAGTTGACTGATAATAACGACGTGCCCTTTTCAATGACACATAGTAAGCGACAGTCTGTTGCACATACACACGCTCACCACAATTTCGTATTTATTACTCAATCGACTAGTTCATACGCAATTACAGAGTGATTTTCTTATAGTGCAATTAATGCCTAACTATATCAATATATAACGATTCATTTACGCAACCGATAAAAAAAGATCAGTCGTTTATATAATTGCTTTGAAGCTTTTGTGCAGGATGTAACTTCTGTATTATCCAATTGATTACACGAATTATGTACTCGACAAAGATATTCTAAAGCGAGAAAATAAATCTTGAGATGCATTTGGGATCGAGGAAAACATTTTGGTTTTTCAAAATAATCGATTATATGACTTTATTACGATGTGATACAAAAAATTATTTTCATTGTTGTAGGTTGCCGGCCACACTGCTAATTTAGTACAGAGCCATGACAAAAAGGAGAAAATGGTGGTGATATTCGGTCACTCGCCGCACTATGGCTACCTAAATACCGTCCAAGAGTACTATTTTGGTGCACGCGAGTGGCAGATTGTCGAGACCTACGGTTTCCCAGTAAAAGGCGGCTACGGTCACAGTTCAGCTCACGATCCCGACACTAATCTCATTTACGTGTACGGAGGCTACGTCTCGGAATCCTTAGCCACTCAGGTCCTTACTAACCGTCTATATTCTTATCATCCGAATCGGCCACGAGAGTGGAGGTTGCTAACATCAGCGCCATCGGCAAGATTCTTCCATACGGCTGCGTTTGTCAGCAAATCACTCATGCTGATATTTGGTGGAAACACGCATAACGATACACTTCACTCGTACGGCGCAAGATGTTATTCCGCGGATACAATTGCTTACGATGTTCTTTGTGATACATGGAGACCGTACAATATGCCTAAGGAGATGGCCGACCTGTCGCGGTACGGACACAGTGCTACTGTGTTTGGAAAGTCAATGTATATTTATGGTGGATTCGATGGACAGATGCTCTCGGACATGCTCAGGTAAGATTAACATTTAACTTGGCACTTTGAGCGCTATAACCAAAGATGTCGTACGATTGGGTATTTTTAACAGGTATACGCCAGGCACCTGCGAGCATTTGCGCAATCATAGTCAATGCTTGAACTCCAAAATAGGCCTTAAATGCGTGTGGGACAAGAAGAAAAGCGAATGTCTACCGATTACGGCAAACTTACGGAACGTCATCCTGTCCGACGACTATAATGACGATCGTTATATGCGTTGTATGGATGACATACCACCCCGTGGCATGACTTCGCACAAGGAGCTATGCAAGCAGCTGGCCGATTGCGTAGCTTGCGTGCAGACGTCCTACAACTGTGTGTGGTGTGGCAAGAGCTGCTCGTATGAGGTCTGCAGGAATATTGCCAACGCCCCCTCCCTTACCGGAATCACCAAGCTCGAGATGTGTGATGCACATAGCGGTGTCGAGTGTTACATGCTGCACACGTGCCAGGCGTGCTCCAGTAATCCCAATTGCATCTGGTCATGGTCGGGCTCTGATAGATGCAAACCACTTTCCGAAATCGCTATTGTAAGTGTCACCGAAGTTTACCCATAGACCGCTTTCGGTATTCGTCCAAAATCTATCAATTTTTATCAGATTGTTTGAAAGAAAAATATTATAAAGTGAAATTATGCCAATATGTGTTCAAGGCAAACGCAAACAATACTATTCCGCCGCAACGCTCGCCGGTGGATATCTGTCGTAGTCCTTGCGTGGAGTACACTTCGTGTCGCAATTGCACCGAGACCGAGTGCATCTGGTGTCAAAATGAAGAAAGGTGTGTTGACAAAAATGCTTACCCGGCAAGCTTTCCTTACGGACAATGTCGCGAGTGGACGACAGCACATGAAAAGTGTCGCAACACGAGAAATCCCAACGAGTGGTGTATTTCGCACAACTCTTGTGCCAACTGCCGAGCAGATCCTGCGTGTGGGTGGTGCGACGATGGCTCAGGTACTGGTCGAGGAAAATGTTTGCCGGGAGGTGCTCGACAGCCGAGTCATAGAAGTCCAGAGAGCTGTCCTCTCGATAGATGGTACTTTACCGAATGCCCATGTAAGTTCTTGTAGATTTATTTTTTGAGCGCAACTTAATTCATGAATTCTTGTTTATTTAGCTTGTCAATGCAACGGTCATAGCACGTGCTATCCCAATAGCAGCGAGTGCATTCAACCGTGTAATGATCTGACGCAAGGACTTCACTGTGAAAGATGTAAACATGGCTTTTATGGTAATCCACTGAATGGAGCTACATGTCAACGTCAGTTTTTTACATTGTTATTAATTAAACAAAATAGTAAATATTAGAATATTCATCTATTTTCATTTTTTGTTTATAGCTTGCTCGTGTAATGAGCAAGCCACTAACTGTACTAGTGAGACTGGAAAATGTTTCTGTACAACGAAAGGTATTATAGGTGATCACTGTGAAAGGTGCGATGTGAGTGGACTTTATCATGGTGATCCAACACATGGAGGATCATGTTTTTGTTAGTACAACCACACGACGCTATATATTTGTACCTGTATTATATAACTCATCTGTATATTTTTTTCCTTCTAGACGATCTAGCTATAGATTATCAATTTACGTTCAATTTAAGTAAAAAGGAAGACCGACACTATCGAGCGATAAACTTTAAGAACTCTCCACCAAAACCTGACGTAGACGCTGACTTTTCTATAACGTGTTCCGTCATCGCCAGAATGAATATAACCATCAAGAGGTCAAACAGTCCAGAAAAACCCTTACTTCTTGGAGCTAACTGTACTAATTTGACGTATAAGCATCGTTTCAGCAAAGCGGACTACAATTTCGGAAACGAGGACAACAATACTCTGACAACTTTCTTTGTTTACGTTTATGACTTCCAGCCACCGCTGTGGATCCAAATCTCGTTTTCCCAGTATTCTAAGCTCAATTTGCAGCAGTTTTTTATAACTTTTTCTACGTAAGTGCCTTGCAAATCAATTTCATCATTTTTTTTTAATCGTTTCAATATTAGATTAGATTAGTTATCGACTTCAATCATCATTCAGTCAGTCCAATCACTTCTAATTTAGGCATGATATGTTTTACAGGTGCTTCCTAGCTTTGTTGCTGGTAGCTGCGGTTCTCTGGAAAATTAAACAAAAGTATGATATGTATCGGCGAAGACAACGATTATTTGTCGAAATGCAACAAATGGCTAATCGTGCGTTCAGCCAAGTGCTTGTAGAAATTGAGAGACGGGACATAAGTACTACCGAAACTGATAACAGTGATACTGAAGCTAATAATACTCGAAAAAAGAAAAAGAAAAAAGTTAGTTTGTTCACATATTTTGAACTTTTTATACAGAAACACTTTAATTCAATGATAATGTATTGTTAATCAATACATTTTCCAGGATGCTCCAAGTCCAATAGCTCTCGAACCTTGCTGTGGCAACAGAGCAGCAGTTTTATCATTACTAGTCAGACTGCCGACAGGCGGTGAGCCGTATACTCCAGCGGGTCAGAGCGCCGGCCTTGCGGTAGCCTCGGCCTTGGTAACTCTTGGGAGTCCCCGTCGGCCCTCACAAGAACTCACCATCAAGGAGCCCAAAAAGTCTCGAAAATCCAGCAGTCAGCATCCGGAGTCAACGTGCATTTAACGGTGAATCATGGAGAGAACGAGTCTCATTTAGGCCTTTGAACTTTGCAAGTTCACATACTCATCACGCGTTTCTCGAACCGTCGAGTGACTCTTCTGTCATTTATGGTCTCCTTCGTACGGAGTATCGCTTTTCTTTCATTCTGTTCTTTTATACTTTTGTTTTATTGTCATTCCTGGTACTTAGGTCCATTAATCTCGTGGTACAAGACTGAATAAACTTTAGACTTCTCCCCCTGATCTTGATGATATACGTAACCGATAGTATACGTAGATATATCGAACAGAAACTAATTTAATGATTGATTTGAGCACAATCGGATAAATAACGTTTCGTTTAAAATTATACCTTCTAAAATAGTTTTTTTAACAACATTGTTCAGTAGTCGATAGTCGCGGAGGAGAAGAGCCAAAAGTGATCTGTACAAAGATAAAACGACGAAGTTGAGGAAATCACGGCGCGAGATTGTATAGATTTTGTAAATATAGTTACTTATCGAATGTCGAAACATTTTTTATTATGCAAGGGAGGCAGATTTTTTAATTAATATACAAAGCTACTGACGTGAATCGCGAGTCTTCTGTATTGGTAAGAGTTACTAAATTTGATAGTGCGATTTCATGACCTTTGTAAAATCGATTCAAATTTTCAAGAAAGCAATTTTGCATGATTAGTTGATAATTCATAACACTAAATTCAAACAGATAATTACATTTTCAATACTCGTGCTTCGACGATTTGTATATATTTCTACATAGTTTTATGCCAAGTTAGAGTCGACAACGACTATAATAATATAAAGGAGCAATTAAAATCGGTGAAAGATATAGTTGTAAAAAATAAGTGTAAATTTTAAATAAGAGATAATGATAACAAGAAGTACAGTCATCTTATATTCGTTTCAAATAATCCATTCAAACTTTTCTTTTTTTGAAATTTCTCTTTTTGTAAAATTTTAATTTCTACATCAGTGCTTTAAATTATTTCCTATTTTTGTAAAATAAATGTTTTCTATTCAGATTTAATTCATTATGAATGATATTATATTAAATGTATTTTATAGAATCTCTTTCAATAAATTAACCGAAATAGGTAATATTCAGCACTGCTTCATTGCTACATGGATATAATATAATTAAAAATTAGATTCAATCGAGGCAGTGATTAATTAATTAATGATTCGTAAAAATATATAAACTGTTTTCTTCAAATTCAATTACTTATATATGAATTCTCTAGAAAACTTGGCTAACGTATGATCATAAATGAAAGCTGATTGCATTGATTGGAATAATTATATTAATTTGAATATTATATAATTAAATGAACGAAAAAATTAAATATACACAATAATCATTCCAGAATTCGTATAGCATATAAAAAAAAGGTTTTACAATACTTAAAATTTTTTAATGAACTTCACGTGGTCATCGTAAAACTAAGCACATTATTTTTCATTAACAGTGTATTCAGCTTAATCTAGTCTATAATGGAAAAGTTGGAGTAGTGGATGATGTATTAAAGGAAACGCGCGTGATAGACTTTTGAAACGCAAGCTTCTTTAAAATGCAATTTGCCGTTAAAGTGCAGTATTTTCTCAATCCACGATATACTCGTCTTGCAATTGCGAACAAACAGAAGCCTTTATTTATACAAGTTATAATTTAGTTTTATTATTGAAGATCTGCATTTTTTAAATTAAACTGTTAATTATCATTGCCGTTGCTCAATCAGTATAATTTGAAAACAGTGCGGAATTTATTGTAATAAGTTTTTAAACTTCTTAAAATTGTATGGTGATATTTTACTTTTAGAGTTTCGGTAGATTTTTTTCTGAAACTTTAAAGAACCGTTAATGATATTTGTAATAAATTAAGTGTACAGGAATTAGTGCTAATTAGTTTACATGTACAAACAAAATTTTACTGTTATTAAAAATCAATTTTGTAATCGAGGCAATATCTAAAGCATTAAAAGATTATTAAAATAACATTAAGTGCAATGCTTTTCCTTGTTTTGAATATGAAAATCAATCTCGACTGTATCAAGACTGTCAAACGGCATTTTGGCTAAAAGAAAGAGAATGAACACGCTATGTAGAAAAATGTTCTTTGGCGACTGTAAGTTAGAGTGCATGTGACATACCAAGACGGCTGTATTTTTATGCTAGTTTCTTAAGTAAAATTACATGCGCTGTATGAATGTTGAGAGTTGCATGACTATTGAAAAACATTGTATTATAAACTGAAGCAAATATTGTTTAAATAAAAATTGATATATATGTATATAGTGACTATTTTTTATTTTTTACAAGACACTTCCATTAAGTGGGAAAAATGAACACATTTTACAAGATAAGATATATTTATTTATTTTTTCATTGGCAATTCAAAAAGAAAAAGTTGTGGGCTATGCAAGTAGACATAAATATAAATGTAATGCAAGTGCAAATTCAACTACGAAAAACAAAACCATATTTTTCCAGGCAACTAACATGCCTGCATAATAAGGGTGTGCATTACAGAAAGAGCTGTTCTGTCATTCATTTTCCAAACATCCAATGGAAAATTTATGATAAAAGAACTTTATAAGTAATATATTTATACATAATATGGTACGAACAATTTTATCAAGTTTCTTGATCTTGCATATTTATATCAAATATGTACATATGCTTTGTTCATTTGGTTTGAGTACAATTATACGTTTGTACTCTGTCATCGCCCAATTGGGTTCTATACATTCACTTTTCAAAACCATGTGATTTATTTTCTATGAAAGAAGTAAAATAAATAACTTTTGAATGTCGAAATGATTTTATCTATTGCCTAATCGATGTTACTGATTTACTGTTTACACATTTATATAAACATTTATATAGGAACTTCAGCGTTGTAAAAACAATATTAACATGCTTTTTCAACGCCAATAATTCACATGTTTCAAAAGCTCTTTTTTACAGTCTTAAACATGCACAGATCCCATTACTGCAGTTGCATTTATTAAAGCAAAGAATGAAATTTTATTGTCTTTGCTTTAATATAGCTACACAAACTAGTAAGAAATAAAATGAAAAATAAAACAAACTAAAAATTTAACAAAACATCAAAATTCTAAGTCTCTTTTGAAACAGCTGACTGTTCGGTAATTGAATATCTATTCCAACACAGTGCAACTGGTTGACATTGATTGTCACCTTCAATATTTTCTGAATCGACTGATTTTTCATCTGTCCGCTCAACAGTTTGAACTTCTAAAACTTCTTCACATGCTCTTTCAAAGTCAACTCCACATTTTAAGTCTTCTTTACTCAAAGTAGTAATTATATCATAAGAAGCTCCATCTTTCACTTCAGGTAAAGTAATTCTTGCAAGCTCATTATCATTGTCACCAATGTTTCTGCTTGTGTCTTGAATTTTATGGTCATCGTTAATATGCAGTACTAAACAAGACATTGTATGATATATTTTTCCACAAATTTCACATTGGAAAGATGATCCATCCTCAGATTCTAAGCAATGGGCATAGTCTTTATGGGGATTGTAGACTTTTTTATGTAATTCCATATGTTTATCAAGATCTACTGATAAAATAAACTCGTAAGTGCATATTTGACAGTACACATAATGTTTTTCATAGCGACAGTGCGATCTTAGTCTATGTACGCTATCAAGAATTTTAGGGCAAACCGGACATTTTAAACATACATGATTTTGTAAAGCTTCATCATTGTCAAAAAGAGCTCCACAGTTATTGCACTGAGAGGTTTTTGAAGAGTTACAGAAATGCTTAAACCAATGCTTCTGAAGTTGGTGACACAGATCAAAACCCAGCTTACAATAAACACAGACATACCTACCCCATCTGTCCCTTTTTGCAGTAAATGTCATTTGCATCTCAGAAAACTCCCAATGTTTTTTAAAGCTATTTTTGCGTGTTAGATTCATATTACAAACTTCGCATTGGTCTTGATGCAAATTCAAATGATTGAATATTTGATTAGGGTCTTCATTGTTATACTTGCAAAATTTGCAGATGAGTTGTTCTTCTTCTTTTCGTAAGTGAATTGACACATGTTTTTCAAATGATGAGACTTTAAAAAACATTGCTGTACACGATGGACATTTAACATAAGGTTTACCAGATTCTGTGTACAGTAATTGGAGAGCAGAAAACTTTTTAATCCAACAACTAATATCCTTCTGCTCTTTACCATCCATTGATGAAAAATCACTGAAGTTTATTGTCATTAATTGACCATCAAATTCTTTAGAATTATCCTTAATCTCTATAAGGTTTGTAGGCTCTGGTGCTGTAGTGGTTTCAATGGTAGTTGTAGCCTCAGGTTCAAGTTTATGCAAAAATATCACCTTCTTTTGTAACTTTGTGTTCTTGTTTTTGTCATCTTCAGCCACTATCTCCTCAGTATGCAGTAATTCGTCACTGGTGATCCCTTGGGCTTCTGGCTCCAACAGAGTTATAATAACAAACTTATTGCTATTCGACACACCATCCATGCAGGAAATAGAGGCCATCGAGTGACAATCCTGCTCGCTAACAGTAGCTTGCTCGAAAGTAACTTCAGCTGTAGCTAGCTGATTTTCATGTTCTTCAGGTTTGTACTGGACTGGCATGAGCTCATGAATCTGCAACTCTTCCTTCATCGAGGTTTCCTTTTCCTCAACCTCCTTTTCTACGGCGAGCATTGCTTTCTTCTGACTTTTTGCTCTTTTCTTGATGGTCTTCTGACGTTTAGCTCCAGGTGCATGTCTCCTTCCCTCGGACTCGGTAAGAGTCAACATTATTGAATAATAGGCAAAAAGCGCCCGTCAAATGCGACGACGAGGAGTGAATAGCGCGCTTCAACTTCCCCGTCGACTGTTCGTACGAACAACACTGTCACGCCTATGGCTCTGAAAACGCATACAAACAGGAGTTAGTTGAATACTCGAAGGTGAATAAAGTGACATGCAAGCGCCATGTATATATCACATATACTGTGCGCGCTCCGAATCACGCTGAGCATTAGAAAGGCGTGCATTGCAATAATTATTTACCCGTCATTCGCCGCCTCCTCTTCTTGTTTGCCAGCTGCTTACTAATCGTGAAATGCAAAGCTGTCGCGATCAGAACAATTGTCGGTGCTCATGCACACACTGATAACACTACGGGAATTGATATGGACGCCGCAATAACAAAAGTGTAGTATGTGCGGTTGGGTTCTGCTCTCTCGCTCGCTCTCGAGGCTCGAGCGCAGGCTCGGCCTTTTTTTCAAAGCGCGGCGAGTGCGATAGATATTATATGTGCTCATATAGCCAGTACGCTGCTGCGCAATGATGGTCGTGCGCGCAGTGCTGCGGGAAACTGACTTGCCGGCTGAGGAAATTCGTCCGAGAGCGATTCGAATCGATACTGCGGCCGGGCGAAATCGTTTAGTCGATATTTTGGATTGCGATGACGGTTATTTGCGCATTTCCAAACGTGCTAGTCGGTTCGGGGACTTATTTTCTGTTAATAAATACTGATGCCTGACCGTTATTGGTTGTTACTACTGGTCAAGTTGAATCAATGATTATCTTGGTATGTACTTCATTAATAAGCGACAGCTGAGGTTTGGATCACAGATCGGATATTTTGCACTTATCAATTGCAAAGTTATGTATAAGTCAATGAATAAATAAAATTCCCAAAGTTATATTAATGATTTTCATAAATTTCATCCTCTATTCATCAAGTAGAAGATACTTTTTACGTATTACAATATTATTTACATGTTAGGCATATGTCATTCACTTTTCAAAACCCTTCATCTCACTGCAATGAAAATTCACTTTAAATGGTCGTAGTCTCATTTTAACGTCTTGCTAAATTTCAATTCCATTCATTGTATCGCGAGCAAATGCAGTGCCGTTGATCAAGAGAACAAAATCACACCGAACAAACGTCGGTTAAAGACGAGCAATTATGCAAGTACGCGAGAAAAGTTTTTAGATACTCGCGTCTCTGCCTGTCAGACGAGCGCCACTATGTAAAATTGGTCGTAATCATCGTTGATTTTCGGCAATACCAGATAAGCTCACGTTCCGCGTCGTAGCTGGGCAGAGACGAAGGAAAGACAAGTACCCCCATGAACGCTTGCAACGGATGCTTTCGTCAGCGAACATCGATCGTTCCCGAATCATCATCGACTTTTTCAGGATCGCCAAATCGCTGGTGAATCGACAAACCGAGGCTGGCGTCGGTCGTCGATGCGATCTATCGCACAGCAGCCTCGGCTGACCGTTCTTATTCCGCGACTACTTGCCTACCTCGAACGGCGTACACGTTTTATTGGTCGCGCGGCGATCGCGACGATCGATCGACCCATCTGCAAAGGAGCAGCCAGAGGTAAATAACTCTGTTCCGCGAGAACACGCGCGGGCACACCTCTGCTCTAGATCGTGCGCGGTGGTGCGGCTGCTGCCGCGTCAAGGCCAGCAAGGACGTGGCTCGTGACGTCGAATAATCGCTTTGCTACGGCTATTGATCGCTTGACGTCACTAGGCAGAGGGGCCGCGCGCGCAACTGCACTCGTCCGCGGCCCTTGCTTCGCAGCTGGCCTGTACCTTTGATCTCTCTCGCGCTCTTGGCGGTTCGCCACGGACAAACTGGACTCCCGTCCGATGTTCTTTTCTGACGTTCCCAGGCGAGCTGTGAAAGTCGTTCGTTGCGCGTTCGCAACTCACAGAATCCAGCCAAAAAGTACACCTGATCGTCGCATAACAAGTAATGTTAGCTTTTTATTGCATCGAATAGAGAATTAGCAGCTTCTTGCATTATTTTCTCTTGTTCAAGCTGAATAAAAATGCGCTTGACCGTGCGATTATCTCTTGGAATCTGTGATCGAAAACACATCCAAACTCACTGTCGACTTACGCTTAGCAAGCGTACGTTCGTCAACTGCCATGGGATTTTCAAAGGAAACAGTCGAGGCAAAGTTTTCGTGCACCTGGCGAGGACCTAAGCGGTTCTCGTAATTCAATCTGACGTAGCGTTCGCCTTGCGAGTCTTTTCATGGTCGCTCCCTTTGTGCGGCCCTCTACTTGGTTTTCTCGGCGGCACGCACACACACGAGAATACACAGCAGGTGTGCTGGTACCCTTGTGCGAGCTCGCTAGATCAAGATAAGCAACTCTCCGGTGCAGTTGCAAGTGTTGTGCAAGGAACGCGCGATCGCTTTGAAATGTGTGTTGTGCGCAATAAAATGTTGTGACAGTTGCGATCAGCGCAACGAACAAAAATTCGTATCGAAACGTCATACCGCAGCGATGAGTGCTCTCTTGGATTCTGCGATTGTCAAGCAACGATTGAATCTTGGCAAACGATGCACGAGAAGTCTTTTTCTCGCGGAATGTTTGCCAGCACTAGGTGATTTCGATAAAATGTATCTGCTCTGAGAAAAGGAAAATCAGATTCGGAGGAGGAACGGGTTAATTAACAGAGGTTATATAGTTTCAACAGTGGGTGGCTCCGAGCTGTGCACCCCCATGAAGCATATGTCAGTGCTGTCGGATCGGAGTGTTCGTGGAGCAACAATGTCGGACTTACCTCGGGTAGTGGGTTCAGCCGAGTGAACAGACGAGAGCGCATCGATCGCAAGCGCAGAGGGAGAGAAAAAGAGCGATGGTTGAGAGAGAGAGAGAGGGGAGCCATAGTCGTGTGGAAGAGGCGCACAGCAAGAGCACACACCGCTCATTCAGACTATAGCGAGCGCGCCAAGCGCACGTACAAAGCTGCTCGCACGCCACGCCGTCCGCCTTTTTCATTTGTCCACTGCCGCCGGTTAGAATGTACGCGCTCTGCGCCGGACCGTAGGAGTGCGTGTGTTCGTTTGATCCAGCGATCGTGCAGTCGTTGCTGCTATTGCTGCTGCTGCTGTTTATTGACCACAAGCGTCCAGACGAATCAGAGGTACGCCGCTTTCCCTTTTCCCTGGGCAACTTCATGGGGGTAGTCGCCGCGCTCCTCTCGGTGCTGCTCCGTTTTGCTCCGGTTTCACTTATTCGACGAGGTCAGGCTGCTTCGGCGTGCACACGCACGAGCTCGGCAAATTGCTGTCGTTTGCCGCTGACTGCAACGCGCACCCGACCCGGAAACTAGTTGGCGTGTTGGCGATTTGCATAAATCTCGGTGTTCCGTCAGATTGAGCTGCGGTCGACGACAGGGAATTCGGGCCAGCGCGTGAAATCAGGACTCGATTGAGCCTCGTACTAGTCGATATCCGCGATCGATGCTTCGGAGCGTGCGAACGTGGGGTTGCGAAAATGTTCGCGGAGCCACGTGGTGCAGTTGCGGCGGCTATTGATTTCTGCAGCGGGTGTGCGCTGCACGAGCGCCGCCACGGGGGGCGATACGAATCGCAAGCAAAGTAGCCGGAACACGAGGGCCCGTCTTTGTCGCCGGCTAACGAGGCACGTTCTTCGCTCCTCAGCCTTTTCCTCTCGCTCACTCGAGCGGAGACTTTAAACGGAGTTCATCAAGGAGATCTTGACAAGTCCCCGGCGAGAGATGCCATCTGAAGTTTCTCACTTTGGAGGAAAAAAAGAGCAACAAGTAGCTTTGTTATAAAGATTCGTCGTATCGTCGTTACATGCGCGTTGCCTAAATTGCCTTTCTCTCTCTCTCTCTCTCTCTCTCTCTCTCTCTCTCTCTCTCTCTCTCTCTTTCTCTGAGTGGAGTATCTTTATCACGTGCCGCAAGAACAAACATTTCGGAAGCGAGAATGTCCACATGATGAAGGCACAATTTTGCTAGGCGCGACATTTTTTACCGCATACGTTGACTCGCGCTACTTGATGAGGCAACCTTTACCTGTTGTTTGACGATAGCAACCCTCGACGAGAACCACTCGCGCACCCTTGGCAGAGAGACAACGCATAAACACACGACTTATCGTAGTCTTTGGCCGTTTGTGCATCGGCGCTTCGGCAAACCAATCGATATGATACAACGACTGTTAGCCTGCCCATTCAGGGAACGAGAAGGGCGAAGCCCTTTAGACGCATGCAAGGTGAGCAAGCAATAGTTATAGCTTACCATCTATTGTGGAAAATTAGCGACTAATTTTCTGCGTGGGTGTCGCTCTCGTGACGATTGACTTCCGGCTTTGCACAAGTGAATTGCCCGTTTGCAAAGTTTCTTTTCCATCCGCTTAAAGTACTATCGATTAGCAAACTTCTCTTTCCGAATAATCAAGGATTTTTCAAGGAACTGCGTTTTCAATTAAAAGATATTAGGCATTTTAATCGCGAACATTACGACAAATGTTTAATCAATAAAATTTTACGTGCTCCCTCGAACATTCCGTACAATGTGTAAGCATCATCGTATTTTACAACGAAGTTACAACTTCGATCTGCGTCGCCGAGGAAACAAGCTTATAATTGTTCTCTCGGCGACGTGAACTCGACAACTAAAGCTCCAATTGTAAACTGATTTGATTTGAATTATACTGCGATCGAGTTGCGTAACTCATCTTTGCAACATTTTTGTTTTGTTTCGTCGTCAATGCGGAAAACTTGGTTTTACAAGAAAATCAGCACAGAGCGATATACTATATTACAGTTCCATAAGTTGCACTACGGACCCTCGAAGCAGTACGAATGCGGGACAGGAAATCTGAGAACGTACACTACCCTTGGCAAGGTACTGTATCGGCCTTTGATATTTCTAACAGATGAAAGAATATCTTGCAGTTTGATAGTCCCAAAATTAAAAGTGTATTCACAGGGTCGAATAATTAAGTATTTAAATTAATGCAGTCTTTTAAAATCATTTCGATGGCTCTGTTCAATGAAAGGTGCAGCAAAATCTTTAATGGATTTTTAAATTCTATGTTTTCGGTTATATGTAATAATAAAATTATCGAACTTAGTCGTGATGGAATGCGTTTCATTTGCTTATCTACATTAGCTGATAATGACTAAAGATATCGCTACAGCTGCACTTAAGAATATAAATCATCGTAGTCTCATGTCATTTTCTGGTTCTCCGATTTAATTTTCTAGCGATTAGTCTCCGACGAAATGTTGTCTTCTCGGTGACGAAGACAGTCTCGCTCGGCTCTCCTTTTTTGTTGTCTCGCACGAAGCAGCGGAATCCCGAAGAAAAAAAAAACTCGCAGAAAGAGAGAGTAGCGTATATATCCGAGATGAACGCATCTACGTTAGCGGTTATTTTTTCCTTTTACGATCTATAGACAATGGCACGCGCACGAGGAGAAATCCAGCGATCCTCACCTTGTGAATTCGTGTCTTCTGAATGCAATTTATCTTGTCTTCGATCGGAAGCTCATAAATAATGCGAATAATCGATGCGTATCCTTTAATTACTCGTAAAAGTACGAAGAAAGAGTGAGGAATAGAGGCTGCATTACGCGACGATTTCTCGAGGGATCGCGCGCAATAAATCCTGAGGTCTTGAGCCAAGATAAAGACGCACTCGGTCTTCTGCTTCTCGTTGCTTGCGATATTTTCTGCCATATGCGGTGGGCTCAATGAGAAACCGAGGTTGATTTCGCTTACGCGCACGGGTTGAAAAATCTCGATTGATGCAACAGCGCGCAAGAGAAAAATATCACGGGACTTTAGCGAGATGAGGGAGAAAGAAGTGGGTCGATCAGTTGCTGTCGTACCTTTTAGATTAACGAGTGGTAAAGCGCAGTATGTGTGTATGTGTGTGTGTGTGTACGTACCATTTGGCACGAAGGTTAACATTGCATTATTCAATGGAAGAGGAAATCAAGGGGATGCAGTAGATCCTCGTGGGTGGATAAAACATAGTGCGAGAATTTATAGTTGTCTGCGCGCTAATTCCTAATTTCTTTCAATCGATCTGACAATTCTACCACATTTGTTAGAAAGTTTCATCCGTGAAATATATCGATTTAACGAACATAGCTAAGCTACGCCTACAATTTAATTCCAACGAAATGAATTAAACAATATGTATTTCTTGTGAAAGAATTGTACAATAAATTGTTGCTCAAGGCAGACAGTTGTCTACCGAATGCGTAAATTATACAACGAGCGCATTTGAACTGGATTTTCAGAATGTCCAAGTCCGGCAGCACGAAAGGCAGCATAAAGGATGGCGAAGCGCCAGACGCATTCGACCAGGTGGGCACAGGCGACGAGATTAAACTGGAGGCGAAAATGACCCTGTTGAATGGGGTCACCGTGATCGTCGGCTCGATCATTGGTTCCGGCATCTTCGTCAGCCCTACTGGTGTGCTCAAGTACACTGGAAGCGTCAACATGAGTTTGATCGTATGGACCATCTCCGGAATTTTTTCCATGGTGAGTTTCTTCCAATATGATAAATATATTTGACAACTGAATTTACATTGCACAGTTGATTTTTCAATCAAACGTTCTCGAGGTCTAATTTTTCTTTAATTTAAAAAAATAAAAATTCAACTGGTCCTTTTCAAAACAAGTGAATTACACCATCATCTCGTATTTCTTATTACATATCCAAGCAAAAACGCATAAGCCACTATTTCTACCGTCGCTTTGTCGTTATTTTGCAGACTCAACAAATTTCCACGAAAAAGGCTAAATTAAAAGCCTCAATCTCTACAATACTCTATGTATCACTCATCGATCATAGCAACTGGCTCATAGGCATTTACATTTGCAGGTGGGCGCCTACTGCTACGCCGAGTTGGGCTGCATGATTCGGAAATCCGGGGCAGACTACGCCTACATCATGGAAACCTTTGGCCCGTTCCTCGCGTTCGTTCGGCTCTGGATAGAATGCATGATCGTACGACCGTGCAGTCAAGCTATTGTAGCGCTCACATTCAGCAAATACGTGCTCAAGCCATTCTTCGAAGGATCCTGCACACCACCTGACGATGCTGCTAGGATGCTTGCTGTTTGCTGCATTTGTGAGTTTCAATAGGGTTTTTCTTCCGTTTGAGAAAGTGTCGGTTTTTCTTATAAAAACACACACATGCACAACTACTCAGATATTTGACGAAATTATGGCATTTTTGCGAGACATTGGCATTGAAAAAAAATATTTGTCAATTTGGGTACCATATCGGTGTGAGTTCCGTCGTAGTATTTAAACTCGAGAAAATTTTGCAGCAATAATATTGACACTTTGCATTCGATAACGACCTCTTTTCGTTAATAATAACTTTTGATCCGGCAATGAAGGTCAATAAATTCTTTTTGATCTGGTCTCAACGAGTATAATGAACGTCTAGCGCTTTCCGCTTCTCGGAAAACTTCTTTTTTTCTCGTCATCCTCCTTGTACCATACTTTTCGCAGCCTCAAGTAAAATTTATCTGCGCCTCGCAACACTTTTTATAGTTTGCATCATAAATCGCGCGTCGTCCCTCAAATAATTCCCGATGCGTCATGTGCGAACATGCAAATTTTTTTAAACATGCCTTATTACAGTTTGATGGCTATTCGAGCCTTGTTGCAATTAAAAGTCTAACTCTATATTCAAAGTAACTACCCTAGATTCTCAAACTGAAACTCATCCCGCGTTACGGCTTTGGAAGCAGTTACTCATCGATCCGTAAGCTTGTAAAGGTTCAAAGCGGTATTTCCTAGACGAAACTTAATTGATATAATACGATGGTCATCTGTGAAATACTTTTATAAATGAACAAAAACGCACTGTCGTCAGAACTTGCTTAGAACAGACATTTTTAATCACTCGAGAAGTCGTTTTGGTGCCAAAGAAGCATAAATTACAGTGAACTCTTCCTCAGTACAGTACTTGTTCAACGCCTACGTCGGACAACTAAGTTATCGACTTTACAGTTTTTCATTCATCGGAGAAAATACGCTACATTTTAGCTTAATTAAGGTCACTTTCTATTTCAGTAAACACTGATTTTATCTAATTTTCAGAATGATTCATTTTCGAAATTGCTTTTTCGTTAATATCCTAGTTTCAGATAAGCTGACACATTCTTTACCCAAGTGCTAGTTCATAATGTGAGTCTCCGAACATTTTTTTCCTAGTTAATATTATGAAAATCAACAAGTCAAACGATATATCTTTACAGAAAAAGTATCGGAAGTTCACACGACCACACAAATAGGAGTAGAAAGTAATCCTTTGTGGCTACACAATTTCCTTAGACCGATCGATCATCGGGAAGATAACAATTCTCCTAATCATTCGCAGCCACGTCAGATCGTCTTCTTTTATTCATCTTAGTCATTTTTATTTGCTTAGGTGGTTAGGGGGCTCACCGTGTTAATCGTTCAAAAATCTTTCTCAATCGGCCAGATTACAACTAGTATATCTTAGCCCGTAAGGCTGATGTTGCACGCGAGTTTTTACATCAATGGCTCTCCAGGGAAATATAATAGCAAGCAAAAACACGCACATGTCATTAGCAGTACAATTTCTGTTTACGCGGACGAATAAAAAAATTAGCGCGCGCGCGTGAATACAATGCTGAATACGGAAAAAAGTTGACTGACGCAACCTGAAGGTGAAATTTCGCTGCGGATACCTACAAACTAAACACGCTACCTTCGTATATTTTCTTGATCGGCACGTGATATATGCATCGTGCTTTCTTTGACTGTAATTTGCCCGCATTCTCGACATTTTACATTCGTGATGTTTCAAATACATGTAATACTTTGATCGTTATTCATTCGAATTTTTCAATTTTACTGGACTTAATCATTCATCATTGAAGCAAGGAAATACACATTTAAGCTATTATAAAATAATACTCGAACCTCCGATGAATTGATCTGAAATCGGCTGAGATAAAACTTTAATAAAAGCGTGAACGAAGTTGTAGTAAACATCAACTTGCACAGGTGATCCATTAAAGACGATTTGATTCTTTGAAACTCGAGAAGCTGTAGAAAATAAGAGGAATGTATCTGTCGGGAGCGGAGAGATTTTCTCTACGATGGCTACGAGAAAAAAAAGTGACAATTTCCTCTGGAATTACATTGTCTCCCCTAACAGAAAATTCTTCGACTTCCTCGGACGTTATGAGGAAATTCGACCCTCTTATGAAAGTGCTAACTACTTGAAGGTAAATCCCTCGCAGTCGCGTAATCAGCAATGAATTCCCAATAAGTAAAGTAGAAACAGATTTATGAGCTTTTTTCCATCAGTTACCCATTGATTACCGTGGGCCCGTTATTTAATTCATGCGTTCGAATTGAAGTCTTGGCTTAAATGGATATTCGTGACGCAATCGTCGGAAGAAAATAAAAGGAAAAAAAAGAGGAGAAAAGCTTTCAAAGTTCTTGCAATCGATTATGCCCAAGGCTTGCAGCATAATGACACATTCTCTTTCAGTCTCGTTTTCTTGGCGCAATATCGGTGCGTGTCGACGGGGAAATAACTTGAAAAATGTTAATTACGAGATCGAGAGACCACAAGACGTTGAAAAATCCGAGATACTCCGTTGTTTTATTTCACTCTCTCTTTTTTTAATACATTAGGTTTTTGAAAGACCTTTGCGAGTAAACTTGAATGCAGTTTGAATCAAAATGATATACTTTTACTCAAGTCAAGATCAACCTTAACTTATCACAACTGGTTCAGATCGTTTTGCTAAATTGAGATTATTGTCATTTTTATATTCAGAAAAACATTTCACCGATCCGAATCAATAAAAATGGCATGCAATGAAAGTATTTGTAAATATAATTAAAAATTCGCCTACATCTCGTCTTTAACTCCAAATTAGAGCCCCCGGACATGAACAAGAAAAAAAAGAATGAAAAAGTAATCACATGCGCATAAAAGTGCTGCCGCCGCCTCCATGTTTCATACACGTGCGCACGAACGAAGACTCCTAGTCGGCAGTTCTGTCTCTCTAATTGCGTCCAATTTCTAACAAAAATCAAGGTTGCCCGCGCGCTTATCTGCACAAAAGGAACTGCTGCCTATTCTCAATTGGCCGTTTGAGTGACCCATTGTCGAGGGCCACTAAGCACAATTTCTTCTCTCTCTCTCTCTCTCTCTCTCTCTCTCTTTCTCGCTGTCTCTCGCGTACCGTATAATATTGGCACCGATCATTACCTATCGTCTTCGTGGATTTTACCTCATTATTATGAATGTGCAATTTCGATGAATCAACGGTGCCCTACCGGTGCGCGTAGGCATTTTCGAGGATTCTCTCTGACGAAAAGAAGCATAAGATTCTAATATGCTTTTTAAACGTAATCACAAGTGAAAGAGTCCTTTTACTATATCATTTCATTCGCGGTGATGAAAAGTCGAACAACCAAGCTCAATTACGCAAGGTATCTACCCGAATAAGAAGTAGAGTGTAATGTGAACGTTCGAAACGACACTCGAAGTAAGCTGCCAAAATGAACTGGCCAGCCGTGTAATTTTAAAAACTCGATATCACCGAAAGCAGGAAAACTAATTTGATCAATGTTTTGATGCGATCGATTGCAGGTATCCTGGCTTTCGTCAACTGCTGGGATGTGAAGTGGGCAACGAGAGTACAGGACGTGTTCACCTATGCCAAGCTACTCGCTCTGTTCATAATCATCGGCACAGGAATCTACCAGCTGGCTATGGGTGAGTTGACGTGCTATGCCAGACATCTTGGGCAAAAGCTATGCGGCAAAAGTAGATCAGCCGCACGCGCGCGAGCAGTCTGTATTTCTGAGAGTGCCGGACGAGACAATTTGTCCAATCAGAAAGGTGGTTAAACATGCGTCGCAACAGCGTGCGAACCACACACAATATGCCGTTCACTCGCGTAAAGACGACTCTCGGCTTCCTCAATTGATTCATTCCGACACGAGTGCGCGACTTCTTCCTCGCACAATGCCCACCTCTACCTACATCTTCTCCCTCAATGGACAAACCTTTGCCTCGATCTTCATGCCAGTTTCAATCACTTGCTTTCAGGGCAGATGCAATTTTTCACGTTTGATCATTATGAGGCCCCGGCAAAAACTGCACCGGAAGTCACGGACATAGCGTTGAGTTTTTATTCGGGACTGTTTGCCTACAACGGCTGGAATTACTTGAACTTCATCGTCGAAGAACTGAAGGATCCAGTGAAGTAATAGTGACATCTAATTATTATTATGTCGCAAAAATTGTTTCGGTTTACGGTCGTTCAACAATAACGATTTACTCGCTATAGAAACCTGCCGAGAGCCATTTACATCTCATGCACATTGGTCACCATTGTCTACGTTTTCACCAACGTTGCTTTCTACACGACGTTGAGCCCCCAGGAAGTTTTAAGCAGCGAAGCCGTCGCAGTTGTAAGTAATTCACTTTTTTTTGGCCACATCGACAGCGAAAGTTGCTGGTGTTTTCTTAGACGTGCAGATGCGTTGGCTGGAAAATTACAGAGAGGGTCCATTGTTCTCGGCTCGTAACGCATTATCAGTTAGTTTTCGTAGTTTACTATTGAGGTTGCTGAATTGATGCATTTCCAAAGACAAGCCATTCATAAACTTCTTTGATTTCTTTGCTGTGTAAAGTTTCGCGAAATAATTTATTCCGTTACACCCGCAGACCTTCGCCAATCGGCTATTCGGTCCGCTGGCCTGGACGATACCAGTATTCGTGGCCTTGTCAACGTTCGGAGCCGTAAACGGTATCCTGCTAACTTCTTCAAGATTGTTCTACGCTGGCGCCTGCCAGGGACAGATGCCTGAGATCCTCACGATGATACAGACCTCGAGAATGACACCCACACCGGCTGTGATCTGCATGGTAAATTTTTAATGTTAGCCACGAATTTTGTTCTGGCGACGCCACTCCCACAGGACCATTATATCGCGCTACAGCGAGAGTTAAATGTTTTAATCAGGTTAGAGAGAATAATAATCGCGCGTTACGAGTAGAATTACGCGAGTGAGGCGTCTAGATTTTGTATTATCGGCTAGCGCGATGTTCTTTTTATCAAAATTAATATCCTGATAAATATTTCAGGCTCTTCTATCGATGATGTATCTGTGTTCTTCGGACATTGTGGCTCTTATTAACTACGTTGGATTTGCTTGCTGGGTAGGAAAAACTGCAGTATACTAATTGCGACATTGAAAATAATTGCAACGCAACTTGATCTTTTTACAGTTGAGCATTGGTGCCTCGGTACTTTGTGTGCCATGGCTGAGATGGGTACAGCCGAATTTACCAAGGCCCATCAAGGTTAATCTTGCCTTCCCCATTGTCTACATCCTCTGTACGCTGTTCGTCACTGTTGTACCTATGTACGCCAGTCCGGTAGAGACAGGTAGAGACCCGAATTTATAAATAATGGAAATGCAAATTACTGATACTTTATATACTTATTCGTAGGCTATGGATGTCTGATGATTCTGTCTTCGGTACCTGTCTATTTTGCCTTCATCGCTTGGAAAAACAAACCAAAATTCTTCCAGAAAGGTGTCGGTAAGCACATTATAATAATAAACATTTACAGAACAGCTCTCATGTCATCGAACGCGACAGCCGACCAGACAGAAACGACGTTTTTTACTAAATTTTTCTTTTTTGTTTCCTTTTCTAATTTTTTTATTTCTACAGGCGGTGTTACTATATTTTTGCAGAAGATGATGGTTGTCGTTGGGCCGAAAAATCAGGTTCAAAACACGCTTCAATTTTACTCCTCCATGTCAAGCATGTTAATTATACTTATTCTTTATCACACATTCTAATAGATACTAATTCATTTTCTCAAATTTAAACGATTTACTGCATGCAAGTGTTGAAGTATCCATATATATACACGGATGCTTTCGTGAGTCGTACAATTTTCAAAATAGATTACTTTTTAAAATGAAGATATTCCATTCATTTTTATTTTTATCATTATTAAATCTTTAGTTTAATCATGTCGTACCAGACAGCAGCATCACAACACAAACAAATGTTATATTTATGTAATTTAATCAATCAACAGTTTGAAAAAGAACTTAATATCAAATTAGCAAATTTTATAACAAAACGTGTATATTATGAATTCAGGATCGGTAGTATTGTGTAAATTTCTAGCTAATTATTAATTTTTATATAACTAAAATAATTATAATTTTTAATACTATGGTAACTTTGTCCTTCTAACTAATATTAATAGACTTAAAGATATTGATATTCATCTATGAGTAATACAACTGATTAGCTATATTTGATTTCAGTAAACTTTACCAAATTTTTGCAAAAGATCATTTTGGTCGTGGGCAAGCCAAAGCCTGCACAGCTTTAAACATCGGCCTAAGATATTATCGGCGTATGGCAACGTCATAATCAACATTTTGTTGCCAATGTTTTATGTGAAAGAATATAAATACTCGCCGGAACCTATAGCAAGTGAATTGAATGCATTGGAAATCAACAGCACATTACAAATGGACGACTCATAATAACAAGGAAACAAATAGAAACAATAGATTATTTTTTAAATCAAGTTTGACGGCTTTGTCGAGCAAACGAACTTCTACGTATATCTCATTAATAATTGTAAGGGTATTCGTTTATTCATCCGGTCTTAGCATTCAAACATTTTATTTTATTATGATATTACATCGAATGATGAAATATTTTTGCGAGGAATTGAAAGTTGCAACAATCATTCACTGAAATCAGCAATGTTATGCTAAGACTGGATTTTGTTGATCGATAAATCCAAGTAATAAGAAATGATTGCGCTACGAGATACATATTTGTCGTGGAAAATGACGTTGTTGACCTTGCGTCAAAGTCATTAATTTTTGAAAATGTTATCGGTCTAATATCCTAGAAGTAGAATTGTTTTCTACTACAAGTATGTGAAAGTGGCGTAATTCATATTTTTGGTGTTCCAATTGATCGTTCAATGATGTTGTTCTCTATGTGATTTTACGTCACTGAACCGAAGAATATAAATATACGAACCTACTAGTAACGAATAGAAGGAACTGAAAGACCGCGCTAGATCGTAATTTTTAACATACAATCATACAATTAAGTTTTGCATTTAGTTATTGCAAAGTCAAGAGGTTTGCTATTATTTGCTAATAGCTACATTTCAATTATACATAATTCACTATTCTACGCGTGTTAAGTATTTATTATAACGGTTATATTGAAACATCTAAAAAATCTTGGATACTCTGTTAACTTTATGAATTAAATCATTGTGGGCAAATACATTCAGTAATTTATGTAACTACACAACTAAGTTTATTAAAGTACTTTATCGACTACAGCATTCGGGAAAAATACGCGATAACGTGCTTTTTTAAGGTAAATGGTTGCTAGATTTAACAAAACTCTTGACTACTGCCATATTCTCTAATCGTAAAATAAAAGATGTTAATATTCATTATAATTCAGGAGGCTGAAATCTAATTGCATTTAGTTTTACTTAGATTTGTTTTATAATACACAAGTATATTTTTGAAACGCTGGATTGGCGCATAATTATATTACAATGATATTGTTGCTATCAAACAAAAATAGGAAATATTTTGAACGAGAGTCAGCTTGTGTATATATTTTAGGTATTTTGGAGACAGATAAGGTAATGACATTTGAAGACAGATAAGGACGTGTATTGATATGTATTTCGTTGCAACGATCTATCTTAATCGATTGCTTATGCTGTAAATGTTTCAACATACTTGTTTTTCTTGTAATATCTTTTTGATTACTGAACTGTTAATCACGATTATTTCAATCTGTATTTCTCATTATTTCTAAAAACAAGCGTTATGCTTTGTTTTCAGTTATAGAAAATCCTGTTTGATGAAATTTATACTCTGAATGACTATTATGACGCAAATTTCACAATAATTAAGTATTACTATATATTTCCGTTAAAATCATTAGTTAAATATTGAACAATTTTTCATTTAATTTTATAATTTGAGCTATAATTTATTTCAATTTATATATATGATACTGTAAACCGCACAATGTGTTATTCTTGGAATTTCTGCGTGAAGTTTTTGTTACGCATAATATTTTGTTAGTTCTTAATATGAAGTCACGTAAACTTTTGTTTTCACCGCATCTGTATACAGTTAACATGTAGCCAGCAGTAAATTGCAGAATGATAAAAATTGTGACATTCTTCACTATCGAAACCCGTCTATATACATTGCAAATATAATCGTAACTCGGAAAGTATCGGTGTAGATATGGACAATAGATCAAGAACATCGTTTGGAGGAACATATCTCACGGTGCTAGCGAATTTCTATCGGACCAAACACTACGCTAAACACACTCAAATGTCTGTAGAACAAAGCTTTTGTGCTGTAAAATCCTTATATGCATTAAAGGAAAATGCTAGATGGCGCATAAAAGCAATAGACTGAACAGTTAAAATTTCCGCTGTATTTATTTGCCAATAATTTTGGAGGCAATAATTGTCTGAATGTATTATGGACAAAGCTTGCAGTTAAAATATTTTACGATTTTACGAATAAATAAAACAAAATGGAAGGTTTCATTTTCAATGAACAGTTGAACACGAAGCAAGCCATTTTTGAAACTCAAAGACAATAAGGCTTTGACTGATTTTTCATATATAACTGTAAATGGTGTGCTCAATTGATGATTGCTAAGAATTGTAACCAATTTTTACGTTTCCGTTAGTATGAATTTAGGCGAATCACATTTTACTCGATTTCTGTGTCAAATCTTTTTTTCATTGTAAAATTATATATTTGCTCCCGAATATGTTAGGTGTGAAAGCATCTAGAGAATTGCTTTTATATAGAGTAAGAGAGCGACACAAAGCACATGTTTATCATATCAAAATTTCAAGAACTTATCAAAGAAACTGCTATAAAATTAAATAAACGTCGTTAAAAATTTAAAAATTTGAAATCGTATCACTTTGTGTGCATAATGTGTCGGATAATAAATTTTTCATATTTAAGTTACAATTCGTTCTAATGGTGAAAATATTAAAATGCTACTCGATTGAAATTATTTCATCTGATAGATTAATTCTGAGAATACAAATAAATTGCTGTACATACATAAAAATTGTCAAAGAAATCTGTAATACGTGCATAAATCATGACTACAGAAATATCTAATCAAGTATGCACAATTTAAAAAAAATAGATTGTGCGTGTACAAGATTTTGAGATTAACTCACGGAGATTACTGTAGTTTAGAAGCTGAGAACTTGAAAGAAAAATTGAATAAATGACCTGTGACAATATGTACATAATTGTAAACATCTAGCAAATTTATTGTTCTTCCAGTAATGGATACCAATTTTTACGTTCAGTACTTCATGAGAGAATGAAATGTATTTTTGACAGTATCGTTCAATAACAAGCTGAAGTATAATAATGTGATAGAAAAAAAATGTACGCAAAAAACCTCAAGAAATATATAGCATTTGCTTATCAACGAATTGAATTTCGAGTTCCTTGTTGATGAAATAAATAGAAAAGCATATTTTGAATGTTATATGTGTATGTGTTTATATTTTCATGTACAAATATATATAATCTACAAATATATTATGAAGTCTATATGAAAAGTTTTTAATTGAATACTCATACACATTGCATTTCATGCAGCTTCATTTATTTCACATGCTCTTCCATATCGATTTTTTACCGTCATTCGAGTTTCAGTGTTGATCGAGTTTCAATATTTTATAAGGATTTTAAATTATTTTCAAGTCGAGGAATTTTCAATCATTTATTTATGTTTTAAGCAATTTCATGTTCATTTTTTATTAAAATCACACGTCATCAACTATAATACTATGCACCACCCGCACACAATCTTTCTCACGTTCGCTTTTTGCATTTTTGTTGTCACTCTGTTGATTTAAAGTTAAACAAATGGGAAAATAAATATCGTTAAAGTTTACCATAACATTTTTTCACAATCACACATTGGCATTTAAAACGCAACAGACATTTTGGTGGAATGGTACAAATTGAGCCCTTTGCGAAAATTTCGACACGTCTAAATACTTTCAAAGTAATGAGGTATTCTTTTTTACATATTATTCGATATTGAATTCCATAAAATCAACATCAAAACGTAAAATAAAGAGATGAATTTCAAAACAATAATTTCAATTGACTGATGAAACATCACTATTCAAAGATATAAAAACTAAATACTACAAAACATATTTTTCTTCTCAATAATTATAAAATTCCTTAGGCTTGCTTGTCAGGAATAGAAATTACATCAAAGATAACATGACGTTGCAGAACATTCAATACTATTAATACACTAAGGAATGTCGTTTGTAAAGTACTTAGATGTGCCGTTGTAACGATTACGTCGTCTCGGAAGCTTATTTGTAAGAATAAGTATCCGTGCACTTTCGACAACTCATCATCAGTCCACTAAACACGTGTACTTTCGATCGTAAAAAGAGATTTTTAAACTAAAATTAGTAAAAAAACAAATATTTATCGACGGTTCCGTTACATCTATACAAATATTTCTTAACAAATTATAAAAAAAATCAATTGCGATAAAAGTTCAGCAGCAACCGATATTGTTGACGGCGTTGTCCAAGTAGAAAGCAAATTTATTAATCAGTAAGGGCTTAAACACTCACTTATACAGTTGATGTGAAAGCAAGACAGCTTTACGATAATGTGAACATTAAGCTTCTCTTTTTTTCTCCTTTTTTTTACTTTGCGTGACATATTAACGAGTTGGCGAAGAAACTTTACGAAGTTCATACTTTGACGTTGGAAAAAAACGAAGGTTGAATTCAATTGAAGACGACGAGCGTAGAAAAAATAACATGTTCGCATGCGCTTTACGTATTTGCAAGTTACGCACCTGTTGATTTACACTAATAAACGGAGAAAAATTGTCCAGTCGTTTACGTAGATTCTTTTAATGAGATTCGATAAGTTGTCGGAGAGCTCGTTGCTCATTCATTTTCTCTCTCCCTCTCTCTCTCTTTCTCTCTCTCTCTCTCTCTCTCTCTCTTTCTCACTCTCTCACTGACTTGCATACGCAGCGCTTTTTTTCACTTTTGGAAGAACAGGCTTTTGTGTACAAAGATCAGTTTATCGCTCTTGCTCTTTCGCACTCCTCCTCTCGCTCAAAACTGTGATTATGATAATTTACAGTGGCTATACCAGGCGCATATTTGCACAACAAGACTACATTACAAGAGGTACTGGAATATGATAGCTTCCTGGGATTGTCGCAGCTTTCTGTTGTTGACGATGAGGTTGTTATAAATGAGGAGAACATACGTACGTTTAATATTACATATGGTTTAGATTTGCGCTTTATAAACATTGTTCAACACATCAACTTCTGTACTTTTTTTCTCAATCGCTAAATATTCTAGCTGTTCAATTTAATTATCACAAAGAACTGCCACGAATTGATATAAATCAAATGAATTATTTTTACTGCTAATGAGTGTATCCAGGCAGTATCATGGATTTTCGATCATATCAATTTAAAATTACGTGTTTTTTTTGTTTTTGTTAAGATTTCATGAAAAATACATACTTTTATGTTTGTCTGTGCGGGAAAGATTAATTTACATAGCGTACAACACTTATTTATGAACACATACTCAATTGAAATATATCAAATTGCATTTTCAAAAAATATGAATAATTCGATATTCTTTTGTACGTTCTTGCAGCATTGACTTTTATCAGTTACCATAGCTTCTAGAAAAAGAATGTATTAACCTTGTGTAACACTTCCATTATCACTCCCGAGGAGAATAAAAATAAAATGTAAACCATACGAAAGCAGGAAGTTCACGAGTAAAAACCTCTCAACGGTGCTCGACCATCTTCGCGACACATTAACGAATATTGAAATCAGCTTATTACACGGTTATACAAGTAGGATGAACACACATTTTTATCTTGTACAAGGCGTACAAATCTATAAGATATATATTTATATAAAATCAAACGAGAACGAGGAGTAATTTTTCATTTTAAACGCCAGTCGCCAAATCCCTTCATTCTTTCATCTCTTTTTCTTGTTTTCTTAGTGTGGTAATTTTTTTTTGTTCATTAAGTTACTATAATTGCAGTTGCTTATACGTAAACATTGTTATTTTTTTTCGTTTAACTTGTGCCATGAGCCGAAGTAAGAAAACGTGCGCTCCCAGAATTTTTGTCTCGTCCGCTTGTAAGTGATCTCTGTTATATTTCACGATAAATTGCATGAGCCGCGAAAAAAACGCGAGGTTTCTGTATTTCCTAACGGACGGGTGCAATTTTGACAAATTGTTTTTTGTTCACTACTTATGTACTTGTAAATTTTGAATATATATTTAGAAAAGTTTTAGACGCGAGTATCCGAGTGTAAACGAAATTATCCTTTTGAGCTTTTCTCGCGTCATCACAAAAAAGATCGTATCTTATAAAAAATGACTACTGAGAGACGTAGATAGGTACGTATTCGGCAAAAATAGCATTACGAAATGAGCTAGTCTAGCGAAATACGTAGCGACCTCGAATAAAACATTACGAAAATGAAGAAATTTGCTTTGTATTAAGAGATGTACCGTACACGTAGTCCGCGTTACACACTGATAAAACTAATTTCAGTTGTGGGATAAACGACAGGCACCCTGCACAGCTGACATCGCCTTTGTTCACTAATTTTCGACTAATTATCGTGCTTTCTTTCTTCAATGAAATGACTTTACGGTCACTTGAGGACACAATTTAAACAAAGTTTATCAATTTACCGTGGTAATATGATGTAGTTCATTATATAGTGGTAAAATATCGATAAAAATACGTTACATAAAATAATCTCATTATTTTTGTTCTTAGCTTATGAAGTATAAACTGTTAATATAGTATTGCACTCAAAATTTTGCAAAATTATTCGTGCATGTCCTATACATCGCATATATGTATGCATATACGTATATAAAATGGGAATTTTTCGAATAATGTATATTTAAAAAAAGAACAGCGACGACAACGATATTTTTGTATCAAGAGGTACATTCTCGACCTTAATTAATGTCGCGCTCACAATGCCTCGACAGTAAGTAAGTATTTATTATTCCAATCCCCGAGGATCTTGGTTTATCGTAACAAGAACGCTTTTTTTTTATTTAGACTAAACCAACTTCTCCCGCTTAAGACGTAATTTGTTCTAAATTGTTTAGCCCTGTTTTACTTGGGATAACAATGTCGCGTCAGATCGCACGAACAATAATATTTATCTTTAAAATGTTTTTACGCAAAATTTAGGAAAAAAAATGCAAAAATGTCACCTGGGGCATCGAGAAGGATATACAACGCGCGCGCACACGAATATCCAAAGCTTGTATATAACTTGACTATTTGTGCTCCAATCTTTGATTCTTCGTTCTCAGTATTAAAAAACAAAAAAAAAACAACAAGTGTCGTTAGCATGAATAAAAAGAGAATACAGGCAAAATAAAAAAGGAATTTCCCCTCCACTCTCTCGCTCTGTGTCAATCTCTCTCTCGGCCTATCTGTTTGCGGTTGAGAGCTCAGCTCGTTCCAGTAATCACGAGACACATTGGCCCGTTGTCGAGTGACTACGGAAGCAATCAGGCGTCGTCGGGCTTGTCCGAGTTCCAGGCGAGGTGGCGGCGTAGATTGCCGCAGCAGAGCTGCCTTGGAGGCGCTGACGACTCCTCCGTTATCGTCGCAGTCGTCGCCGTCATCACTGCGTTGCCGTTGTTGGCCGAGTTCATCCTGGATCAGCTGAGCGGCATCTCCGAGCTTTGGCTTTGTGATAGTTCTAGCAAATGGCACTCTGATAGCGGAATCTCACGGGTTCGCGCGCTCTGCTTCTTCTGCAACATTCGACACATTTTTCGTTGATTTTCTTCGACACTCCTGCACTTAATCGACTTTATTGTCTAATCACGGGCTCGAGAAGCGAAACACCAATCCAGAACGTTTAATTCGCGAGGCTCTCGTGGAACGAGAAGAAAACAGCTTCGTATTATACTGCATTTGCAAGTTCAGGGAAATAAACGAACTTTGCTAATTTACTCATTTTGCTAATTCGAACTGTCGCAATTAGGAATTTCCGTGTAGCTAAATACGGGCATGATAATACAGGTAATTCAAAAACTTTAGTTATCCCAAGTTTCACCCGAGTCCCTCGAGATTCGCAACACACGGCAGTGCAGTCACGTACAAAACTATTTCATTTTGGAATACGCAACTATGTATAAATATTGCAACGATTAAATTGTTCACGATATCGGAACATTTCCAAGTTATTTGAATTGGAGCAGCGGCCGTGCGTTTGCTTACCAATTGAACGATCACGTGGGAATTCACACCTGAACGTTGGTGCCAACACTAGCGAGCAGAGAGTTTGAAACAGAACATGTAGCGCGCGAGCCGCGGAAATGGCGGATACCGCGAAAACACACAAAGCGAATTTTTCGCGATTACGCAGCAGAAGCAGTGGCTCGGATATTAAAGAATCTGAAAAGTGTGCTCTCAACAATGCACGCCCGTCGGAGCTTATAACTCGCAGGAGATTGTGAACGATGTGTTGGTGCGCGACGACGAGTTTTTCATTAAAAACGGGTACCTTTCTGCGGAAGGGAAAGCAGCCTCGGTTCTCATTGTTGGGCGGCGGATGGTTTATCAGCAGATCTGGGGTGGGCGTATTGTTCGGGCCGAACACGTTGAGCTCCTTGAAGCACTCGGTCTCTATCATCTGAAACACAACCGGCAAAAAAACGAAAATGGCAACGCATGTCATCTCGCGCTCTTGGCTGGGTGAGCGACTGTTGGTACGGATTGCAATTGAAAAGGCTTTCTCTTCGCTTTTTGTTATCGCGTTCGTCCGCAATATTTGCGTGATAAGGCGCTTTGTGGCACGAAAAGGATATGTACGCAGGTTGTTCGACAAAATTAATCGGCGAGAAAGGAAAAATTATTTTCGAACTGCCGATGTCGAGGCACTCGTTGGACGTCAGTTTGCCAAATCAACAAATTTGAAAGTAGCACTCGTGCGTAAGCTACTTTGATATTGGAAATTCGAAGACTGTCATATGATTGATAAAGTCAGCAGCAATTGACGTAGCAGCAGAAATTGATAATAGAAGTACGAGAAAAACTGGAAAAACGTCGGGACGATAGCTAGAAATATTTCCGATTCCTAATACGTTACTTCGCTTACCTCGGTCTGCCATGGTATGGACACGCTTCCTGTATTGAATTTGCTGTAAAACGTGTCGTCCTGCGCGTCCAAATTGACGCCCTTCACTGTGGAAAATTGCTCGATATCCAGCACGTCCTTGGCGTAGACCGCGTGGGGCTGCGCATGCGAGCGCGACAAATGAAAAAAGTTACAAACGCCGCTCGTCCGAAGCAAGATAAAAGCAAATTGAATGGCGAGCGTGCACGCAGCCCGGCAAGTGCAAACAGTACTCACGTCGGGAATGAAGGGTGGCTCCCACATGCCTGCCTCCACCCTCTTCCAGTTCAAACACTGGAAGAACTGATGCATCTTCACCTCCTTTGCGCCGTGCCTGCCGCACTTGCAGCCTAGTCGGTTCTTCGGGTTCTTCTTCAGCAGCTGCTGGCAGAGACTCTTGGCGTCGTCGCTGAACTTGTGCGAGTACTTTTCTTGGTCCTCTTTGACTCGTCGGTCGACCTCCTCTCGCTTCACCTTTTCCTTACGTGCGCGGAAAGGTGCCTGGCCCTCGATCATCTCGTAGATGAGACAGCCGAAGCTAAACCAGTCGGGCGAAAAAGTGTACTTCTCGTTGTCGATCACCTCCGGCGCCATGTAGCCCACCGTGCCGACTCGACCTCTGACCATGTCCCCCTCGGTGATTTCCACGGCCAGACCCAGATCCGAGATACGCACGTGGCCGTGGTCGTCCAGAAGTATGTTCTCTGGCTTGCAGTCTCGGTACACTATGCCTTGTTGGTGCAGGTGCTCCAGTCCGCAGGCAACCTCTGCCGCGTAAAACCTGCGCCAAAAAATAACAGTTAGCTTAGCGAAAGCAGCGAAAACGCGCGCGAGACGCGCTTTCTTTAGCTCTTCCTCTTGGCTAATCTCATTCAATTGAAGCCTGGGAAATATTAAAAAGAAAGCGCTCAAAGTAAGCGCAAAAAATCTTGGCGGCGCCCATCGAGGTCTAGGCTGCGCTTAGCTGGCAACGAGATGCGACAGAATCATGGAAAACCGTCGAGGTCGAGAAACCTGCTCACCAAAACTTTATTATTCACACTCGCGCAAGAAATGACGGAGTGCGGTAATTATTCCGAAAACATTTCAGCGCGAACGTGTCATCGCGGCAATGATAACGAGTGTCTAATCGGAGAGTCCTTGAAACTAAAAAATTTAGCTACTAATCACTTAACGACGTCGGTTGTTATATTGGCGTTTGGCTATGTACTTTGACAGTTATTCGCAAGTTTATCGTCGAGGTGAAAGAGAATGCGCGAAATGTAGGAAACGAGTGATCAGATGAATGAAGGCGGCGCGGCAATTTGAAAATCGCAGAGTCTGAAAACTGCTAGTGCGCCAGGTGAAAAAGCGAGCGCAATAAGAAGCAGCAGTAGCAGCAGCGAGAAAAAGGAGGCTAATTAATATTCAGAAGCATACTTTCAATGCAAATTGAAAATCTAGTCCATAGAGTAGCGCGTGAATGAATATTGCACGGGCGGTTTACGATGGCATTATTACAGTTTGTCAAACTTATAATCAAATTCCAAGCTCGCGGGCAGCAATAAAGCAGCAGCGAGAGCGCGATGCCCCTTCTGCCGAGGATGGGCGCACAATGGCGCGAGGCAAACTTTGAACGCATATCCGTTGCTCACCTCGCCCTGTTGATGTCGAAGCCAGGCTCGCCGCCCATGTTATAGATGTGGAACTTGAGGTCGCCGCCGTTCATGATAGTCAGCACGAGGCACAGCGCATCCTTGGTCTCGTAAGCGTAGGCCAACGAGACCACGAATTTCGAGTTGATCTTCTGCAGGATGCTCTTTTCGACCAGCACCATTGCCTCGCCCTTGCGCTTTTTTATCCGCTTCTTCTCCAGCTTCTTGCAGGCGTACATCTTGCCGGTGGCGCGCACTTGACAGGCGCACACTTCGCCGAAGCCGCCCTTACCCAGCACTCGGTACATGCGGAATGTCTTGTACGTTATTGGCTGCGCCTCCAACCACTTCCACTGCAAATACCTGCCAACCGAAAGCACGCAAGCCGGTTAGCGTTCCTTTGCTCGTGCCCCTCCGACCTTTTAATAAAGTTGCTTTAATGAATGTCGTTTCTCGCGCGCTCCGAAGAGCATGAAATTACTTTTTCCTCGTGTTTGTTCAAATGCCACTTTTTATCCTTTCACACGCCAAGACGTCTTTTCCCCCGCGCAGTGCTGTTCTGTACCAATGCCGCCGAGTTTACGCAACACTGCGAAATGAGATTAATAACAATCAAAAGAATGACGTGAGCTCTACGCGTAGAAACTTGCATGGATATATATGTACCTACATTTCCCTCGAAACAACATTTAGTTACGTAGGCAAAGGTTCAAGGAGCGAGAAAGGATTCCTATATAAAACTTTGCTATTTTGTCCCCCCGATTCCGCTTTTCAATCTTTTCAATAGACCAAGCATTCGACGCCACTAAAAATTGGCGCAGTTATAAAAACTTGCAGCTCCGCGAAGTACTTATCATCGATAAGCCAAGTTGGTACGGGCGAAATCGCTACGAATAGCAGGTGTCGCGCGGCGTCCGTTTCTCGACGGATCACTGTAGTTACCTGTAGAAGTAGAAAGACGTGAGGAATGAGGCAAAGGGCTCGCTGGCCAAAAAGTTCTTGACGATCTGTGCGACGTCGGCGAAGATCTCCTTGCCGGCACTGCCGAGCCTCTCCTCGCACTGGGCGATAAGGGCGTTGTTGAGTATGTCAACCACGCCGGAGTCGTCGTGCTTGAGGAACTGGTCGAAGACACGCTTGGCCAACTCCGTGCGGTTCTCGTCCATCTCCACCTCGTACTTCTCGATGGCGTCGAGGAAGAGATTGTAACGGTGGTAGGCCGGCTTCTTGTCCTGGCAGTACTGCCTGAACAGCAGTCGGCCGATCGGCTGCTGGTCGACCACATAGCCGTATCGGATGTCTGAAACAGCGCGCAAACACACCACTTCAGAGGCTGCTTCCCGAGGCGAGTGCAGCCGAGGCCCACGGTATTTCGGAAGACACGCTAATTGCTGCTCTTGCGAGCCAGCGACCCGGCTAACGACTAAACTCCTTGGGTATTGACTAACGTCGTTACCAGTTGTCATTCTCTCGCTACTTATTTCGTTAGTCATGTATTGCGAGGCACCCGCATGGCTTTAATTATCGCGCGCGCGACAGATGCCTAATTACCTACACCACGTCACTGCGTCGCGAGCCTTTCCGCTAAATCTGATCCGTGACCTGCGACAACTCTAGTAGACAGCCAACTTGGTGCTGCTCGTCTCGCTCCGACTCTTTTTCCCGATTCCAACTGCAAATTGTCCCTTATCATGTGTGACTTACGTGGCAGGAGATATGATTTTTAACTTGGATAAGAATATATACGTGCGCGCGCGCGCGACCTCGCTTTTGTCGATAACAATGCGAGGTCGCTGAGTAAACAATCAATAAACGAGCCTGCCTGCGCAAAATAATTCCAAAGACCGACAGCTTGTCAAAAAAGAGAGAAAAAGTAGGAAAATAAATTGATCGGAAAAGGTATAATTCGAGCAGAAGTGATCATCGATAGCAGATTGTCTCTGAGCAAACAGGATGACGCAGACAAGTAACACGCAACACCCGAATCGCGCAGTCATCGGGTGGCATTCCGATCGAGCCTTACGCTTCTATTCTCGGTGAGATATCAAGCAGGTCGATCGCGATGCTCTCTCTGACGCCCTCTTGTTTACCCTGCCAACTGGGACGCGACGCAACGCAGGCAACGGCTTCTATAAATTTTCGCCTTAACGCTCACGTAACGATGCGCTTTTTACGTTTGCGAGCTGGAAGATTGGCTGCGAAAATCAACTGTATTTCAGTGGAAGCTGCTGAAATAGTCTCGTCTCGGAGCAAAGGAAGAACTCTGAGAAAGAAGCTCGGTCGGTCGAGTTTTCGCGACGCCGTCGTCGCTCGTTGGAAATTTTGCGAAGCGCGAAATCGCCCTCGGAGGGAGAGAAAGGCGGAGAATAAAAGCCAAGTCCGCTCATAAAAGCACTTGCGACTCGATCTCCCGCGCGCGGGCTAATCCCCTTATCAGCGATCGATGCGCGCGAGCGGAGCAGAGCGCTGGCTCTCATTATGTTGGTCCTGTAATCCCGCGAAAGCTCGTTAGGTCGAGCGACGTTTCAGCCAACTGCGCCGAAACGACGAGGCCACTGCTCTTCTCGGCTTTTTTCCTCGCACGCTCGCGCCCGTCAAGCAAATTCCCGTAGCTACACCTTACAATTGAATTCCCCTGCAGTCGTGGCGTCGTTCAGCGGCAGCGAGAAAGTTTTGTCGAGTTTCAGAAAACGCGTTACACGCGCTCCTAACGGCTAAAGTTCCCAGCACAGCCGAGTTATAATCATCGGCGTCTCTCTCTCTCTCTCTCTCTCTCTCTCTTTCTCTCTCTCTCTCTCTCTCTCTAAGCGGACCAACTTGAAATTTATTTATCGCGTGAATGAAACTAGGGAGGGCAGCGGGGGCTGGTCCCCTGGAAGCCTTATTCCGCGAACAATTAGCTTACAGGTACAGCTGGCGTTATTTCTCTGGCCTACTTACGCCCCCGGAAAATTGAATTTTTCGTCTCTCGGTGGGCAACTCGCGCGCTTTATCTGCCATTTAATTATAGACATTTGAATTAGCGAACGCGATGTGAGCGGCTCGATTGAAGGCTGCCGTGGCGGCGCTATAGTTTGCCAATTATAGCGTTATAATGATCCCGACTCGAAAATAGATCGTGGTCGCGCGCGCGTAATCGTATCGATCCGAGAGAGAGAGAGAGAGAGAGAGAGAGAGAGAGAGAGAGAGAGAGAGAGAGAGAGAGAGAGAGAGAGAGAGAGAGAGAGAGAGAGAGACGGTGAGGAGAAGAAGGCGCGCTAGCGTGCGAGCTCGCGAACCAAGCGATTCGTGAAGATAATCTCGGCTGCGGGCGATCGATCGGCCGAATAAAACCAATGCTGCGCGCCACTCGCAGATATGCTCTCGGGCACCGCCGCGCGCCCGGAAATCAATCGATATAATGGGCAACAGACTCGTAATCCAGTCGCGACAAGCGCATCCGCGCTCGCAGCCTCAAAGGGATGCGCCACCTCCTCCTCTCCCGTTCGTTCCTCTTTCTTTTTATTTATCAATCGAGTTCAAGGCGCGAGCTGATAACCTTTCTCGATCAATTTTCATTATTCGCCTTGATCCATTTCTTCGCGCGTACACCATTTGCGAGCCTCGCCAAAGTTCGGATCGACACGCCATCGTCCATTGCTCGCGCAGCTAAAAGACGCACGCAGCCAACGTCGCCGACTTGTTTGCAGCCGACGTTTTTCGCATTAACGCCCGAGCCTTGCTTTGACAGATTTACTCTCGTCGCCACTGCCGACGCATTCGCGCAGCTTCTCTCCGTCTCTCTCGCGCTCGTGCTTGCTCATAGGAAATGGGCGCAAATGCCAGACGAGTACAATACGTATCTACTCTGCAGTACACCCTAGAGTGCTAAAAATCTAATTGGATTCCGGCAACTTTACAATCTGCACTTTTATTGTTATTCAATACACTTGACCTCCTTTTCACGGATATTGTTGATCGAGTCGCGGCGCTAACTCAATTAAATTCTCGAAAAAATAAAAGAAAAACTGCTTTCGAACTCCCAGCTTCCAGCAATAGCGCTACTCTGGCATTGTCGAGATTCGCGTAAATAATACGTCACTATAAATCTAATCTTATCTTATCTCGCATAGCTACATCATTTAGAATGGTCAATAAAAAGTAAATTGCTGGTGAAGCCGATGGAAATAAATATTAATTTTTGCGCTAAATACAACTCTATCAGTCGACGTCTACTCAATGAAATACTGCAAGCGTGGGACTTTCAAATATAGCCAGTTGCAATCGATAATGTTATGCACGCAAATCGAGTGACTCTATCGCCGCTGTCGCCTATTCGATGCAAAAAATAAAAGAGCACTGCAGAACGCTAACTCGATTACAATCTATAAGGTAGCACACAGAAGTTTGCTAAGATTTTCAAGCTCAGCTGACTGTGGTAAAACATAAAACTTGCAAAGTTTCTTCTCCGAGATAATCGAAAATCAATAAGACGAGCAAGCGGAGATGCATTTCGTCGCAACTTTATATAATTTAACGGAAAAGCAATTGCCGATTTTAGATGAATTGCTGGTATATTTGGAATAAAATAGCGCCCGCGTTCGTTAAAGGTAAAATTTGTCCACGTCCTATATCGATGGAAATTGATTTGTGCATGTCCTCAGCGAATCCTAGCAAAAGTGACATCCATTTGCCCATCCCAATCCTAGCTCGTGCGTCATCACTCGTGACCCCCGTTTGACTTGGCTTTAAGACGACGATAAGTAACCGCGAGGATGATTGATCAAAGGGGGAAGTTGGTCCTTCTTCGAGACTTATCCATTCCTCTCAGCAAAGGAAAGAAGTGCACGCTATTGCCGTGACTAATTACGTGCGCTTAGAAACAGAGCCGTGCGTACAATCGACCTGGCGCTGTGAGTAAAGCAAACGAGCTTGACTGACTTACCGAGCTTATCTTTGAGTCCGATACACTGTGATATGTGCGGGAACTGAAGAATCTTGCGCCATTTTTTACTCTTGCCCTTGTTGCTGTCACCACCACCTGCAAGCATACACATAAAAACGGTTACGCCGCAATTCACTCGCCCCGAGTTGGTTGAAAAACGAGGGCGGAGGAGCAGTGCGAGGGACGGGGTACAGATGTTCGGCGAGCCGTAATCTCGACGGAAGAGCGAACAGAATCGCGGCGGCGATAATTGTCATTCCAATTACAGTACATCGCGTGCCTATTCGACCGAACTTGCTGCTCACACTCTCTCTCTCTTCCTCGCTTATCTCTCTCCCACGTCCGTGCATAAGCGCGCGCGAAGCGTCACGCCAACAACAACAAATTCTCGCTGCAATTAGCCGGCGCGCTTTCATTATCGCCGATCACAAGAACGTTTCATTTCTTTCTCCGCATTATCGCTGAGAGAGAGAGAGAGAGAGAGAGAGAGCGCGCGCGCACGCAGAACAAGCCTCCCTCCCGAAGATCATTATCTTGGCGTCCGAAGCGGGGATCAGGCGCATTTAGCGCTTCGTTGCCAGGCGCATCAGTGAGCACGCGCGCGACCGTGCGCGCTGCCTTCGCCGTTCGCGGTTTTATCTCGCGCTCCGTGAGGACGGCACTCCAATTAAATCCTTACGACGATGATTAATGTTAATTTGGCAACGCGATAACGTCGCTCGCGCTCGTTCTCGGACGTAACTCTCTAGTTTCGCGAATTTTTTTTTTTTTTTTTCATTGGATCGGTGCAAGTCAATGATATGAAAATCAGTACAAACGTTATACGTGTTTTTTTTACAATCACGCTCGATATTCGAGTCGCGAGCACTCGTCACGTGATAAATAATACTTGGCGCAATCGAATGTCATGCAAATCAGTGGATTCGACAATGCCAACACAGAATTTACGCAGGCGAAGCGAGCTGACTCGTGTTGCGAGGCTCACTTTTTCACCTCGATAAATATGCAAATACACAAGCTTCGCTCTCTGTTTTACAACTGCTCGATCTCATAACCGGAACGACTTTGTATTCCAGTGCGGATGCTCAATTGCCAAGCTCCTTACAACAGCGGGCAAATCGACGAGCCGTAAAAATCAAATAATAACGAGATCGTAACGAAGAAGATGACTGCGACTATAGGCACAACCATAAAATAATTGACCGCAATCGATCTCGCCCGATCAATACACAGTGTCATTGCGACTACGTCGTTATCGTCGTCGTCGGCGGCGGCAGTAGTCACTTATCAAAATCAGCACGTGCTCGTCGTCGCGGCAAAATGCATAATGCTCCCGGCGTAGCTCGAGCCGCGACTCGTCGGCATGCGATATTACGAGCTGCGTAATACGTCGCATTGCCTTTCCTCTCTCTCTCTCTCTCTCTCTCTCTCTCCCTCGCTCAGTTACTGCTGCTGCAGCAAGTGCTGAGGAAAAATGATGCGAGTGCATCGAGCGCGGCTCGGGAAATTTAATGAACGACGCGATCCACTTTCTTTTGGTCTTACTAAGCGCGACAATTTAATTGTCGCGGTTCTTTGACATTTCATTGCTTCAATTGCTATACATATATATCTTTCAATCTAGATCGATTGGGACGAATTTTTTTTTCTTTCTGCCGAATGAAAAGCCGCTCGCTCCAAATGAAATTTCATCGGAGCGTTTAAAATCCCGAGCTCACTAATGGAATTTCTTTGCAGCCCTCTCTATCATCCTCGAAATGGCGTTGCGGCCAAACCACGCGTTTTTTCCTCCCCTTCAAACATACCAAAGAATTTAATTAGAAAAAAAGTCGACGGCGGGCAGCTTTACTTTTCCATGTCACGCTAATTCGAATGATCCGTCGACAATTTACGAAATTCCTCAATGTTGCTGATCGAGCACACGCGTCGATGACGTTTGCCAAGTTGACATTGCCTGCCGGAAGAGGAGGTCGATTTGCACTGTCGAGCTGCGTAAATGAGGCTCCGAACAAGCATCGTGTGTAATTTTCAATATGCTTGAGTCGAGCGTCGCAGCATCAGTGCGAACGAGGAAATATTTATATTAAATTTCATTTTGTTCTCCTATGCCGCGGCTCGAGTCCCAAGGACGTCCCTGTTTGGCCATTTTCCCCTTGCACGCGTTACTCTCTTTGCCCTCGACGTTACTTCCGCGTTTCGTTTTTTCCAGCGCACCACGTGCGCTCCATCTTAGTTTTATCCCCTGCGCGTGAAATCCAGTTTCAATCGGCGCGAATTAAGATAGAACGTCGCTCGTTATTGCCTCTTTTCCGACTTGTGCAGCAGAAACATGGGCGACGATGACAATGAGAGTCGGTGTCGTGAGAGCGAAATGTTTGTTTCGGGATAAATGTTCTTTCTCGATTATTTCTTTTTTTCTCATCGGGTATTCGCGTTCGACAGTTTATTGGTTGGTAAGACGTGTGTTTACCGCAGGTGTGACTTTCTTTGACCACACTGGAGCACAACACACCAATTTCTATTTATAACCCGACAGTACACGCAATTGATTTTCGTCGCTCAAGTGTTTTTTCTATTAGCGGCTAATTCTAAGTGACATGATGCCTGACCATTACCTTGCAAACGAACCTTCGCAGATGGAAATTCATTCCAAGCAAAAATCCCGAGCAGAAATCCCGAGCAGAAATCCCGAGCGTTGGTTTTAGTCGACGGATCCCTCTAAAACAATTGACAGCCTTCGGTTTTTTAGGCAAAATAATTATCACTCTTTCATTACGAAATGACTATTTCGTATTTATGTCGCGCGCTGCGCTCATCCAATTACACAGAAAAAAATTAATTGCTCGGCACTTGCGCATTATTTTCATAAGTGACGACTATTTTGCTTGTCGATCGTAATTGTCGAAGGTAAAAGCAGCAATTAAAATAGCAAGCGAAGTCGAAGCAAACGCACGGTCGCTCCAATCTACCTAATGGACGAATAATTTTGCCCATCTCGCCATTACGCCGCGCAGGTAATTCGTCTTGTTTATCCGCGAAAAAATCTCGGGACCGCCGTCCCTACTGCCGAACGTATCAAATTATCCATAACGCAATTTTCCAGCGAAGTCGCTGATGGTCTATTCCGAAAAAAAGCGCCCGTCCACTCGAATCCCCGGGGATTCAATTTGGCAGAGTGGTGGGTGTATACGCCGAGCTTCCAGGTCATTAAATCGTCATTAATTCACTTTCGTCGAGTCGTCCATTACGCCAGTAAGTCGATACATATCCACACGCGCGCGCACACACACACACACACGCACACGCACACACGGCTGTTCCAGAAGTAACGGTCTGCCATGAAATATTCTGTACTCGAGCCGCGCACTTGCGGCTATATATACGTGTGCGCAGCTCGCGCGCATTTGTTTGATTTTCTGCGGAATTCCATTAGACCGACGAGAGTAGCGCTCGCACATGGTTCTCTCTCTCTCTCTCTCTCTCTCTTTCTCGTGTTCGCCCGCCGCTTGCTAATTGACAAATTGGCCTCGATTTTTCCCATCCAAATATTCTTTTGTTCTCGACTATTATTAATCGACAGATCGATTGGCTCTTTGTTAATTTACTCAGCACAGTGCCAAACGAGCGCATTTCCATGGAGAGAAAGAGAGAGCATAAAAAATCACGGAGGGCATCTATACGGACGGATACGGATTGGCGCGCGATTAATACCTTATCGCGAGCAATTAGCCGCGCGATAAGATTGAAAAATTCGCGTAGCGCTCGATTCGCATTGATGATCGTGAGAGAGGTTATTAGCTCAGTTGTGCAAACATCGTTTCTTTATTGCCTCATTAGCCGCGCACGCCGAGGCAAATAGTTCGCGCACTCGATCAAAGGCCGCCGTCGTCGAATCACAGGCTGACCCTCGTCGTTTCTCGTCCGCGCGCGGCCATGCCTCGCAGCAGCAATGTCGTCGAGAAGCTCGCTGCCACGGCTGGCGCTGAATATTCATTTCGGCGCGCAAACGAAAGCTCATCGGCGTGGCTCGACTCGCGAATACAAGTCCGAGCAGAACTTGCCGTTCTCGCTGTAAGGCAAGCATCTCCAGCCTCTGATTCCTCCGCAGCAGGGGTTTATCGGGGTGCGCGATCTAGGGAGCTTTGATAAAGGGGCGATGTGTGTAGGGCTGGGATGACGGCGAGGAGATGCCGGCGTCTGACCTTCTCTCGCTTTGAGGTATACGGTATTGGCTACGATGTTCTCCAACTCCATCAATTCCAGCTTGATGGTGATTGCGCGGCCGAGTGTGAGTGGTGCCGGCCGCTGCTGGCCCGGCCAGAGCCTCTCCCATCTGCCAAACGGCCCCGAGCACTATTGCCTCGCCGTTGCGCTTCCTTCTCCGGCTTGCTTCGCTCTGGGCTGGGCTCGGTTCGGCTCGGCTCGGCTACCTCGCGGACGCCGGCTATTCTTCTGTGCTGCTGTCGCCGCCTGCACGCTCAGACCACAATGCTGCTGCCTAATCTCTTGCGGCGGCTCAAGGCCTCCGGTGGCCGGATGCCGAGCTGAACTTGCACGACCTGCTCAGGCGATTCATCTTGGCTTGATCTGCTCCGGCTGCCTGACCTACAACATCAAAATTCCACGTTCTCGCTTTTACAGATTGCTTGGCTTTTGCCGCGTCGCAACTTGGATCGTACGTATTGGAAGGCTGCTATCATTAATTCCAACGATCGAATGCCTAGTCGAGCGAAGTGATTGATCAGTGTTTTCGAGTGCGAGAGAGAGGATCGGTTATGCGAATTGTCACGCGCGGACGTTGGAAAATCAGTGTGCGTGGAGAAAATCAGAAGAGTGAGGAGAGGTCCGACGAATACAGGAGAGAGCGAGGTCCGGTTGTAGATCAGGCGAAAAGTGTTTTCATCGTGAATCGAGGACCTTCCGCGTAACATTGGTCGCGGAGCAGCGAGAAGTGCGCTAACGAAGGCAAAACAGCGCGTCGCCCGCAGAACCGCGGAGATAAGGAAGCACTAAGCTATAGGGGCAGAGAGAGAGAGAGATTGAGATTCTTGCGCTGGCGCATTTGATGTTGGAAAACCAGTTTACGGGGACAGGTGCGAGCTTGGAGATAACGCAGAGAAAGAAAGAGAGAGAGAGAGAGAGAGAGAGAGAGAGAGAGAGAGAGAGAGAGAGAGAGAGAGAGAGAGAGAGAGCCCTTCGGTTCCTTTCTTCGCGCTTCGGCAAGAGCGTAATCGCTTTATGCCGAATTTCGTCCTTTTTCTCTTTCGTCCGCGCGAGCGCCGCGTCAAGGAAAAAAGGATGAAGAAACAGCAGAAAAACGTCTCATTGGATATTTTTGCCGGTTGAGCAGGATTTGTTTTTTGTCCGCTGACGAGGGTGATGTATATTCCTTTGAGCCTTTCTAACGTACACCTAAATATAGCCTGTGGTATGTCCGCGCGCGTATGCCTTGTCGAACCAGCGAGATTTCGGGCGGGGGGAGGCGGTGAGACTGGATTTTATATCTGGCGAAAAACTGGTCGTGTAGAAACGCGCGCGCGACTTTATTGACCGAAGCTCATAGAGCTGGCGAGTCAATTAGCTCGCGAAAGGACAGAAAGAATGGCTTGCAGCAAAAGCGCTCGAATAAGACAATGTAAACTTCGATTTGCGGATCTCGTTAAATTTTTACGGGGCGATGAGTGTAGAGAGAGAGAGAGAGAGAGAGAGAGTGAAAGTTAATTGTCGTCGCTCGACTGAGCTTTCGACGTACCGGGCCCGGCTGCTTCTGTGTAATGAGTATTGTTCCGCAGTTGGTGCTGCTGACGCAACATGTTCGCGAAAAACTATACTCGGAAGGATCGTTATATTTCGCAAGGCTAATAGCCCATTACAACACGAGCGCGCGTGTGTGCAGCAGACGACGATTATCAAAGCCATGTGCGACAGTGCGCATCGCTAACGAGCTGCTGCTGCTGCAACGAGTTGTCTGGAATGTCAGCTGGCGGCGTCCCGAAAGCGACAACTTTTTCGTCAAAAAACGAGCGCCTACTTTGCACTTGCGAGCGAGGCTCGAAGCTCCGTGCGGAGAGATGCGATGCGCGGTGAGCTTCAGTCTACTGACTTGGCCAGACGACCGCAAGGAGGAACGTCGTACCGTCAATTCGATATTTACACTATTGATTCGGCGCGGCCAGTAATTATAAAAGTTCGCTCGTGCTCTCGGCTCCTCGTCAAGTTTTCATGAGCGTTGCCTTTGTTCCCGGTTTGTTAAAAAAAAGGTCTGGCGTTTGGCTTTCACGCGCAGAAAAAGGCACAAAGCTGCAATTACGCTTTATCGGGCTCTTCGCAGTTTGTCGCGAACAACGTACCCTCTTCTTCTCCTTTGTGCGCTGGTAATAGATGGCGCATTATATATATAAATTAACGACTCGCGTCGTCGCGTCTGTGCGCGGAAAAACGAATAAAAGAGTCGGCTGCGATCGACGCGCTTGCACATGAGTCGGTACAGTTAGCGGCGAATTTATCCGGGGTCGTATCTCGTTCGCGGCGGCGAACGAGCGAGATTTCAATATCAATCGAGCCGACGTGTCAAAGTCAACGCTCGGATTGTCCGCGACCGTGAGCAAAGTGGCAAAAGTTTGCTCTTGCTCGACAGCTTGAAAGACGGAATCGCACGGCACGATGTAAATCGATCCAAAAGTTAGATGACAAGAGGAGAGCCCACTCATAAGTTTGCAGCTCGAAGAATTCGGAATCCTCGGGGAAAGCCATTAGCGCGCCCGCGGCTTCACAAGTGAAGTTTCACTTGGCAAAGAGTGCATGCACCACTTTGAAATCCGAACTCGCAGCCGAAAACCCGCGAGATCAAAAAGCTTTTAGTTGGTGCGAGCAAAAGGCAAATATTAGAGCCAGGCAATAAACCCTTTCGCCGGGCTTTTCCGCGCTCTCTCGCTCGCGCGGGCGCTACTTTTTGATTTTCTTTCGTTTTTGCAGGCCGCACGTGTTCGCTAGACCAAACGAGCGCTACGTGTGCGCCGACGGCTAATCGAGTACACATCGGCGCGGCCATACAAGAATTCCGACGCTTTCCCAAACATAGTTAGGATCGTTAATGGAGTCCCCTTTTTCGGGAAAATCGATGAGTCAGTGCGCGCCAACAATAACTCGCGTACGCGGATCGCTCGCGCTCCTCTCCCCCTACGGCTCCAGCAGCAAAACATTTGAATGGGAAACATCGCGTCTCCGAACATCGGTCCACGAGACGCGACAACGGGCGCTGCTGGTGGCAGCGTCCCCTAGCCCCCGATCGAACGACCTTTGAATCAAAGCAGCGGGGCGAGAATTGCAGCCACGAAGATGCTGTCGGCGGAATCTCTCCTCGAGCAGAGGACCGTTGGCCAATCAATTAATTACCGCAGGAGAGCCGCTGCTGTAGCACTAGGACCCCTCGCAATTGCACTTCCCGGAAGCTCTCTCGCTCGCTCGCTCGCTCTCGTCGGGGGTCAATTCCCCCCTGCGGTGAAATTTCAGCGCCTCTCCTCCGCCACGCCGCTGTCAAGGAATTCCGCGTCGCTAGCCGACCACTGCCGCCGCCACCACCTGATCATTAAAGCCCCGAGTAGATAGTTCCGTACACGTGATCGATTATTTATATGTACAAAAGGTTGTTCCGCCGTCGCTGCTGTTATCCGCTGGAGTGGGCGTAAATGCTGATTATACCTAACATACACGAGTCCCTGCGCGAGAGCGAGAGAAAGAGAGAGTATCGTGTACGCTCGCTCTCTCCTTCCTTCCGAGAGCAGAGGACGTGTTCACGCACACACAGTTGGACAGACAGACAGACGGGACACACGAAGAGCGTGCGAGCGAGCGAGCGAGAGAGTGAGAGAGAGAGAGAGAGAGAGAGAGTTGCGGCGCCGTTGGCAGGAGACCGAGAGCACAATGGCCGACGGCGACGACGCGGCAGATACTTACTCTCCACTGCTGCTGCTGCAGCTCCGACTCTGCTCCGCCGCTCCGAAACACCGTCCACGCTGCTGCTGCAACTTGCTTCTCTCCCCGGTCGCCGGAATGTCCGGTTACGCCGTCGTGATTTGGCGCTCTCACGACTGACGATCGTGCACAGATTACACACTCGCGCGGGGACTGCACAGCACGAGGAAGCGACTAACTCGGAGAGCAACACTCCTCGAAGAGAAAGAGAGAGAGAGAGAGAGAGCGAGAGGGAGAACGATAGAAAGAGCGGCGCAGACGTATCGGACTGCTCGACGTGCGGCACACTACTATGCGCGTCGTCGTGTACCTTGGCCGCCACTCACTCGCTCCCCACGCAATAAAGAGAGGAGAAAGAGGCGCGCGACTGCGACTGTACGTGTGTGCGCGCAATTGCGCTCGACTGTGTGATCGGCGCGCGACTGTGTGGGTGGGATGGATACCTCCGAGTCGGGATCACAGGCAGCGCACAAACGTTACGCACGGCGACAACCCGCGGGATACACTCACACACGTTTCATCTTTTGCGCGAATCTCAACTGTCGAGGAGACTGGCTTGGGAAAACCTGGCTTTTGCTGTTACGCCGCTTTCGAGCTGCTGAGAGTGCTGGTCAACACGCGATTCGATCGTAAATCGGAGCAGAAACTTCCTTGCCGGCATGGAGTAAACGAGCTCGCGAGCGGTAAGGGAGGGGGTATCAAGCGAGTCGGCCCGGCACTTGGCAAGCGTACGTTCGACACAGTCGGCAGTTCTCCACTGATTCCGTAGATCTACGCGTAGATCCCTGCCGACTGCCATCTCGTAGTCTAGCTGACTGGTCGCTACATCTGCCGACGAAACCACCAAGTTCGTACTGTGGACTAGAAAAAGCGCCAGAATCTTGAGAAGTTCACGCATACCGTCGAACAAACTTATGCTTTTTTAGAACACTTGCACTTTTAAGATTCGTATTTATCTTTGCCGTCGTGATAAATAATTTAAACGCGTTTCTTTAAATATTTATTTGGCAATCAATATTGATATTGAAATATAAAATAGTCACCTATCAAGCCTACAAAACATGTTTAAATAAATTAGTTCAATTTCAATTATTAATTGGTCTGAATAATTTTTCATTCAATTTTGTATTACGTTCAATATTCTTTAAACGAGATTGGCATTTGATTTTCGAGCAAAATGACATTACGAACACTTAGACAAGGCCATAAATTATTACGTTTATTTTATGTAATAAAAAGAGACAACAACGCTCGCGAAGGTTAAATTTATATCAACTGAGTCACGGGTTCATTAATCGATATTGTAAAATTAGTATAAACGTAATCTGGTAATTGGCTGAGATACAAATACATTTATTGTATTTGATAATTTGGAATACTGTTTTGAATTTCTTAATTTGAGCAAGAAACATCTTTAAAGTGAAGTAAGTTATAAGTTTATAGTCGTTAACAAAAAAAAAGTTTTGTGTTTTTCAATATAAAAAATTGTCGGTATTTGATGAAGCTGAGTGAATACGTGATTTTTGTGAAGCTTTCGGGTACTCCAGGCAAAGCAGTGCTGCCCGTCATCCTCCAGCAATATGTCAACAGGATTCAACGAGCAGCAATAAGGAACATGGACAAGATCAGGCTAAGATCGGAGCGGCGAGCATTGTCCGCGGACAAAAGCTCAGTCCCGCACTAGAACTGGATTCAGCGAGGTCGCAAGACACGTTCGACGCGCTCGTCGAACTTGGAAGAAGCTCAAGAGTGAGATATTCCGTCTCAAGAGCTCGGGGATAGACTTGGCCTCACGTCTGTTGCACAAGGATTCGAGCGACAAGGAAAGAGAACGACAGAAGAGATCAGCCCGATAAACTTTGAGCGCGTGAAAGACCACCAGGATATTTCGCGCCGGTGCCGTTCATCATATCCAGTACGGATCGCCGTGAGATAATTAACGAGAACAATGCGAGCCGAGATTTATCTGGCTGATGTAGCTCTCGTTGCTGTGCGCGATTTATTCGTTCACACCGTCAACGGCGGCGGCTCGAATGAATGATTCGAGGGCAATGCGTGCTCGAAAATACTGCCTTCTAAAAGTATACGCACGCGTGTGGAAATCTACTCGAGCGGTAACTCGTTTACAACGAAACGCAATTTCTGCCAAAGCCATCGGCGCACGGGTTGGGCTCGCCTCGGCAGCTCGCCGAAGAAGGCCGCAACAGCAACTTGGTTTCTAGATCAATTTTTTTCCTCCTGCTTCCCGCGTGCAAATTGAGTCAGATATAATTTCAGTAGGGCGAAGCAGAAAAAAAAATCAGAAATCCCGATGAGGCGTGCACGCGTGTCAGGGACGCGTCGAGATTCGAAAAACGGGCGTGATTGAGCGTTGTAAATTGGCGTGCGTGCAAATATCAGAGAGGAGCTTACGCAACGCTATATCAACCGTCACGAGCCGCATTAGCCGAGAACGAGCAGACAGAGCGCGGACAGCCAATGAGAAATGTAACGCTCGTACATTTTTACGGGTCTGAAAACGAAAATATTGGCTCTCGCGAGCTGCCAGGATAAAGTTTTATGGACTGCGAGCGGATTAATTTTTCAGCAGAAGCAGCGTCAGTCCCTTTATAGCCCGGGAGCTTTCGCTTTTTGTCTCACTCTTCTCTTTTCATTTCAGTGAGAGAGAGAGAGAGAGCGGATTGCCCACTGCTTCGCAGGAGAGAGAGTGGAATTGTAAATAAAGAGATTTATTTATGCGCTTGTTGCGTGCTGCAATGACAGCGTCAACTTAACGTTGTGTACTTTACGTGTGTCGGCTGCTGCGTCGGAAGCTTTCTCCTTGCTTGCTTTCTCGTTTTTTTTCTTCAATTTACAAACGGCCGATAAACGAAGAATAATTGATCGGGGATACAAAAGGAATTTTCGCGTATTTGCTCCCTCTCTCTCCCCCCCTCTCTCTCTCTCTCTCACTCTTTCTATCTCTCGCGTGTGTAAGCGTGTTTGGCTTTAGTGAGAGAAAGAGACGTGACCTACATAAGGCGATGAAAAAGAACAATGATAAACATTATCTTTGCGATCGTGTACACGTGTACAAAGCAAACTTTTGCAGAGGGAAACAGAAGGAGAAAGACAATTGCTGTTGCCGAGAGAAACTTGTGGTACGTCGTTGAAAAAAAAACCACAGATACGCACACACAGATGCAACAGCAACAATCTCGCGAGTCTTTGACCGTTTTAATACTTTTATCTTTCCTTTTGTGTGCAAACTTAATATTTTTCACCTTTATTGGCAATATTGACTCCAATTAAACTTCGTGAAGTAGAAAAATTATGATAATTACAGTGGCAAACGAAAATTGGCGAAATAGAACTGACGCGGGCAATCAAATGAAAAGCAAACAAAGTTGCGCCGAGTAGTGAGTCGATTAGCAAGTTTTCGCAGAGTATAACACTCGTAGAACGTCAAGTTGACTCGAATAACAAAAGAAAAAACAGTCGAGTGAAGTGAGTGTCGCAAACTAGAGAGCAAGAACGAGCGATCGCTTTCGTCAGAGCGCGGAGCGTGACAAGTTGAGAGGGACTCGCCGCAAGGAAATGCATATAGCGCAGCGCGGCGGCTGAAAGCTCTGGTTACGAGCGCATTGCCATTTTCGCGCGCGCGACCAATGAATACTCCGCCAAGCGAGCGTGAGGTCACGCAGTTGTCTCCCTTCCACGAGCGCGTCCAGAAGAAAGATCTAATCCACCCTCGCAGTCTCCGGAGAACGAGAACGAGCGAGCATGACAGATCCTCCTTCTCGCGCTGACGCCGATGACGAATCGGCTCACGTACGCGTCGCACTACTGGCTTATTAAGTATCGCGGCGAGTGCGCGCCGAGTGCCAGTTTCGCGACCGCGAGATGCAGTGACCGCTTCTTTCGTAATCATCGCGAGAGCGCGCACGCGTCAACTAACTGCTGGTGTAAGCAGATCGGCAGTGATTACCGCTAACTGACTCCGTCCTCACTGCACTGCCGATCGTTTGCCAGCCGACTTTCTTTTTCCTTTTTTTCGCTACTGCTGAGGTAAGCCACGCACTGCCGTTTTGTCACCCAACAATCATTCCAATTACAAAATTTGACTTCTGCACACTTTGCAATATCTTCTACGTTATCGTGAAATACTCGAAGACTTGATGTAACCTTTGAGCACATGTTTTTACAAAGTAAAATAAATCTCGCGTCGCGTGCTACTGCAGCTTGTTGGATTATGACATTTAGAATCTTTATCCTTTGAAAAATTAATATTTTTTCGAGAAACTTCCCTTCAGAACTTCAATAGCCCCTGCTTATTGGGAATAAATCTAGCTTGCCCAAGTAAAATTTCCATAAATTGTGAAGGCAGAGATGAAAGAATAGAAGAACTGAATTGCGCTGCTGTGACGTTTAAAAGGGGTTGGAGTACGTGAGTGTTTTACGACAAATTGAAAATTTTTCACATTCTAAAGCGCAATGAAGCGTTTGAAATCGATAAATTGTTAGTACTATACTAGTGGAATGCCTATTACTAAATTCCAGCAAAGTGTTACGGTAATTCAATAACAACGCGCGTAATCGCAAAATGAAAGATTACATTCAGTATACCTCACGAGACAATTATAATAATTATTTACTCACGCCAAATTGACGTTGAACAGAGATTACATGTGTTTTCAATGCAAACGTTTGAATACGTACAAAAAATTTCATTCTTAATACGAAACCTTATCATTATACGGTCAAACGTATCAGTAGTAATTGTGTTCCATCAGTGGGGGTCCTTTATTTGGATAATAGTCTGTCCCATAATAATCCAACAATTTGCGATTCAATCAGAAATTATTTAAAAAGTAAGATATCGCCAAAGCAAGCTAACCCTGAACGAACAATATTGATGTGTCAGGCGAAATTTATAACTTGTCCGTGGCGCTCCGCCGCGTGATAAATGCAGTAGTCTAGGTACGGCTGAGCTAAATCCAGCGATGATAAAGAAAATCATAAAAGGCATAATAACAAATCAAATGAGCGAGCAAGTCAACTGTAAGAACGATTGACCCGATAATCATTGAAAGTGCCGCAACAACTGTACGCAGCGTAGCAGTCAATTATACCGTAGGAAACAGGCCTGTTGAAAGAATGAAAGCTCCAATGAAGATTCTGCTATGCACGCTGCTCGTCAGCGCAACGGCCGCAGAGGAACTCGTGGAGACAATGTCAAAGTCAGAGTTACGTCGCGTATTCCTGCAGGCCAAGCACTTCGCCTTGAAGAAAGATTATCGCCGCTTGAAGAAGCAGGACGGCGCGATCAAGCTGGTAGGCGGCGAGAGACCTGCAGAAGGTACGAATATTTCCTCTTTCTCGCGCGCAGATGACAATCGCGTTGACTACTTAGCTCTCTCGACGGAGATATTTTCCAGACTACAGAGCAGAGCGAAGAGAGAGCCCCTTACGTAAGCTCCCGGACGGGATCGATCGATCTCGCTCGCCTCCATGGCCGCGAGACTAGTATATCTGTGTCGAGCTAGCAAGGGACTTTTATTGGGCTGGATTTGTGTAACGGGACGCGCAGTTTGACCGGCGAATGTCTACGCCCGCGCGACTCTCTCTCTCTCTCTCTCTCTCTGCCCCGCCAGCTCGTCAATTTTCGGCTCCACGTGCTTCATTATGCACGAATTTGCCCGACTCTCCGTGCGCCAAACTCCTCTTCGGCTGTTTTTCTTGCTTGCGCTCAAAGACAATATAATACAGGTCCCGGCGCTGGCGAATTATTAACGACGAGGGGCGCGGCTCAAAGGGAATATAGACGAGTCAGCCCGTTTGTTTCGATACTACAATTACTCGCTTGCCTCGGTCGCTCGCGCGATGTCAGAGTAAATGTCGATCTGTCCGGAAATCACGGCGCTCTCCTTGTTTTGCCGTCGCACCAAAGGGAATCGCATCGCGTTGAACATTGTCGTGACTCTGAGTTTTCGCGCCATCGAGAAAGGGAGGCCAGGCCGAGGGAACGAGTCTCGACCTTGTTCGGGAGGAAAGGAAAAGCTATTTTGTCCGTCAATGGTGAAAAAGAAGCTAAATACGCATACGAGCACAAATGAACGCAGTATGCATCGAGCGAGCGGACGAGCAATTAAAAGGGGGTCAGCGGAGCGAGCTATTCACTTGCTCGCTGAGATTAGCCTTTCTTTCCTCTCCTCTCCACTCGGTCTCTCCTCCTCTTGCTCCGCTTCTTGCTTCTTCGCGTATGCACGCTACTGTCTGTGAGCATGTGCTCAAATTGGTTAGCTGTCGTCAAGATGCATCGATCAGTTCCTGCGCAAGCTTTTTCTTCTTCGCATGCAGTTGGCAGTTCAGCATCCATTGAAAACTGCCGCACATAGCGAACAAGTGTCGAACGACGAACATATTTGTGTGCGCGCAGGCAACGTGGAGATCCTACACAAGGGCAGATGGGGCAATGTATGCGACGACGAGTGGGACGAGATGGAAGCAAGGGTCGTCTGCAAGCAGCTCGGATACACTTCTGGCAGAGCCAAGCCTACCTACGACGCCTTTTTCGGACAGGCAAGAAGTAAAGTTAAATTGCTTATTACACGCGAATCTTGAACGATAAGATTGCCGCGCGCTCCGTGGAAATATGAATTTTTCGAAGCAGCGCTCTACTCCGCTATTTCCATTAGCATTCGTTACATTTTAATATTACATTTTCCGGAGGAAACTTAATCAGCCATGCGTATTACAATTCTTCTCATGAAAAGTAATTTTTATTTGGAAAGAAGAAAATTTATTCAGCAACCGGATTTTCACGCTGAGATTATTTGAGAAAATTACTTTTCCGAGTATTCAATTTAATACAGTGAATAAGTACTTGTCCAATTATAGATTTACCTTATGTCATCATAGTACGGCGAATGAATAGAAAAAAATAGGAGAAATGGTAATATCACGTTTGAAAGAAATGCTTTCTTTAGATGTTGACGATATTTGACAAAATGAAGCAGCAAATTCTGATTCGAGCATTCAGTGACATATTTGTCAATAGGTATTCATTGTACGATAAGCATAACAACTTAATGCTTCCGAATGCGCGAATTCTTGCGCCGAGCGCTCGAGAGTCAGTCTATACGAAGCGATTAATTGAGAATCAATGCAGAAACTGTTTAATTACTCTACAAATTGAATCTGAGCTCTCAATCCCGGCTGGTTGGTTCTCTTTCACGAAATTCAAATGACGGAGAATCAATTATTTCGTTGCTGAATACATTAGCCGAAGGAGTTTCCGTCGCCGAGTTGGTCAATATTTCCGCAGGCAATCACATCTCGGTGAAAACATGATTGTGCATTCCGAGCTGCGTGGCACATTTTCCATCCGTACACCGGCAAAATACGAGTGACACATGGTTAAGAAACAGAGCTTCGGCGCAGGACGCTACTGGATGACGAATCTGCTGTGCGAGGGCAATGAACGCGAGCTGGCGCGATGTCGCTTCAACGGCTGGGGCCAAGTTCACTGCAAAGCCAGCGAGGCGGCTGGCGTGAGCTGCGAGGACGATAGCGACGGCAAGACGACGATTGAGGGCCGCGCGTCGAACGTGAGCTTTAACCAGACAAAGCGCAAGAGCCGGATAGGGGACAGTCCCCGCGGCGGTGTAGCACTGAGACTCGTCGCCGGTAGCTTTCGTCAAGGCCGTGTCGAGCTGAGATTTGCCGACTCGGGTGAGTACGGGCTGCCGGATTTTTACGACTCACGTGCCTGGCTCTCTGGCATTTTGTCGACAGATTGGGCTGCAGTTTGCGGCGACGGCTGGTCTCTGCGGGAAGCCGCCGTGGTCTGCAGACAGCTGGGACTTGGATTCGCTGCCCAGGCCTATCAGAGCAACGTCTTCGGCGCGGCGCGCGTCCCCATGGCCGCCAGTGGGATTAATTGCCGTGGCGATGAGAGACAGCTCGCCGAGTGCAGCCATGACACCGTACTTGATTGTCCTGGTTTGTTGCTAATCTCTCTTGATGGCTTGTCGATTTTTTCCCGCGTGACAGTGACTGACGAGTGACGTTGGCAAACTGAGTCGCATGGCTTTGCGAAACGAACCAAGCGTACTTTGCATTGACGCACTTTCATTACATTACGACCCTTTGCTGTGCACGTATTTTTTGCGCGAAATTTCGAGTTTTTGAGGATGTGAAAAACACGCGAGCTTACAGCTGCTGCTACCGTTTTAATTGAAATTTTGCCTGTTTGTCGAAAATCAATTGCTATGCTCTGCGTTGGATTACCGAAAATCAATGGTATTTTATCTTCGAATTCCTGTCTCGCATTCGTCAGATAGTGGGGAATGCTTTCAAAATGCTTCTCGATTAAATTCATTGTCAATTTTAGTATCGCTGTGATAAATGAAATTTATGCAAAGTTCTAATTTATACAGTTAAAGACGCTCGTTCAAAATCTACACTGCAGTGGAACATGGAATAACACAACTTTTCATCTGGATAGAAAGAAAAAGGAACTTATATCCTCACTATGAAGTCATGAAACTCCGACTAAGGATAAAAATTTCAGCTTTCCTAGCGGGACAACGCGCGTGTCGAGCATCGCCAGCCGTAAAGTAGAAAAACGAGGTAGCGAAGTTTAACTTGGAAAATTTATGGCTGACAGGGGTGGGCGAGAACGTCGCCGGAGTGACGTGCACTCAACGCATCGCCGACTTGGTATTGGACCACACTGAGCTGGAGCGCACTGCCCACCTGGAAGACCGTCCATTGTATAATTTGCAGTGCGCCATGGAGGAAAACTGCGTGGCATCGCAGGCATATCGGTCGCAGCGCGAAAACCGAGATTGGCATTGGGAAAGCCGAAGGCTGCTGCGTTTCACCGCGAGGGTGCTGAATTTGGGCTCGGCCGACTTCCGACCCGCGCTTCCGAAACACCTCTGGGAATGGCACATGTGTCATATGTACGTACGTGGTTACAACGCGGTGCACGTGTTCTTGGCTTTTTCGCGCACTGCATTTTATGGCGCTAGCTGCGAAATCTGGATCAAGCACATTTTCACTCGAGAGTTGCATGCTGCTGCTGCTACTGCTGAGTTTGGTTTTTTGTCCTGCGAGCCTGATGCATGCGTCGCGAGTGCTCGTGAAGCTGCTTTTTCGTTGCCGCGAAGAGGGAGCCTTATTAATTGCTCTTTGCCAAAGTTTTCCTCCAGCACAGTTTCGAACTGCATTCGAGTAGCTCGCTTCCATTATTATCGAGAGTTCGAATTCTAGTGGCATTGATAACTCGAAAATGCAGCTTCCGCGAAACTTTCCAAGATGTAGAAAAAAGGTAAACGTAAACAAGATCGTTACTACCGGACTTTTTGAGCGTTGCCTGCTTGGCTGGGCGACATATGGAAGTTGTTCGAAATTATACGCTCATGTTACTAACACTTTATTATCGTGCGGATCGCTCGTTATAACGCTAATTTTATACTCATGAGATTCAAATGGCTTTGTTCCAAGTAATAATGAATCAACATTTTCAACAATTCGACTGTTATTAACTAAATTTATCATCGAGTGCACTTCATTAACGACAAAAAGCGATGGAAATAGCGTACTACTCTACGCTCTAAAAAACGCGCAGAACTTCCATTTTTATTCAGGAATAATTATGCATCCGCACGAATGCTTTAGTCTTATACATGCACGCTATTAATTAAAAAGAACCGCTACAGCACGAACGGTTCCACTGATGAAACGAGGTGAAAAGAAAGAAAACACATGTCAAAGGCACTACCACTCGATGGAGGTATTCGCGACATTCGACATCATCGATTCGAAGGGCAGGCGCGTGGCCGAGGGTCACAAGGCTTCCTTTTGCCTTGAGGATAATCAGTGCTTACCAGGTATATGGCCTAGGTGAGCGTATATATGTGCCTCAGCAAGAAGGCAAAATCCTTCATCTCGTTAAAAGCGAGCGTTTGACCCAATTTTGTTGGCGCTTACGTGCAGGTACAGATGCGCGCATTACGGCGACCAGGGAATTTCGGTGAATTGTAGTGATATTTACCGGCACAACATCGACTGCCAGTGGATCGACATAACAGAGCTTGCTCCGGGATCCTACACGCTCAAGGTAATTTTTACGCACCGCCACTAATGGGCTGCTATACTCGGCGTAACTGAGCCAACTTCGCCCGATAATGTTTGCACGCCACCGATGATTCATTTCACCTATAGGAGAGCGCGAGCGTTCTGACGTTATTGCCCGCGCGGATAATTAATTTGATTTCGCGCTATTCTTGTTTATTGCGATTGATATTGCTCGAGTGGCCATTCAAGGCTTATTTATAATCAATTAACGTTCCGTAATCCAATCAAGCAACCCTTCACTCCCGAGATGATGTTCATAGATCTTTATTGATAATGATGATAATAATCAAGGTGGTCTTTCGGTTAACATGGTTGCATTTCGATATTGCTATTTGTGATTTCGTACCTGCGAATAACGAGAGCGATAAAGGCTATACCAATGAAAAACCAAATGGCAAGCAGGAGATGAACCGTATTATAATTTGTATCGTTGATACCTCGGTTATAAAGCGCCAGCTCGCGCTGGGCCATTTGATCGGCGCCGAGTGTAATTAACGAGTTCGTTAATGAGCAGAGCGATAGGCACGCATCGAGATTGATCAATACATACGCTGGGCGATAATTTGCAGGTCGCGGTGAATCCGGAGGCGAAGGTGGGGGAGATGTCGTTCGACAATAACGCCGCCACGTGCAAGCTCCTCTACGCCGAGACGTTCGCCAAAGTCCATAGCTGCGTGATGGGCAGACCCTAATGGACTCACACTTGCACAGAGCGCGCAGGCATATATCGAGAGAGCAGATTCGATTGTAAATGCCATTAACGAGAGCGACCCCCTTTGTCGACACCGCGTCTCGCTGACTTTGCACCTGTCTGTGTGCCGCGCGCTGCGTACATGCGCGTGCCACTGTGTGGCCGAGGCTTACAATATTGACCTCGATGCCCTGCCATACGCCCAGCACTGCCCGCCACCAACTTCATACACCTACCCTTTTTCGATGCTGCTCGCGATTGCGAAAGCTACCTCTCCTCCTTTATTGTGCGCGAGTTTGTTGCGTACCAATGGCGGATTTTTTACTTGTATCTAATACATTTTTATTACGAAATAAGTGTTACCTTCATTGTTCAATCCATCTGTTTTTGAAATAAGCAATGAACTATCTGTCGTTGAAGTGCTTTCGAAAAGCGATTAGCGTTTATTATTTTAATTAGCAATCAAGGAACATCATTCAGAAGATTAATCCAATTGGCGTACTATCAATAATGATCTAAAAATTTGGACGCTTTGAAAAATATCCTCTCGAGAGAAAATTTCGTCTTGTCATAAAGAGATTTGTTCTTATTATAAGGGGATCTGACAAGAGGATTGGCTTAAGAAGAACTTTTTTCTCCAATCTTTTTGTATTGATAAAGAAAGGCATCTTTATTGACAACAATATGTTATTGACGACTCCGGATTACTAATGTTACAAGTTATTTTAATCACTCAATGGTTTCTCTAGACAATTTTAATAAGATGGCTTTCTTCTAATGGTTAAAGTTGAATTTGATGCAGATGCTACATAGTATTACTTGTGATTTAATATGTTACCGTTGTACAGTAATGAAGAATATTTTCAAACTTCTTTCTGACTGACTAAAAATTGATGTTCGAACAAAATAGTCTAATGCATGACATTCTCAATAAAAGTAATTGAGTGAGCATAGGAAAAAACTTGAAAGGAGACCGTCGCACGAAAGGTACAAGTTCCTTTCGCAATTCGCAATCTTATCGGAAGTCTTCGAGAAGATGCATCCTATCAGAAAACGTCTTTTCAATGTGCTTACTCGATCAATTACAGGGCGCATTCAAGTGCAGCATCCACAGTGGGTTCCAACGAACGTATTTTGCCAAGCACAAAAACTTTTCTAAACGGGTATCGATAAAATATCGAATTCGCGATCCATGCTAAAACATGATCTCTCATCTTGTCCACTCGTGCTAAAAGAATATATGTGGAGGCATTTGCGTAACATTTACACGCCGACGTATCAAGCCGCACGTCGAGCCGAAACAAGGTACATTTCAAAATAAACGCTGGCGCCCAGGCGCGCGCATACACTGACTACGCCGACCGCAAAACTCGGTCGAACGCGTGCGCGATTGCCATAGAGCGGAGAGCAGCGAGATGCGGAAGAGTAGAAGTCGGTCCGCATCGGTGTTATCGTACACACAGGCGCGGGTACACACACATTACCGGAAAGATAGAGAGTCAAGCTCGACGCTATTATGCGTGCAATTATGCATTAAGCGTAGAGCCGTGCGCAACGAGCCTCGTTCGAGCTGAGTAGTTTAACAATATGCGTCAGCCCTGGCAATTGCCAGCGCCAAGTGTCCCTTGTACACCATGACAACCGCTATATTTACCTCACTCGCGTTAAATTTGTGATTGCGCGTTTTTGCCTATGAAGAAGGCAAACAAAAGCAACGCGCGCGAGTTTACGACCAGCGACGTACGAGCCAGCGCGAGACCGCGTGCAAGCTGCAAATTAATCCGATAACGGGTGACGAGGGGGAAATTGGAAAATGAGCGAAACGCCTGGGCCGATAATGAGTGCGTGAATATTCTCTGCCGGTCGAGTTAAATGGACGTGATTACTCTATTGTACTCGCTCGTGCGAATTAATAACGTAGCCACGAGTTAGATATGAGTAAATGCCTGATGGTAACCTGAGTAATGGACGAGAGGTGAATGTATTCATGCTGTGCTATAACTCTACCGATACGAATTGATTTAACGGAATAATAATTTTAAAGTTAGTGCGACTCGCGTGCAAGAGTCCATCTCGTTGATTTTATTAATCAAATAAAAGATTTCATTCTCTCTTTTTTCGCGAGATATGTACCAATATACGCAGAAAATTGGATACAAATTATACGTTTACGCTTTATCTTTTATTTTCTGCTCTCGCGTGCTTTCTTACTACATAGTCCGCGACTGATTTATATTTTAGACGAGACGAGCATCGTCCTAATTTATTATTTACGAGCCTTTCTCCACGCGAGCGCGCGTGTGTTGCATTAAGTACGCGCATAAATTAAAACGCGCGGAAAACATTGAAAAGTGCACATAAGTACGTTTAATTAATGAAATGTGCATTCATTACACTTGAAGGAAGACGCAAAACCCGCACGCACAAATGTAAAAACGTTGATAGATTGTTTTTAAACAGATTACTTAAGAATTGCATTTTTATAGTTCGTGAAGGCGAACGAGAACCCCATCAGATCTGAACAATGTCGTTTGGTAATACTCAAGAAAGATTAAGGAGATGAGTTGATTTGAGAAATTCGAAGCTTAGTCTCTCTTCTTTTTCTTTACAGATTTGTTTTATTTTCTCGACAGATTCGTCCGCTTGAATAGATGGTTCTACAAACGTGAACTCCGCTGCTAACGTCAATATGTGAAGATGATAACGAAAAAGGAAATTGTTTTAATTGAAATGCATCTAACGTGAGCTCGTGGCAACACCCTTTGGTTCGCTCATCTTCTTCTCCTTTTTGAAAATAAGCGCTCCGTGAAAGTTGAATTTTTGTCAGGAGAAATGAATTCGCTCTCACTAAATACTTGCGGTGAACGAGCAAAAAGTGAAGATGATTGAAAAAACAGAGTATCCGCGGGGGATCAAAAGAATTTCCAATGCATATGCGATCATCTACTCTCTCCGATAAAACGTGAAAACTGTAACTATTGGTTCGAGAACTTCCTAGCAAGCTTTGCTCTTTTGAAAGACGCCAAAGGCACGTTTGTGAAAGAGCTGTAATAAACACTCGGGCACGCTGTCGGTCTTCTCAGTCTTCTACGAGAAAGAAAAAAAAAGAGAAAAAAGAAAGAAAAATAGAGCACTCGAGAGGCCAAGATTGAGAGCTCTTTTCAATCTTGGCCTTAACAACAGCGATCGCGGTCGATTGCGCAACTGATTTGCCCCTTATGCATCGAGCAAGAGTAGCGGTGGTGGCAGCCGTGGTAGGGTGCGGCTGTCAATTAAAGCGCCCCCTTTTCGCTCGCAATCCAACGTGACTACCAAGCTATAATTCGTTTAAGACGCTAGGACGCGGCCTGGAGAGGAATATGGCTTCGCTAATGCAGTCGACCATCACCTGCGACCGGAGCGAGCCGAGTGCCGAGCTTCTTTTTTTATCTCTCTCCTCTCTTTCTCCCCAAAGAGAGAAAGAGAGAGTTTCGAGCAACGGCGACGACGTTGCCCCGTTCCAGCTGGACGCCCGCCAAAGCGGGATATGGAAGGTGACTGAGACGATAGAGCACGCGGAACCGGCTACCAGAGTGAGCGTGTGATATGCGGACGAGCCTCGGAATATTGCAGCGGTCGAGTTGAGAGAGGGCCAGCTACACGTACACCGTGCCCCTTCACGCCAATTTATTTCGGTTTTATTGCTTTGCAGCTCACGCTGCTTTGTTTTCGCGCTCACACTTCAGGGGCTTTCCGCTTTAAATTGACACACTTTTTTGCAGTTGACTCGAAGAGCCGTGTCTCGAGTTGAGTCAGACTCTAGATTGATGGTTGTCGTTGTCGATCGATGTGGAGCCAAAACGGAGAATTGACGACGAATCGTCGAATTGGCGAGTGCATCGGTGAACGAAAAAATGAAGAAGTTGCGCGGTAGTACGATGTGCTGCCGAAGCCACGTGCGGTGATCGAGGGGGTTGCCATCTCTCTCCGGTCTCCTCGTGGATATCGACTAAACACGCGCGCCGCTCTAGAGAGAAGTCGGGCTTTGGCTTTGTCGCTTGTGGCAGCATCTGTCACGAGGAGAGAAGCATGAATCTGCCAGGCACTTGGCAGCTAGTGCTGCTCTCGTTCTTCGGGCTCGCTTTAGCCATCGAAGACCTAGTCTGCTCGAAGAACCACTCGGTGGTGGAGGTGAGCGGCGATGCCGTCCTTTCAGGTAAGCTCCAAAAGCTTCGGGTTGTTCGCCCGCGTAGGCACGGTGGCGCGTGATTGCGCGGCGATTGACCGACGGTGCATCTTTGCCTCCGCAGTGTTCGTCGACACAGACTACGGGCCCGAATGCAATATTTCATCGCCAAAAAGCATCCAGGAGGTAGCCACGGCGATGTTCGTCGCGCAATCTCTCAACAAGCTGGGATACGTACCCGGAGTGACGATAGGTAAGTAATTTGGAGTAGGTCGGCACTCGGCACTCAGCTGCCCAGCTTTGATAGCTCACGGCTACACCGGGCGTACCTTTCGCGATGCGCGAACTTGTAAGAAAGCGGCACGCATGTTGAAGGTATGCGACTGTACGACACGTGCAACGACCGTATCTCGGTGTACAAGCAGGCCCTGCTGTCGGCAATGGAAATGGACTGCTCGGCGCACTATGACCTTGGCATTTTAGCGCCGGAGCGCTACTCGGAGGTGCTCGAGCCACTACGCAACTTGGACATAATCCCGGTGAACACCTATGCCTCGGCTAACCTGTCGCGGCCGCTGATCGACGTGCTCGTAGACTTTATCGCGAGCCGATACTCAGTCGTCGATCTGGTACTGAGCAGCTCGCGTCGGCTGCTCGATCGATTTCTCGACGCCAGCAAGGAGGCGGGCATTTGCGTCAAGAGCGATAAGATGCACGAGCCCGACGGCAACGCCACCGACCTCGTCGTCGTCGCCATTGGCGACTACGACGACGTATCCGCTTGGCTCGACGAAGAGCAGATTGGCGACCACGACGATAAGAAAATTTGGATCATCCTACCGGTCGACAACTCGCACGTGGACGGTGAGCTCTCTGCGCGTCATTTTCAAAGATAATCATAGGCCTTGCAGCGGCGCTTGACGATGAAAGTTCGATTAACTGCAATTCGCAGACTTGATACCAGAAAGCTCGTTCGTGGTGAAACCCGAGCAGTTCCAAGTGGACCTCGGGCCGGAGCTCGACATGTCGGAAATATCCGTAAGCACAATACTGCACTCGCCCCATCTGCTGAGTGTGGGCAAGGCCATAGTCGAGATTGCCAAATCTATGCTCGACTTGCAAACCAAGAGTTGTCCTTACGGAACAACGGGTTGCGTCTTACCACGATTCAGCCTGCCCGAGAGAGCCTCCATCAGCAATGCGCATCTCTATGAAATACTTCGAGTACCTGCTAAGTCGCACTCGACCAAGTAAGTAGCGACAAATAAGTCTCGACGCAATCATTGTAGCTACAGTCGGCGCAATGCTGACGTAGTTCACCGATATTCTAACGGCTGATCCCATGCTCCTCAACAATCCAGACTCCCCTTATCGGAATTCAATAACCGCATTCTCTTCTATAATTTTAACGAAAGTCTCTCCCTCTCTCTCATGGACTTTTGTTTTTCGCAAATGTTCGCAGGTACATCATAGCCCGAAAGCTAGGGGACGCAGTGGTGGAGATAGCCAGCTACATGATCGACGCGACGAGCGCGCGCTACCGAGTGATGCCAGAGAGAGAGATGCACAGAATGCCACGTTTGTGCGTGAAGAAGCTCGCCTCGAGATGCGACATGTGCATCAACTTTCAGATCCGCTCGCACGACGAGGACGAATACGACGACGACGACTACGGGGACAACTCGACGTTACACAACCTAAAGCCCAATGTCTGGGTGCCGATCTTCCTGACTATCGTCAGCTGCGGCACGCTGGCATGCGCCTGCGCCGGGGCCTTCATCGTCTATCGCTACTTCGTCGAGGAGATACTGGACGGCAATCCCCTGATGACGCTTGTGCTCATAGTCGCGACGGTCCTCATGCTGCAGAGCATTGTGCCGTTCTGCTTAGAGGACAAGGTTATGGGCGCACAGCATCTGAACGCGAGGAAGATTTACGTGTCGAGCTTGTCGTTCGGTCTGGCCTTCTCGGTGATGCTGACCAGAGCCTTGTTCCTCGCCTTCACTAGCTGTAGTCCCAGCTTCACCAGCCACATCAACGGCTACCTGCAGGGCTGCATGTTGCTCTTCATGGCGGGCGTCGAGATCGCCATTTCCACCATGTACTTCGCGCTGAGCACCAACGACGCGGCTCGCGTTATGCGGGGACCCGTGTACATCGCTCTCTTGGGTGAGTTCACCGCAGTAACCTGATCACTGGCAGAGTTAACGACAGGCCGGCGGTTCGCCGCCTCGCCCGTCCACAGGCTACGACATATTCCTGCTGGTGGTGTTGTTCGTGACGTGCTGCTTCATCGCGCACATCCCGCGCAACTACCGTGAGGGCATGTGCTTCTTCGGCACGGCGATAGGCTTGCTGATGACCTGGGCGGTCTGGCTGACCTGCTTCTTCCTGATGTCGGCCGAGCAGCGAGACGTGATCGTCTGCTACGGCATCCTCGGCACCGCCTGCCTCATCATCGTCGGTATCCTCGTGCCGCGCACTTACTTCATGCTGTCGCATTATTCACGAACCGGCGACAAGGATTTCATGGGCCGTTTCGAGGTGGCCGACCTGCCGGATCCAAGGATGAATAATGCAGCGCGTCAGGTAATGCGGATCGTCGGCCGCTCCGCGGGCAACTCGCACCCGCGAGAGAGCGCCCACGAGGCTCGCTCGCGCGCCGAAATTGCCTTCGTTAAGCTTTCGCGAAGTGGCTTGATGCCTCGCGCGCTACCGGATCTATTTGCAATTAGATGGCGAGTGAGCGCGCGCGCGCGCGCGCCAGTTCCCAAGAGCACCGGTGCGCGCCCGCCGCTCCTGCCTACGATCAACGCTCGCTGCTCCACGGAGCGAATACTTGGCCGAATCGCGTTTCCGCGATCGCGTATACGACTCACGGTACATCGTCATCGTATACCCCGGCTGTCTTCGCACGAGCGCGAAATTCTCGTCGAACCCGCGGCATCGGAATTCGATGCGAGAAAGAGTCTTGCGACGAAACTCAACGCGATAGGTGACCCAGCGCCTCCGGTGCTCGAGATAGCGTTTCGCATTTTCGAGCCACCGCGTGTTGCTACACCCGAGTGGGACAAGTTTATTGTGCTGCTGAGTGCACGATGCTGTTTTGCATATCGCGTACGCACGTATACGCGTCCGTGCTGCCGAGGCAAAAATTTCAACGAGATAGCAGACTCCGACCAGCAAATTATCGGCGCCACCGCCCCCCCCCCTCTCTCTCTCTCTCTCTCTTTGTGGCATCAAATCTCGTTTCGTCTTTCTCTTTCCGTTCATTCGTTGACGCGATATGACGCTATTGTGCTCGCTGCTGTATTTGATCGAAATGTCAATTGATATAAATGTTCCGATAATTACTTATACCAAATTATAATTGAACATACGCTCATCCATTGTCGCGTTCAGTTTCATTTGTCGCTCCAAATATGTCGACAGTTGAAATACTCATCCTAGCTTGTCTAGATTAGCAAACCGAATGAATGATGGCGGTGCGACGGGTACGCAGAACGCGTTCAGATGAAAACCACTAATTGCTAGTTTGAAGAAAAGAAAACAATGACGCCCCAGTCGCAACAGCACGCACGCGATGATCAGCAGAGAAATTGATCGTGCGCGCGAGCTTCGGCGCGTGTGCACAAGCAAGCTTGCAATAACGCGGGCAAGCTTATAGCAAAAGTCCATTAGCGCGCGCTGGCTAATTAGATGCTATCGCGATGCCTTCGGTGGCGGGGGCAGGCAAGTTTGACGAGGTGCTAACGGAAGCGACGTGCTCCCATTGTAAAGGCGTTGGATTTGCAGTCTCGTCAGCCGTTCTACGAGTACGTGCAGCAGCAGCCGCCGTCGGCCAATTACTACGGCAGCACCAGCCCGAACAAGCAGCCTGGCAGCGCGAGAGGCCGACGCAACCAGCGCAGTCCTGAGCCGAGGCGCACGCCTGGCTACAACAATTACGGATTTCGGCCGGAAATGAGGGAGCTCGAGCAGGCTTACGTCATACCACGACTCTACGTCGACGACCCGAACGTGAGTACACACGGAGCCGCGTCGCGCTCATATGTGCCTGCAGCTACGCAGCTGTTTGGCTCCCGGGCCGGACGCTGCCCGGGTGCGCTTTTTCTCTTGCTCGCCTGACTAATTTACGCGCTAACGAAGAGAAACTAGCGCTCACTGCCGTTCGCACGAGCACTCGCCAGAAAAATCCAGTCACGCGACTTGGGCTGCGCGGCGCACTCGCTCTCAGCCTCAACTTGGCGCGGACCGAGCGCGAACGAGCAGCACGCAGCTCACGAACGACTCGCGCACGCACGCACTCGAGGCAAGTCAAACATTGATCCGGGACCTATCTGTCGAAGGTTAGCCGTATCCAATCGGTGGTCAAGAGCGAGGAGCCACTGGAAGGGCCGGCCGCTCAAGAAGCCCGCTACGCACTGCCCAGATCTCTGCTGCGGAAAGCCCGAGGATTGGCTGGCAGCATCAACCGGAAAGTCAGCGGACGAGGAGAGCAGCAGCAACCGACCAGCAATCCCAACGCCCGCAACAACCGGCCCATCGAGACCGAGGTCTACGTTCAGGATCGAATCTCTCCCCGGCGCCTAGGGCCTGACGAGCACTTCCCACCCCTCAGGAGCCCCAGTCCCAAATTAACGCCGACTCACACCAGCATACGCGAGGAGGACGAGATTCACGACTACAACAGGATTACCCGCTTCTAAGCACTTTCCGAAAGACCAACTGACTTGTCGTTGCTCTCGATTGTTTCGCTGATTAGTTTCTTAAGGACCAAGTCCAATTCTATGACCAATTCTGAAGATTTGTTTCGAGAAGATAACTTATTTTGAGACTGCCTCTGCCGGCTCGCATACTCGAACAAAAAGACTACGAGACTACGACTGTTCTGTACAGAAATAAGTGGAACACTGCCGCTCTTTGGAAATGAATCTAGTCGTTTATGTTGTAGCTGTTCAAATTCAAACAAGCAAAATCGAAGATAAGTTCGATACGTCTAACTTTAAAGTAATTCATATTTTATTTAATGATCGATTGGTTATTATATTGTTACTTTACTTCAATCACTAGGAACATTACGATTATGAAGTTGATTATTATATTTTAAATCTATCATACTCAATACTTTAACCACTTTCACAAGTTTACTCAATTACTCAGTTTGGATGGAATATCAATATATGTGTTGAACGGAATGACTGAATAAATAATCTCACTCTAATCTGAACTGATAGATCCAGGGCTATATTATAGGTGGATTGATTAATATATAAAAATAATATTAAGTAAACCTCATTAATGTTATCATAAGAAACATAAGAAGTTTATTTGATGAATGTTCATTCTATTGGAAGACATGAAATTTTTCGATCAAACATGCGTGATATTTTTAGAAAGATTAAATTTTTTGAACACTGCAAAAAATTTTTGATATATTTGGTACTTTTGAAAATCAATATCTGATTATTATGAAATCATCATATGAAAAATGATATTAATTGTGTATATAACGTGTATATAGGATAGCTGCGCAGAATTGTTAAAAAAATAACGTTAATTCTCAAAAAGAAAGCCATCCAATGTAAACTGTCGAGCTATAATGATGATACATAAATCATCTTTTCGCTTGATAAGCTTTAACTATTTAACGTATCCTAGCCACACTTCCAGCTTATCGGCATTTTTAATTGAAAGCTCTCTCTCGATTAAGGCTTTTTTTACCTATGTGGTTGACGCATTTATCGTCGGTGCAAGCACAACATTCATGCGGCAGTGCGAAAGGGCAATAATCGAGCTTAATTAGCGGAAAATCGAATACATCGGGTCGACGTAATCGATCGAATTTGCTGGAGCGCGAGCGCAGAGCAGAGGGAGACTAAAATAAAAGAAAAAAGGAAAAAGCGGAGAGTCGATCGGGGCGCAGGTGTAGTTGGTTGGCACGCAGTTAGAGAGCGGCATAATGGATTCTTCGTGGGAGCTGTCTTTGGTCTGCTGTGCCGCTGTTAAAGAAAGGAGCAAGGAGAGAGGTGTATCGCTGAGATAAGCCTCCAGCCAGTAAGAGAGCTCGCACGATTATTATTTCCAGTCCATGAGCTCCGGAACTAAGTCTGTCGCTGGCAGATAAGCCGGCAGACGCTGCCACTGCTGGGCGTGTGGCACGCGTGATCGAGGCGCGAAGAAATCGAAAAGTGCAGGCAGTCGTGAAATGAGCGATCGCACGCATGCGCGCCTTCAGCCGAGGGACGCCATCGCCACGCTCAGCGCAGGATATAAAGTTAGAGTGGCGAACCGATCGGTTTCCAGTACAGGATGACACTTTCGCTCGACCGTCCTTTGTGTGCCCCATGCGACGACTTAGCATTCGTTAGACGCAAGCCAGCTGTATTTTTCATATCGAAAATCACTTTCGCTCTCCGGTCGGCAGTCAGCAATTAGTTACTCTTTTTGGCCATGTACGAGCTGATGGAAAACTCAAGATTCCTGCTAGTGACGACGGTCTACTTCAGCCTGTTGCTCGACAACATCCTCCTTACAGTCGTCGGTAAGTCCGGATTTCCGCGCCGAGGATACTGCGCTGTCAGTTGCCCCTCCCTCGTTTGTTCTTAGCTTGCAGCTCGCTGACTCGCGTTTCCTTTTTCTCCGTCTTCTCTGGAGCTCAGTACTCCCAAATGAACGAACAAGGCCGAGCTGAGCATTTGCTCCAGCTGCGCTTTATACGTCTGAATGGCTCTCATGCCAATTCCCTTTCATAATTACATGCCAACTCGGACGCTCTTAAGTTTTCCCTGAAAAAGCTTAGCATTTAATCAGCTTTCCTTTACTAAAACATTACGGACCAGTTCAATTTCACATCGCGCAGTACAGTCCCATTACACGCATACGTATGACGCGACCAAGACAAGCTTGCAGCTTTACCATAAAGAGGACTAACTAATTGAAAAAGAAAAGTAATGGAACTAAAAAAATGTCTTCCTCGCTGGCGCGCTCGCGGAGCACTTAAATCCTTTAACGAGAATAATTATAGGAGAAGGCGTGCGGGCGCTTTTAAAAAAAATTCCCCATGACTGCGCGTCGAGTGCGGCGGGGCTTCGTAATAAAATTCAAGCGGCTCTCCATTTTCCCTTCACTGGAATGGAGAAATCCGAGGTCGCTGTAGTTGTCGTGTGTGTGTTCGAAATTTTAGTGCCGATAATACCGGACTATCTCTACACCCTCGAGGGCAACTCGAGTCTCAACGGCGAGGAGGATGAAAACGGCCGGGTGGGTTTACTGCTCAGCTCCAAGGCTTTCGTGCAGCTCTTTCTCAACCCCGCCGTTGGCATTCTTACTGGCACTTTCGGTTACGCCAAACCTTTGTTACTTGGCAATCTGAGCCTACTGCTGGCTGCTCTGCGTAAGTATTTTACTTTGTGCTGTTACTCCGGGCATACGCGACCTTCAGCAAAATGTCAGCGTACTAAATTTTTGGGCTATTCTGACTGGAAAATGTGTAATTGCAGCGTCAGATGCATATGAATAGCGGTTTTATCCATTATGCAGATGTGGTCGTAATTTCAACGGTACATAGAATTGACGACGAGTGTAATTTAGCAGCTGGTGAATTTGCAGAATTATGTAGAATGGCTAGAGAACACTTAAAAAACTATTTAAGCTTCGCCACGTGCACGTGTACACGCGAATGATTATGAACTTGTGAAATTGACGAGAAACGAGGGGAAAATTGGCAACGATATAGCAAACGATTATTTATCAAAATGGCTTGCGGCGATTGCCAGCAAATGACAGTCTATTGATTATTTCCTTGATATAACGACAATTTTTCAAACATTGTGCGCAGTGTTTGCCGTGGGAACGACGTACGAAACGCTATTCTTGGCGCGCAGCATTCAAGGTGTATCATCAGCGTGTATCGGCGTCTCGGGAATGTCGCTGGTGGCTTTCCAGTATCCCGAGGAAGATAAACGCTCGAAAGTCATGGGCTTCGTCCTCGGCAGCATCGCCCTGGGAGTTTTAGCTGGTTACCCCATTGGCTCGGTACTGTACGACCTCGAGGGCAAAATGGCGCCGTTCTTGCTCGTGGCAGCTCTCATCGTGTTACTCATAGGTTCGTGTTTCACTCGCTCTGGGCGCTGAATGTTTTACGCTTCGTTGGTAATCAATTATTAACGCAGCTTTTCCAGCGGATTAACCGTTTTTAGCCGCTGCTGATCTCTTTTCCTGGCTTTTTTTTTCTTTTTTTTTCGCTCGCGGATTCATACGTCTAAGAAACAGAGTTCAGAGATAAATTTTTTATTTGGCTTATTCCTGGGAATTTCATGTCGAGAAAAACAAAGTAAAGAACCGAGATAGTCTCGTTTCGCAATTAAATATTTTTGAGGTGTATCTCACAGGACTTCAGTTGTTCGCGTTGGACTTCGATCCAGTGACGCAGGTGAGCGCTACGCCATTCGGATTACGCGCATGGCTCGAGGCAAATTGTAAAGCGCGCTAGCTCACTTCTGTTGCAGAAGGGCGAAGGCGAACAGTCAAGCTGGATGTACCTCTTACTCGACACTCGCATTCTTATAATTGCGGGAGCCATATGGTTCTCAACAACACCCATGGCTATTTTAGAGCCTTGCTTGCCCATCTGGCTCAGGACCCACATCAAGGCGAAGGTTATTAATCATTACTATTTCATGAAACAAATCCGTAACTCGACGATGTAGCGCATGCTTGCCAAGGAAGGAAATATCTTTCGAAGCAAACGTGCTGGACCTAGAGAGAGCTTGCAACAGAGCAAAACTTTTCTCTCAGAAATGGCAGCTGGGCGCGGCATTCATCCCGGACAGCGTGGGCTACCTGGTCGGCACGAATTTCTTCGGCATGATAGCCTACTACTACGGCCGGTATAAAACGGCAGTGTTGGCAATGCTGTTAGTAGGCTTGAGCGCAACCGTGATACCCGCGGCGAGCAACATGTCCCAGCTGATCATCCCGCATTTAGGCCTTGGATTGGGTATCGGCGTGGCGGATGCGGCGCTCGTGCCGCTGCTCGCTTCGCTGGTCGATCAAACTGGCGGCTACGGACCAGTCTACTCCATCCAGCAGATTGCCGTCAGTCTGGCTTATTCTCTAGGTGAGTCTGTCGCTTCGACCCGCGAGAGACACGTCTGATCAGTTACGCGCTTGTACTACTTACCTCGCTAGATTATCGTTGCCGGGCACTGACTCTCATTACCGTTCATTTGTTCTTGTGCGTTTATGCTGACTCATTTATACTATTTGGTTGAATAAATAATACGTTGCCTGCTGATTCGATAATTGTTCAATGAGCTCGTACATTTGTGAAGACTTGAAATAATTAAACGTGCTGAAACAACAGCTTTAAGAGAGCAATTAAGTTATCAATTTGCGAATGTATCTAAGCTAAGCTTTTCATCATAGAAATATCTTTCGTATAACTATTTATAATTCATTCCGCGATATTCAATAATAACAGAGAAAAGCATACAAGATATGAAAAGACGAAATGAAATGTCCGAGATGAGCAAATTTATCAGCAAATAAACGCATTGGAGAAATAAAGTATCCGCTCTAGCAACTAGCAACGTTACATTGACAGCGCTGATCTGTGTGGATAAGTGTGTCCATGACATGTTAGAGTGGCCAACCAGTAAAGCAGTTTCGTCACGTCCACAGGTCCGATAGCGAGCGGCGAGCTGGTGCGGAGCGTCGGTTTCCCATGGGTAATGCGCGCTGCTGGTCTGGCGAACGTAGCCTACTGCCCACTGCTGATTTATCTGGCCCTGAGGCGACGCACGGAGCCAACCCTGGTGAACTCTTCGGGCCGCGAGTACGATTCCTTCGAGAAGCCGCGCCAGTATCAGCGCTTCTATGACTCGGACGACAGCCTCTAAGCTTTAATCTCGCGGCAGCCAGCGGTAAGGGACCATTCGCATACCGAGCACACGGTACGCAACTACCACTGCCAGCTGCGCCCCCCCCCCCCCTCCTCCCAAGATAATTGTATGATTTGCGAATTAGATGCTCGCTCGAGCAAAAAATTGGCGTGTCACGCTAGCACGCGTTTCGCTTGCCTGTTTGCCTGCTAATACCGGTGGCGTGACGTGGTACGCATACGCTTATCCACGCCGTCTTCTTTTATTTTTGTTTATTATCACAGAATATTTCTGCCGCTCTCTACCAAGTCATTATGTATACGCTAATGAGCTATTTCTTCTTTCCGCGTTTATTTATTCCTCTTTTTTCTCTTTTCCTGGTTTTTCTTAAAATATTTACGCTGTCCGTGCATGCTTCGTGTCAAATGCCGTGAAAAATTAAGCCTCCTATTACCGTTGTATTTGTACGAGTCGTTTTGGTTTTAAAGCAATTTCACTTCTATTAATCAGAGCTGTGATAAATTAATCCTAGAATTTCAATCCATTATAAATACGTATACGTAAGGTTGTATTTACATTTGCCTCTTTCATTTCATGTATTAGTATTCCCTGTCGTACCATTAAAATTCTTTTGAACTTCGAGTAAGAACTGAAAAATTGCTTTTATCATGTATTCTAAATGAACCATTCTTCGTAGAAAGTATTAACGTGTCTTAATGTTTCAAAAAACTACAGCTGAAATTCAAAATTCAATTTTCAGTTTTTTCAAATTCATAAATTATATCTTACAAATGTTCGATATTACCTCCAATCTTCAATCTAATCATAACGCTGTAAATATTCATGTTCGAAATAAATATTTTTTCAATCAACTATTAGTTCTTGCAATTATTATATTACGAGATATTATATATCATTATATTATTTAATCGTATATATCTAAGAAAAATATGTGTTATAAAAAACAATGAATTCAGCAATGATTAATGAAATAATTTCAATGATAACGAATATTCTGAAATGATGTTAACATAATACCATTCAAAAAAAAACTAGATAGTATAGATATATAAAATTTTAAATACAACTTCGGAAATATGAGAGAAATGTGTATAATCAAAGTTATTTTCGCACTTCGTATTTTTTCTAAATGGTAAAATTATTTTCATTTAATTTTCAATACTACAAATGTCGTATTTCTTCATATTTTGTTTTTTTATTGAGTCGAAACTGTAATACAAGGTAAGTAGCGATTAAATATAAGAAAAGTAATACTTCTTAGCGTATAATATTCTACATGCAACTAATTAGGTAATGGATGCTAAAATATATCATTTCGTTTCACAAAACAAAAAGAAAATAAGGAAAAATCATTTAATTGATTAACGTGTGTCATGTGAAGCAATTCAGCTATTTATATATAATTATCGTTTCACATCTTAATTCATTTGTAAAGTAATACTGCAATGATATTGAACATTTTCTTTCTCTCTTGTGGTATTAATGGTCAATATTTTCTCTATTCATAAGTATTTAATTACATTTGAAAAATAATATTACATTATACATTACTTTTTGAATAAAATTAAATTAGATCTCTCTTTATTTTATTTCATTGCTTTGCATTACACATTTTACTTGCAATATTTTAAATAAAATATATTTTCTTATACTTTGTATTTCTCAAAACTTGTAATTTGCAATTATTCGTGATAAAAGTTTTCTAGTTCCGTTTATATTATACAACTTTCAATCAAATAAAAATCTCCTGTTTTTATTAAATTTTTTATATATGAAACACAGTCTACATTTATCTATTAAACTTAACGACTTTGTAAAAATTTTATTTTAGTTGCTCATAAATATATATTATCGAAAAAGTTATATTTTTCTAAATGTATTAATATTTTTCAACTATTTATAAACTATTTTACATCTATTTATAAAAACTGACGATATATTATACTGTAATAGATAATATTACAGTATTATGTATTATATTATATAATACAATATGTTATTTGTATAATATTTATGCAGATAATTATTATCTGTAGAAATTCTATATATTATACACATAAATTTTACTGTGATTTGTGGAGAACAAGTACATTTCGCCACATCATTTGAATACACTGAAAACAAAGTGGATCCACAAAATACCTTTGAAAACGATAAATTATATAAGAGATTATATTACATAATAAACCTTATAAATTTCATTATTATATTTAGAAATTGGCAATACGTATTACTCAAAGGTAGATTTATATTTTAAAAATATAGATGTAGCGTTTATTAGTAAGTAATAATCTATTGAATAATAATTATATAAATATTGTAAAATATAATAATAATAATACTTAATGTATATGAAATAATTTTAATGCTATACTGAATTAAATATGATCTTGTTATATTTTTATATCGCCTAAAGACAAAAGTGTAAAGTATTTAAATCAACACAAATGGTCAAAGATTTGTTCTTTGAATTAAAACTTGGGAATAATTTATATTCGAATATCATAATCAGAGGTTCTACTCCGTAACGATCCACTTTCGACGTTGTAAATTGGGATTTACTTTCTTTATTATTTATTTGTAGTTTAAGCTAGTATGACATGATGAATCAAATTCCAAATAATCTTATCTGCTAACAAGATGGAAAGAAACATTTTTCATTTTATTTAGAAGATATAAGTATTTCTTGTATTTAATAATATCTAAAGTTCTTGATAACAGCATCTTAAACAATCTCAATATATATTAATGCATATTCTATGCTACAAGGTACGTGCTTTTTTTAACCCATTATTACGCAAGCAAAATCCAGGCCAGATAGCACCAAGCTAACCATTAAATCACTGTTAAAACGAAATAAATTTACCCGTGTTTTTTTCTTTTAACTATTCTAATTGTTTTGTGAAATTATTTAAATAAAATAAACAATGACGATTTCAATAAACTGATAACGCCAAACGATTCGACAAAAAAAAACACATCGAAAACCTTTGTACCATTTTTCCGTCAGATTCTATTTTGTTAGTGTATTATCGTCAGAATATCAAATATTCAGCTTTATTTGGAAATCAAGATTTCATTCTAACCAATAGCATGAGACATTTGGGCATGATTTTTTTAACCGATTTATAGTTATATAAAAAAATTTTAAAAAGATTTTCTACTTGTTTTTCTGCATAGAATCGATTGGTATCACCAGTTTCTTGAAAGTGGAAAGTTTATTATAATTTAGTTATATAATTTCGTATAAACAATTAGAATCGTAATAAGATAAACACGGTTTTTTTTATCGTGTGGAAAGTGGTCTTGTAGTTAGTTTGGTGATACCTAGCGTAGATTCAGCTTGGAATAACACGAAGTACAGCATCTCTGTTTGAGATGTCATTGTTTATTATGATAATACACTAACAAAATAGAATCTGACGGAAAAATGGTATAGAGGTTTTAGATGTGTTTTTCTTGTAGAATCGATTGGCATGATCAGTTTTTTGAAATCGCAACATTTTGTTTATTTTGTTTAAATAACTTCGCAAAACAATTGGAATCGCAAAAAGAAAATATACGATGTTTTCTTTTTCCGTTTTGATAGTGATTCAATCGTCAATTTAGTGCTATGTGTCCTGAGTGTTGCTTGGGTAATAATAGTTTAATGAAGTTTCTAGCAAATCACTAATTTACATAGAAATATATAGTGGTATTTAATTAAATTCTACAAGTAAACTTTTTAATTCTTAAATACTACAAGTAAAGTGTGTACGATGCTAAATATTTCCTATGAAATCTCTTTATTAAATTAATGCAGGCAACGATGGATGCCGACCTCATCAAACTCGTACTCCCTGTGGAGATCCATATTCGACAATTTGTGGACAACCAATACCTAGATTTTACCTCGCAGTAAGTGATATGTATTACATCACACAACATACAAATATCATAATTACTTTGCACTTCTATATATTACAGGATATGTTTACCGTTTACCTACATTTGTAATAATAGTTTCTTTAGGAAAGGAAATGATTGCATTAAAAGAGAAGACTGTTGAACATTGACCAAAAATAATTTTATACAAACGTGCAAATCTATTAATTGTATATTAAAAAAACAAATAAAAAAATTAATACATACTAATAAAACTTTATAGATCAAATCAATAAATCTGATGAAATCGTGTTCTAAAATCTTTCAATAATTATTATTTATTTTTATAAATCATTCTATTGATATTTTAAAATACGTGCATGTAGAAATATCATAATAATTCATTTGTAGTAATTTTACGAAAAAGAAATATTTTTATTTATGTTTTATGAAGAAATATACGATGAAAACATGTAATCAATTATTAATGTTTAATTGTTGTTATTCAACAAATTACAATTTAAAAGTGCTAATTTGAAAAAAGAAATTTGAATAATTCCAGTCTACGTTACTATTGTTATTTGCATTTGTTATTTGAGAAAAGAGAGAATAAGATAAACTTTTACCGTATCATAAGACGGAAGCAAATAAGGAAAATTTACGTTATTAATCAAAATACGTCACTCACAATATGAGAGTGTTCTTACTAAAAACCTTGTGCTGATTCGATTCACTTCTAAAGCAACACCCCAACCGCGATAACGAAAATGTTTTTCTTGTATTTTGCAACGTTGGTTGTCAGTCATTTAATTGTTATAAGTGAGTATGTTATAATTCAATTGTTAAATAAGTTTTCTTATTCATCAGTTAATATTTATAATATTTAATATCAGATGAAGCAAGCACACCGAAGTGCCCTGCTAACCACACGTATGCTCAGACTGTTTCTGGATGTCCCGCAGCGTGTATAGTGTTACGCGTAGAACGTGCAACGCTGACCTGTCAATCCATTGTAAGTAAAATGATACGTAAGAACAAGTTATGCATAAGCGATCTAAGTCTCACTTTTTACAATTCGCAGGTTGAAAAACCTGGCTGTTATTGTTCTCCCGGTTATATTTTAAAGTCAAAAAGATCTAAAAGATGCATTAAACCTCAAGACTGTTAATCCATTGAATAAAATAACATTTTTAAATTTATGCTTATTGTTTTCAATTAAACGTCGTTAAACTTTGTTCACTGAATATTTGGTAAGTTTCATTAACTTTCACGTAAATTATGAAGAAATATGGTACGTCTTAGAAATTTCGTCGAATTTTCGGAGATCAACGTCAAATTATATATAGAAAAATAAAGAATAATTAAACAATGAAACCTCATATTCTAGAAAATTTCTAAAAATTATCATTCTTGTATTTTAGTATATAGAGAATCTGATTTTAAGAGTATAATTAAAACTAAAGTATATTTTGAATGTTCAATCAATTCTTTTAAAGAACTTTGTAATGAAAGCTGCTTAAAAAACAACTTATAGCTAATGTTACCTTCAAAATTAATTATGGCTATTATCAAACAAGAAAATTGAAGAAAAATACAAGTTAAGTATTGTTTATATATCTACAAAACATTCCTTATCAGCTAACGCAAGTTGTGGAATACTGAATATTTTGACTAAATGGGCTATTAAAACGGCAAGTTCTGCGACTGAATTATTTCTTTTATACGAGTAAAATATTACGAATCTTATAATTAGACTCTTACTGTATCTTTCAGTAAAATAATTGAAGCAAATGGTAAGTCATAATATTCTTTGTCTGCATGAGCTTTGATAACAAAAATTACATATGTGAACTTTTTTATTAATTGTTTACGATCGTAGCTTTGAAGCTTATTATTTTTGGAACAATTATGATTCTATTTGATTTCATTCGCAAAAACTCCAAATAAGAAATAAAGAGTCTGTTACGTGTAAGCTGTCTTCATGCGTTTAAAAATCCTAGTACAAATAATTATTGTTTCTATAGCGGATAATCTGTATTTTAAATATTATTCAATTAGTAATAACATGCAATCAATTCAAATAGCTGAACATCGATGATTAGTTAATTTAATTAAACTTATTCCATATGCTCGTTGGCATGTATACTTTAAACTACGACAAAAGCGTGCTAATATTCAGTACTCTAATAAATAATATGTTGTATGTACATCCTTATTTAAGATATATTGAATTCCCTTTTCTTTTTTAGAACTACGTTCCAGGTCGTACTTGCAGTGTATTTTACGCTTTTAAAGGTCATAAATGCGTGACAATAAATAGTTGTCAACAAAATTTTATTGAAGCTTGTGATTTCTTAAAGAAAGTCTTCAAATCATAAAGAATGTCGAATATATCTTGATAATTGTTTAACCGATCTGGAATAATTAAAATACATTGTTGAAAATAGATCAGTTAGGTGAACATCTTATACAATCAACCACAGGCATTATATTTATCTGGCTCATTTAATAACTATTTCATGCTTTGAAACCGTAAAATAGAGCGGATTTATGGCATATGTCGCGCGTATACGTAGAAAGGATTATAAATGACAGATCAAACCAGCTGCTGGCATGTCAGTCGAGGTTCAAAGTACATTACTCCGTGAGATAAAGTGAAAGAAAAGCGAAAGGGGTCCAAAAGAGGAAAAAAGATTAAGACTCGGCTCCTTTGTTTCGTTCGCCCACGCTGTGTATAATTTTCCAAAGACACTCCAGGCTCGCGCCGCTCGTTTCTTTTGTTTCCGCGCAACAAGAGACTTCACCGGATTTTTCCAATACGCGATGTGATTTCTAATGGTCGTTTAAAGGTCCTCTCTTGCCGAGAGCTGAGCGATCATCTGGAGTGAATGTTTAAAATGTGGGTTAAGCACACACACGTGTGCAGAAAAATGAAACTGTCAGCTTCAATCAGATGAAGCCGTTTTCTAAATTCAGCTTCAATAGACTACGAATATGTTGTGGGAAAGTTTACATTGTTAATCGGAATATTTTTAACTTTGAATATTAAACGTACACCGTGGTATTCATAAACAGTGAGTTATTTTTTTTTCTTATGTAAGTCTAATTATTCTTTCCTACCTTGTCTCGTTTTCACAATCAGAGATATTTTCTTAGTGCGTTTAAAAAGTGAACTTTGTAAAACTGGTTATGATAATGTACACGAGGAAAAAAACCCGTACCAACAATGACACATGCAATAACACTCTGCACAGATATCTTAAGAAGACGCTAAATACTTTCGTTGTTAGTCGTTGTAAAACAGTGCTATCTGCCACGGTGACTTTGGATGAAGTCATTGCCTTAATGAGAGACTGTCTGTTGGAGTATACAAGTTTTTCTGATACCACATACGTCTAGTATCTCGCAAAAGAAAATTAAAATGTTTAAAATTATTTGGCTGTATCTCTTGCTCTTGATTACCGTCAGTGTCATACAGAATATCGAAAGTAAGTAGTTCGTTGCTATAAACCATCAGTAGCACAGATTTATTGCAGTAGGTTTTACCGAATCTCAATAAATGTTACCAGGTGAAGAAATAACCGGAATGGCTCCGATTGTTTGTCCGGTAAATCAAACATATCGTACTTGCAGTTTGATATGTCCACCCAGATGCTCTAAAGTGCATTTCGTGTGCCTCATACGAGTATACTTTGCTTTTTCTATACCATTCAATCAATTTAATTACAACGCAGAAAGAAAGACAAAATAATTTAACACGTTATACATATTTTACAGATATGTGGCGAGCCGAAATGCCAATGCAGCGATGGCTATCTACTTCTTGACAATAAGTGCATCAAAGGAGAGGACTGCCATTTATTGTAAATTACGAATGGCGAGACTGTAATTCAATGTCATACAATATTCAAAATAAAGAATTCATATTCGAGATTTTACTCATAAAAATATATCAATATAAGTATACTTTCAGCAATGAAGCACTGACAAAAATAAAAGTGAATTACTTTCAGATTCTTTGCATGGGGGTTCGGGTTGGATTCAAAGATATATTATTTTCGAACGCAAAAAGTGCACGTGACAGTATTTGCAATAAAGGCTGGGAAATGATTGCTCGAGCACTTTATCAAACTTTCCATCGGTAAGTAATGCTCGTTGAACGTTGCACTTTTTTCCTCCTGTCGGCGAACTTTTAAAGCAATAGCGTGGGCGACTGGAGCACGCCATGGGCTATGATAACTTATTAAAGCCATCGGCGGTTTCACCTATCAGCACATCGGTCCATAAAAAGAAACAACTCGACAGCGGATTTACAATCAGCTTGTCGCCATCTTACGCTAGGCGTACTTTATTATTTTGTTGTTCCGAAGCTTTGTAACGAACGAATATAGATATATATATATATATTATTTTTCCTTGCAACGCGTACATAGCGATGAACATTAAACGGGAAATTTCATTTGCGGAAGCGAGTCAGATGATTAATCAAAACGTATATATTGCCGAGAAAAACAAGGGCTCTTTTACAATCAATCAACTTTCCAGACATTGTCTCAATTTTCCAGCACAAAGAGCTCGTCGTCGGTCCGTTCATTAATCAATCCGTCTGTGGAGAGCGTAACGCGAGAACACCGCGCTCGGGTCACTGGATGCTTTTCGAAAATCAGCGCGCGATATCGCGCCTCGAAAGCCCGCCTAACTATTCTGTTTGAGCTGCGAAAGGCGCTCGAGAGGGAAGGAGGAGAGGGGGGGGGTGGAACGCTGCAATTTGCCCTCTTTCATCGCGTGCGGAAAGAATGATGCCAGTTAGTGGTGCATGAAAAAGCTCGCGCGGCCTCCTACTCCCACAGCTGCGCGCATTACCATAATCCGAGCACTACGTGGAAAAATGACAGCAATTCACTGCATTCGCGTCTGGGCAGTCTTCGCCTTGTACTCTAGCGCACGCCTCGTGCTTTGCTCGCCTTTCTCTCCTATCTATTGCACGCGCGATGAATGTTTGATCGGCGTGGCGGCGTGGATTTCTCTCTTGTCTCGAGCGATACCGGAGAACAAATTTATCGTCAAGTTTTCATGAGGTCAGCAGCTGCTGTTTCCGCTGCTAGGGTGCTACATACCGTCACGTGTACCATTGTGCTTTAATGCATTCGGCTTTATTGCCCCTGCGACTCTAGTTTCTTCTTCTTTCTTTATCTTCTCCGCTTCACTCAGGTTCCGCGTACGATTTCCTCGATTATCCTTGACGACGCTTTTAAAATTCATTGTGCATTAAGAGCAAGGCAAAGCGCGCGCTTAACTTCCTCGTCACTATACCTAAAATATTTCGAAAGCCGCGTCAATATTTCACATAATCTCTCTTTTATCCTCCACGCTTGCTCGGTTCATTTTCCTTTAACTTTGGTGTAAGCGCCGACGATCTCAGCACCGTCATACTGCTTGCTAAATGGGTCAGTGCCGAAAAGTCGGAGCTTTCTCGATGGCAACTAGAAAGGTGAAAACATGCGGACGTCGCCGTCCAGTGAAACGCAAAGAGATATCCAACGGGCTCCCTCAAATTCTTGCTATCCCTCTCAAATTGACGTTTCATTTTCAGCCCTCGGGAATAGGGAACCGTTTGACTTCTCTCTCTCTCTCTCTCTCTCTCTCTCTCTCTCTCTCTCTCTCTCTCTCTCTCTCTCTCTCTCTTTCTCTCTTTGCCCGTTGATATTTCCAAGGAATTTAATGTCTTTTTATCCCTTTTTCCCTTTAAAAAGAACTGTCGCTCTCTCAAAACTTTTTCCTTTTTCTGTAATTTCGACATCGAGAAAAATTTTGCACTCAAATTGAAACTTTGGTACCAAAAACTTGGCATAATTATGATTTCATCACGCAACTAGTAGAAAAGACAAAACAAAAGGAAAAAAGAAAGTTATAACGACCCCCCGTAAGAAAATTGAAAAAAAGAAATCTCTCTGTGAGCCGGATCACCGAATGGTATCAAAAGTCAGTTCACCGAAATCAATGCTCACAATCGTTCGAGCGATCTCATGAAAAATGCAGGAAAACCACTTGCAACAATAATGATCAATCATCGGAGCCTCATCATTCAATAAAGTTGCGCGCGTGGGCACAAGAAAGAGAAAAAAGGAAAACAGAGCATACGCACATGGAGAGCGATTGGTTCTGGGGGGAGGGGGAGTAGATGTGCAAAAGCCGCCGAAAGGGGAAAGAGAGGTTGGATGCTACGTCCGGGGTACTGCTATAGCGAGAGAGAGAGAGAGAGAGTGAGCCCACCACCACCGCCGAGTGTACGCTCTGCTGCTATCGATCTCCCCGACTGCCCCCAACCAACTACCACCAGGCCGGCACTGTGTTAGTGTGCCGGCGGGAGCTTAGCAGCACTCCCTCTCACTGGCTCGCGCTCTTATGCCGACTTTCCAACCCGCAACCTCCATCGCCCGAAACAATTTAATATTTTACTGAAAAAAAATTGTCAAACGAATTTCAGCGCGGAAGAAGTTCGTCGAAAGCTCGTACGAAGCTGTTGGCGCGCATAGCGTACGGAAAAGTCGGTGGGAGAGGCGCGCGAGCTTGCAATAGTGGAGAAGCGGTATAGCGAGAGGGTAGAGGGAGAAGCAGCCGAGGGAAAGCCCGCGGCGGAGTCGGCGGCGCAAGCTCGGATGACAAGTGCGCCTGGCGGCTTGCTCGTTCAGTGAGCTTGCAGCTGTCGAGCGTCGCCCTGCTCTCCTTCACTCTCGCTCTCGATCCCTCGCGCGCGCATCCTCTTATTCGCATCGCGTGTACGCGCGTCGAGAGTACAGTGCGAGCACGCGACCTCGTTCAAGCGAAGCCTGGTCCTCTCGTGTTCAGCCGGGCGCCGTCTTGGTTTCGATAAGGCAACACAGCAGCAGCCGCAGCCGCAGGAACAGTAGCCGATTGCTTTGCCGCACAAGAAGAAACGAGCGCCAGTCATAAGGTTGGCTTATGTTTTTCTGTTCTCTTTGCTTAATCTCACTCGGATTTCGGTTTTTCCGTTTCTCGGCGAAACGTCCCGCCAGAGGCTAACGATCCCTCGGCGAAAGTTCGTCATTCCCCCTGGCTGTCGTTGCGCGCGAGGCATTCAAAACAAATGTTCGCCGTGCTGCTCCCGGCGCGAAAAATTCGATACTCGTCGACTGGCGCGCGCGCGCTGCGGCACGCGGAAACAACAGCGCCGAGCTAACGAGGACGAGGCACGCGAGGGACATTCCTAGCCTCGTGTCGGCTTTATTAAGAGAACGGGAGATGAGCAGTCCGGCGCCGCAGCGTCTTAGCGACGAGAAAAGACAAGCCTATTCGCTCTCTCTTCTTCGAGCCCTTGTTCTGGTACGCTTTCTCGCCTTCCTCTCTTTCACTCGCTGCCCTCGTTCACGCGAAACGCTGCCCACTCTCAGCACTCGCCCTCTCTCTCTTTCTCTCTCTGCAGGCATTCCCGAGCCAACGAGGAATTCGTCGTGTTCGATGCGCTGATTTCACGTAGCCTCTCTTCGCTCCTTTTATACGTTTTAAAATTGGATTTAAAATGTCCGATAACACGAATCACTGATGCTAGACCCAGCGCGAGCCTAGTATTTTTGATTGCACCAGTTTGCTGAGAACAGTTTTCAAAGGCAGACGTGTTCGCGGAGGGTCGATCTAATCTTGACCTATACTACTTGATTATACGGGCATCTCGGCTATTCTGGAATACCTCGCGAGCGAGTGTTACGTCGAAAAGTATGAAAAGTAAACTTGAATCATGGACGTTGAAGAGACCAAAGAAAGAGATATAGGAAGAAAAAAGGGAAAAAATTAATCAAGTGAAGCTGCGAACGGTGCACAAAGTCTTACCTGTATATATGCATATTCGCTTTTGAAATACCATTTTTGCTGGCGCTGGAACACTCACGTTTTACAGCTTTTCAGATAAAGCCGCCTCTCGAAAGTGAGTCGAGCTCTGTATGCTGGATCCTATATACGTATATTTCTTTCTGTATTCCCGCGTGCCCACGTGCAGAATAAAGGACCGCACGGTGAAAGCATAGCGCATTATCGTCAATCAAATTCATCCGGATGCCGCTATTGCACGGTCAAACTGCAATTTTCACAGATTCCCTTTCTTGCTTGCTTTTCGACTTTCATCTAAAAGCATTCGTTACGAAACTCCGCAAGACCATTTTGCAGTAACAAGTTATATTCCAAATGAAGCTGGTAAATGGTAGCGGAGCCTGGAATTCCCAAAACCAGTATATTTAGTTAACGTCCGTGGAAATGAGAACCCTGCGTGCATTTGCATGCTTTAAAGCCGCTGGCAAGATTACGCGCGGTGAGTTGTGACAGTGAAAGAGGTAGAGGAGGACAGCGCTTCCTCTTGATTTTAGGCGCACATTATTTATAGCCTTTGCGGCGAGTCCTTTCATTTGCCTCGTCCGCTCCTACCCCCCGCGAGCTCGACACCACTTTCCAGTTTGCTCATGCAAATGTTCGCGATCAATTAGGCGTGCAATTATCGAGAAGAAAAATGCCACTCGGAACGTACTCGAAGAGTATTTTTATAGATACAAGTCTCACTTATGCGGAAAGAGGTAAAGCACACGCGAATCAATAATAAATTTGCAGGTGCAGCACGCGATCGGCTAATCGCAGCCGATACGAGTCCCGCGAGATTGCTTTCAAGTCATAACTGGGTAAACAGTGTCGTCGATCATTGCTCAGCTTTATATTCGCGATTCGAAAATCGCCAGATCTTTCTATCGCGTGCGTGAGCAGCAACAGTAGTGGCAGCGGCGATGGTCGTCTCCTGTTAAAAATATAAATTCGCGCGAGAGGACTCTATAGCGGCAATTGACGGGCATGGTTGGAAGGCTTGTCGGCAGAACTAGCACGAACGAGGGATAGAAGTTCTTTTTTTGAAGGATCATGGTATTGCAATTGCCTGCGCGCAAGTTTCAAAAACTCAAATTGGAGTTTCGACCAAGTTTCGATGGAATTCTTGATTTTTAGCCCAGCTATTACAGTAAATTCGAGATATCGCATCAATGCTTGTTCTATAACAAACTTTAAACTATATCGTAGTTACGTGGCTAGCTCAACTATTACCTCATTGCATTAATCATTGATACGACATATATTTGTTTTTTGCCCAGTGGTCTGAAAGTAGCATTTTTCCAGCGGTGGCTCGGTCGCTAACATGCTAATTTCGGCCTCGCTGGACAAAAAAGTAGTATGCACACCACGACCTGGAAATTGGCAAACCCATAGTACGTATTTGATAACGTCGGCTCGGCTTTTTACGGATAGTGAAGGGAAAGAAACTATCGTGGCGCGAAAAAAAATTGGCACTCATCGCAAGAGAAGCAGTAACAAGTTAACGATCGTACGTTTGATAACTACCAGCTGCTTGCGTACGAATATCTGAATATTGAATAAAAAAGTAAGTTTAATACTCGCCATAAATTACGAAGTTACGAGCAGTAAGTTTCTGTTGGTGATAAATAAAGAGAATTTGTATGGGATCTAGAGTGATCACATAATATTCTAGGAAGCAACTGTTCGACAATCAGCCTTCGCACCATCGGGGAATTGACCGAATTTGGAATATTAATGACAAAGAGAGAAAGAGAGAGATAGATTGATCGTAACCCTTATTTTACCAGTGGTAAAAAATAAAAGAATATATGTTATAGATATTTTTGTACGAACAAGTGCGATAAAACTAACTTTCGTATAAACAACTGCTTGCGCATTGTCAGATAGCAAAAGCTTGTTATGTAAAACATTTTATTAAATCAAGGCAATACAAAGAGAATTTGGTCGAAGACCTATCACAGTAAGTCTAGAGATAGAGTTTTTCTCAGTCACAGAAGTGGAAGATTTGACAGTCCCATGGAGCAGTTCAATTTAAATGCAGTGAAGACAATGCGGCCAGGATGAGAATACAGTGGAACAATCAAGTCAAATAGTTCTAGACGGTTGGGGAGTCAGCCCCTAGCTAGTCTCCTTTAGCCATACTGGAGAAGGTTACGGTTCCGAGGAGGGTTACGTACCGTCCTCTTAAACTCACCCATCGACGGGAGACTACGAATAGTCAATGACAAAGAGTTCTAGAGATGAGCCCCTACAACCTGAAATAACACCCAGTCCCAGTTACCGTGGTCACCCTGGGAACAGTATATTCAAGCTGTTGTCCTTACTAGTGGGCCTGGGCTTATGCACAGTAAAAACCCCTGCTAAGTATGAAAGTCCGCGTAGTCTCATGGTGAGGGAGAGAGAGAGAGAGAGAGAGAGAGAGAGAGAGAGAGAGAGAGAGAGAGAGAGAAGTTGAATACGAAGAGTGACGCGCGTGTGCACGGTTACGTTCAAAGTTACGTCCCCCGCTGGCTGCCGTGTGAATAATATTAATTTTCAGCTTGGTCTTGCAGATAATATGAGTTTCATACATCTAGGAAATTTCTATCCGCGTTAAAAATAAATCGTGTATGGTTCCTTAATCGATCCACTCGGACACAGCCAACACACACGATCGGCGTTTTCAATCAAGTGGTCGCATTACACACAATAGGGAGGTTGGGAGGAGGCAAGCAATTACCGATACATTTCCCAAGGGACTGTTTCACAGTTAAGTCTCCGCCGAGGAAATCAAGCTCTCTCTCTCTCTCTCTGCACGAGTATATAAAATTCATAGTTGGCTGGGATTACTCTATCGCGCTCTGACTAGGCTGCCGCGCTGACGCTGCACTTACAGTATCTGCAAGATCAAATTCCCTCTTTTTCGCCGTTCGAGACTTCCAGCTCCCAGCCTGAAGACGGCCTGGGTATTGACGGTTCTTGGCGAACTTGCCAACGATGAATTTGTAGCTTCGGTCCTCGCTCGCTGCCCAAGCTTGTAAGAAGATTGAACACCATCAAACGCAATTTGCTTTATCTGTCATCGGATAAAGACGATCGACATTATAGTGCGCGCACGCGTGCTAAAATAATCGATCGCAGTTGCCACGGAGATTAATGTCAAATTGAGGACTAATTTTCCGGACTCCATTTCAAAGTCCGCGGAAAAGTCATCACGTAAATGAATAATATAAAGAGAATAGAAAAACGCCTTAAAGCGTGCGTAATCACAGTAAAAGGAAGAAAGGGCGGAATCGTTTACTCGATACGTCTTTTTAAAACGCCATACAGCGTCATTAAACAAATATATAAAAATTCACGGTTTTTTTATTGACTTGCGGAAAAGCTTTCAAAAGCATAAGCTCACTGTCGCGAGCGCATGCATCGAATCTGTTTTCCAATGTAAAGTGCCGAGGAGAATTATGCAAGAGGCCGACGAGCGGGAAAGATTGATGCACATTGTGCCGCGCCAACAAGCACCTGGCGCTGCTTTTTCAAAAAACACATTGAAATAGCTGGCCGCACTGATCGATCGATCGGCCGCGCGCTCTCTCATCCGCTGTATCATTTTCATTTGGTTGTCGTGCGACGCGAGTGTGAGTGATTGAAAGCTCGACGCCCGGGAGTCATGTCACAATGTTGAGACAACGGCGCCCGGCGTCGCCTCGTGTCATCTTCATCGATTAGCTACGGTACGGCAGGCACCTCCAACGGGCGGGCGTTCGTCTCTCTCACTCGGCGCCGATGAAAAGACCACTTTGCGCGACGTTTAATTACTCGGGAGCCGAGCAATCGATACTCCGCCGGAAAGTTTGCCATTTTTGCACAGCCGGCATCCCCAAAGCGTTTGAATAATTGCCAAGATTACGGAACCGCGTTTGCCGTTGGTCTAAGCCTCGATATCGCTCAGGCTTAATTAGCGCTGCGACCCGTGCGTGCATTATTTATTTGTTTCGTTGCACGAGCACGCCGTCGAGCCGCACAAGCTCCATCGTAAACAAGAGAATTCAGCTTTTTCCCTCAATCAATTTTTAATTAGAGCGAGCTCACCTCTCCCGCTTCGCTTTCACTCGTGTTAATTAAACCGCGAATCCAGGTGCTAAAACGGATATTGGCGACTAGCGGCTTTAATAAAGGCTTAATCTTTTAGTTGCGCTTTGCGCGATCGATAAAAAAAGTCATAACAGAAAGCTCCGGCAAAAGCTGGAAGCATCGTATTTACATCGCGATCGAGAGACGAGATCGAACATCTATAAAAGAGCGCGCGCGATACTACTCGTTAGAATGGCATTTCATCCGGGCACATTAGAAAGAGCAGAGAAAAAGAGAGAGACAAGTCGTCGCGCGTGACGGCAACAAAGTCACTCGAGGCGTTTAAGAGTGACTCGCAGTGGCCACTTGGCTGGATTACATACACAAGCACGCTCGTTAGTTTGCCGACTAATTACCTGCTTCGTCCCTCATCTCGTCCACTCATTGTCGACTTTTACAACGTACAGTTATTTGCCCCGACAGGCAGCTACGCGTATTTTGTCCGCGCGACTACGTGAATCTATCGAACGTATAAAAGTGCGCGTAAGTCGGACTATAGCAGCGACCTATTCCACTTAAGCAAGTAGACTGGCGCTGCGGTTATTCGTACGATTTCCTAGTATAACACAGGCCAATTTCTCGGCAGGCGGCGCCAGCGGACAAAAATGAATTGAGCGGCCAGCTAAGCTCGGCCGCAAGCTCATTTGTTCGGTTAAAGCTTGTTAGCCGCCAGACTCGCATTGCTGTCAATAGGACGGAAGTGCTGGTACGAAGCGACGCTCCTCCTTAAACTATAAACTTTCGGTCGGACGAAGCCGAGCTAGCGGTGAGATAGGGACAAATAAATGCCAACGGACGATTTTGTCATTGACTAATGCTAAGCGAGAATAGGGTGAAACTGTTGCCAATTAAGCTTTTCTTTTCTTCTTCGTCTCCTCGCTTTTAGCGGCCCCTCTGACCTACTACCCTACACGACAAACTACTATGGATGCTTGATTTATCATATTTATCTCTTTCTCTCTTTCCCCTCTGCATCGTTTCGCTGGGACAAAATCCAGCTTACAAAGTGGCTAGCTCGCACGAGGTACAAAACAGAGACGTGCAAGCCCTCGCATGCGTCATTCGTTCCGCGGAAAAAACCGATAAAAAACTTCTCACTCTCTGACTTGGACGAGCGTTGATATGCTGTGTTAGTTGTCTGTATCTACGTACATGCAACAGACTTTTCTCTACAATTAATGAAAAATTATTTACGTCAGAGAAAAAGAGAGAGAGAGAGAGAGAGAGAGAGAGAGAGAGAGAGAGAGAGAGGGAAGAGGAATGTCTACGCTATGCAGTTTTTGAACGGCCACTCGCTATCGAAATATTTATTTATAGAACGTTTAAGATTTGATACACACGGACGTATATTTTTCGAGCCACTGGTTGTTTTTTAACGGAAAAGTGCGCTAATATCTTTACCGAAAAACCTCTGGTTTGCGAAAATACACAAGTACTAAAGCGCTGAAATTGATGCTGCTGCTGCTACTGCTGCCCGTCGGGAAATCATTAACATGCCTCTCCAACGCAACAACTCATTGTATTCTTGCAGAAAAAAGGACTTGCGATGCGTAGTTTTTTCGGTGAAAAGTTTTAATGAGAAATGTTGATCGTTGGGAGCTTCGCACGTTTCAAAAGCTCCCATTGCAATCGAGAACTGTTTCAACTAAGCCACCAGCGATGAGAGCCCGAGAGTTGCGAAATTTCTCTCGTTAATCACCAGTGAGTCGCGCAAGGTGCAACGCGTTTGAATAGCGGAATGCCTTAATCAACAATCGCCATTATTTTTCGCGAACGTACAAAAGATCCAGGTGATATCGGTTACAGTCACTTCAAAACCACAACCAACGAGTCTGGAATATGAAATCAATGACTGTTAATTTTTTTTGCCTTTGTTCCGTAGTCCAGATAACAGCGGCGGCGGCAGACACGCGGCGGTGCATAATGAGGAGGGAGGCGGAGGGTAGGATAGTCGAGTCGGCGGCGACACGTCTCGGCCGATGATAGGGTAACGAGTCGAGCAACCAACTCCATGGCGAGAACGAGCAGATGATATGGAGTCAGGGGACGAGCTGGACGAGGACTCCGTGCCGCCACCGATGGATCAGGTTCAGCTCAAATATTTTTTTTCTCTTTGTCCGTGTAATCACTCGCTTCCTGTTTAACTCTCTTGACGCTTCGAAGAGTCTGATTAACACTCGGAAATAATGGTCTAGCCCTCCGCTGAAGAAAGCAGATTACAGAGAGAAAAATTGCTGCTTCATTTGAATATTGAAGGATAATGGAAGCGTTGCAAAATTGGCTTTTGAGCTGATCGAAACAAGCGATAAATTGGTCGGCTTTTGTAATCCGTATTGAATTCGAAGTTTTTACACAACCTTTAATTTTGCAATATTATCCTCGTTAACCGAAGCGAAACCTTTAGCTTTAGCAAAATCGATGCTTGTGCAATTTTCGGATTTTTCTACCTTGAAATACAAAATATAGATTTCCTTCCGATAAAATTAACTTCTCTGCCGTTAAAGGATTTAATTACAAAAAGACAAAAATTGCTGCCTATCTAGGTTAAGCAGTGTACATATTCGTGAATAAAGTGATTTTACTGCAACTCTTGGAAATTAAAAAATAAAAGACCATCCTAAAGAGACACTTTGACTTTGCGCGAGTTGTAAGAGTCGAGAATATTCTGGAGATTGATATCTTCCACAACGTGGCGAACGAAAGTAGAAGCCTGCAGCGACAACCTGCGTTTTTTTTTCTTGTTTGACTTGCCACGCGTGTTAGGCATGCCTCGAGAACAACAACGTCCAGAGCAGCACGGAAACAATGAAAATCTCGGCCATGCCAACGTCCTTGAAGGTGATGAACATACAGCAGCAGCGAGTAGTCGGCGGGGGAGTCGAGCAGGAGTCGTGTCGCTGGCAGGAAGAATCAAAAACGCCCGCAAGCTCGGCCAACAAGATTGACGCCGACAGGATACCTACTCGGCTCAAGAGTCATTCTTGTCACGAGCCTATACCCGAGGACGATGATATCGATATGGAAAAAATCGGCAGGTCAGCACTTCTTATCTTTCGTTACGTCTCTTGCTTTTTTTTATTTTTCACGAAACCTCCTCGCCCTCGAGATTGAGAGGAATACCAATTTGTGTATGCGTGCATAGACAGAAATAAAATTTTTCATTTATGGCACAGTTTCCATTTTATACTTCTTCCGCTTGAAGTTTCGATTTGAATTTCAACTCGTGCGCGGATATGAGAAAAGCAAACTTCTCGTAAGTAAGATCAACTTTTACAAAGGAATTTATGTTCTGAAGCGAGTTAAGTTAAGCTAGTTTAGGAAAATCTAATTGCTTATTTATCATCATAGAAATGATTGAATTTTTCAATATAAATATCATAATTTTTCAAATAAATACTTTTTTGAAAGATTCGTTTGTTGAAGTTCACTTAATAATAAAATTATTAAATTAGTGCGTATCAATGTATCATGACATTGTTGTTATATTACACAAAACTTGAATATCCTCAAAAAGTCGATAAATATCCAAGGTAGTCTTATGAACCTCTTCGTTTCCACTAACAAAAATCCATCGCGCGCGAGTAGAAAGTACTATTTCCTTCCAATAAGGTTCACGTCTGATAAAATCTTTCATCTAAATTGTAAAGGCATCCTTCTTCACATCTATCAAATTTTCATATCCAATACAAAATTCATACTTTGAAAACATTCATGCCGGATAAATGTACAACGAACATAATCACCACGGCATGCTCGTGAAAATGTCTACAGCTGAGCATTAAATAAAGCATAAAAAAATTTGAACACGCAGGTACCTAGAAGCGAATCCAGTACGAGCGGAGGCGTGGATCCGCGAGAACGCGAGCACTGAGTTGAAGCTGCGCCTGCAAACATGCTGCCTTGAGCCGACGACGAGGAACATAACGTCGAATCTTCAACCCGACGACCCACACAATCGCGGCAAACGGAACAGCATTACGTCTGACCTATTCCAATCATGGCTCGCCTCCAACTCGCCCATCAAACACAGTCGTAGTCCCAGCAGGTAAATGCTCGTCGCCTTGCTGAACCCATTAATGCTCTGCACCGTCCCATTTGTTGCCTTCATTTTTTATCGAACCCAGCACGAATTTTCGTCCGCAGTCACGAAAAGAAAGCCAGCCACGCGCGACGAGATCGAGTCGTCGACTACTGAGGATAAAGTACACGTGAAAAAAAGCACTTGTCGAATAACCTCGTCAAATATTTGACGCGTTTGCTCCCCTGGAAAATGTATCGCAAACAGGAAAAATCAACAAAACCCCGGATTCGCGTGCGCTCTCTCTCTCTTTCTCGCCGCGATAACATCCGTTCCCGTCCGCAACAGAAAAACACGAGAGCGCGCACGGCGCGGCTGCACACTGCAAACACGAACAGACGCGTTTCCCCCTTTTCGCACGTATGTGTGTGGCCTGTGGCAAATGCAGCAACGACGGCAAAACACGTGGGTGCGCACGTCTATCTATGGCTCATAGATCGTCGAGCACGCTGCTGGACCGCAGGGAGGAGCTGACGAGGCTCGGCGAGAACGACCTGTTCATGGAGCTGATTCGCGACGTCGCCAACGAGCTGGACATCAACGTGCTCTGCCACAAGATCCTCGTGAACGTGAGCCTGCTAACGCACGCGGATCGCGGTAGCCTGTTCCTGGCCAAAGGCACCGCGGACGACAGGTATCTGACGGCCAAGCTGTTCGACGTCACGCAGGACACGGAGTTCGAGGAGGCCGTGCAGCGAGCCAGGAGCGAGGAGATTCGGATACCCTTCGGCGTCGGCATCGCCGGATACGTTGCGCAAACCAAGAAGATCATCAACATCAAGGATGCTTACAAGGTTTGTTACAATCGATTCAGCCAGTGAAATCGATGAGCTACCCTGCGAGCTTTCCGTGCTAACGAGAGCTCCCGGTCGTCGATCTTGCAGATGGAATGCTAGACGCCAACATGTTAACGCTCGACAATCAATCCTCCGGAGCGAGATACTTTTAGCGATAAACTCGTAGGACGACGGCTTATCGTGAACAAACGAAAGATTACGGCGTTCTCGCTTCGGAGTCGACGGAGTTCGGTGCCGCGTTTAATTATTCCAGCAAAATCCTGACGGCCCTGCTCTCGCTTGCGCCAATTTGCAAAAGTTAACCAAGTTTACTTTGAGAACACTTTGGCGCTGGTGCGCCGTAGAATTCGAAGCATGTCGCGGAGCACCAGTTATAAGCTCAAACAACCATACTCAAAGAACGTTAATACAGCGCCTTTCTTCAACTCCGTCAACAGCGCGTACCTAGAATCATACCTATAATGGCTGCATTGCTGCCAATTACCCATATTGCCAATACCAATGCGCCAGCTGTTGCCGCGCAAATAAAATCTGTTAAAGTCAGGAGATACCGAAACAGGCCGATAACTTCTTCTCCCTTCCTCCTGCTGGCCTGTGCTGACACGTACACGCGACATAGAAGAGAATAAACGCGAACTCACTCTTGATAAATTTATATTTCTCGCTATGCTATCTCGAGCGCATCCATCGGAGAGAGAGCGAACAAAAAAACTTACGCTCACGACGAGTTGCCTTCGAGCTGCCGCCTCGCTGCCATATATTGGATTCCGCGTGATGGATGCTCGATGTGCCGCTGTTGTTTATCGTGTCTCGTTCAAAACGTCGCGCGATTGCTACGCCCGGCCACGCTAACGCGAGCCTTCATTACGCGCGGATTTTTACTCGACTGGGGTGTCTCGGGATTTCCATTTAATTAACCCAATTTACATAACATCACAGCTCGCAAATAGGAGAAAAGACAGAGGAAAAATGGGAACAAACAAGGCCAAGCGAGGCAGTGGACTTTGTCGCGGAATTTCGACGATAAATCCCGATCTTAATCTTGAGCTCAATCTTGTTAGTCCGAGTGGCGTTTGCGAGCACGTGGAAGCATGGAGACCAAATTAATTCCGGTTGGAAAAGAGAAAGAAAAGGAACGGCACGCTCGCTTTGAGCGTACTTGATTGCTTTTATTTATTTTCGAAAGAGCGCAGGAAATGGAGTCTCTCATGCACACTCGGAGGAATTTTTAACCGAATCAAGGGCCAAGAGAGAGAGAAAGAAGGAAAGCCGATTAGTCTTGGCGCTCATGTACTACTTAGGTTGGCGCGCGCGGCGGACGAGTGCAACGACTGTAACTGCGTTTCGTGCCGCCAGCGAAGACAGACCATTTGTTAACTTGGCATTGACCAACCAGCTCAGCAAAATCGGCTTTCTCTCTAATCAGCGATAAAGCGCAAAAAGAAAACTAAATTCCACGTAACTTTGGATTATTTCTCGAGTAAAATGACAACTCACGGATTTTCCTTCAATGCTTGCTGATTCTAACGCGATATCTCTTGATTCTCTTTGTAATGTGTCGACAATCTCGTAAAAGTTATTGACCTAGATCATCAGTACGAGGATTAAAATAAACGTAAGCGGAAAAGACCGAATGGAAGTTAACGCAAGGTGCCAACCTGCAGGATCCGCGTTTCAACAGCGAGATCGACCGGCGCACCGGTTACAAGACGACGTTGATCCTGTCGATGCCGATCTGCAATTACGAGGGCGACGTGATCGGCGTCGCGCAGATAATCAACAAGACGAATGACAGCCACGAATTCACTGATCACGACGTCGAGATATTCCAACGCTACCTGACGTTCTGTGGCATCGGCATCCAGAACGCTCAGCTGTTCGAGCTGTCGGTACTGGAGTACCGTCGCAATCAGATTTTACTAAACTTGGCGAGGAGCATCTTCGAGGAACAGAACAACCTCGAGTGCCTCGTTACCAAGATTATGACCGAGGCTAAGGAGCTTCTTAAGTGCGAACGCTGCGCTGTCTATCTGCTTGACCTCGACTGCGGCGAAGCGGTAATTTCGTTTGTTCATTGTTCAATATTTCAGCCAGCCACCACCGACTCTACGCGCTCTCTCTCTCTCTCTCCACATATTTTTTAGTCATCTCCTCTTCCTCTTTGCAGGGACACTTAGAGAAGATCGTTCAGAGGCCGGGGAAGTCCATTCAGGAGTCAAGAAAACCCCTGTCAAGGAGAGAAGTACGTATTCCATTTTTCTTTCGACTTTAGAAACGCATTAACGAAACTATTTCAACGTTCAGAGCAACAACATCGACATGGAGGACATACTAGAACAGCATGTAAGTTAATCGACCTCGACGATTTTCTCGCGCGCGAGCCTATTTCAAATTAATCTAACTAGAATTCGCTCTCGTTCTTCATTGATTACAGTCGGGTGAAGACACCAAGTTCACAATGGTATTCGAGATGGAGAATGGCACACAAGAGGCCAAGATATACAGACCAACTACGGGCAACCTTAAGAGTCCGCTGGGGCAAATAGCGCGCTACGTCGCTGCCACTGGCCAAATCCTCAATATCGGCGACGTTGCTACCTGGTCCAAGCGGCAAGTTTTTCAGGTAGGTTTTCCCGTTGCGGAATATTTCATCGACGAAGCTTTGAAACAAGCGCCATTGAAGATTGACAGCATCGAGAGCTCGAGCTCGAGCAATGAAAGCTTCGAAGAGTCGATCAATATGGAATGCTTGTCATAATTGAGTCTCTTATCGCAAAAGAGCAGTTGTTCAAATATATATCTATATATGGATTTGAAAATTGAGCTTGCGTGTAGTGTGCGATAACCGGTATGCTTACTCGAAAATGTTGGTTGAAAGGTGGGCAGCGAGCCGACGCGGAGTATCCTGTGCATGCCGATAGTGAACGGGCAGCGCCAGGTGATCGGAGTGGCCCAGCTGATAAACAAGGACAACGGTTTCTCCTTCACAGATTCGGACGTCACCATATTCGAAGCATTCGCCATATTTTGCGGCCTGGGCATTCACAACACTCAGATGTACGAGTCCGCCTGCAAGCTCATGGCCAAGCAAAAGGTCGCCCTTGAATGCCTCAGTTACCACGCGACCGCTTCCAACGACGATGCACAGAAACTCATGTCCGACGAGATCGCCCCAGCCGAGCTGTACAATCTGTACAGCTTTACCTTCATTGACTTCGATCTCACCGACGACGACACATGCAAAGCCACCATTCGTATGTTCAGGACCTGCAATCTGATCAACAAGTTTCACATACCGTACGACGTCCTCTGTAGGTGGATACTCAGCGTCAAAAAGAATTACAGGTGAGTTGCAATTTTTTTTCTCTCTCCCGATGGAATAAAAATATTTTTTGATTGCGAGATGGACAAAGATAAAAACGCTCGACGAGGCAGTTTGAAAAAGTGGAAGCGAAATGGTCACTTGGCATGAAAACCACTTTATCCACTTTTTTTCACTACGTTAACATTATAATTTTCCGTACGGTTCGTTTTTGCTACATGTGGAATGTTTTAGCCCGGAAAAATCAATAGCTTCTGCACGAGAACTGCTGAAAGTTAGTCGGGCATGAATATCAAAATGTCAGATATGACCAGTACTCCCATTTAAATAACGGTCGTTATTTTTATTTTAATTATATCGTTTGCTTATTATTCGCCGAGAGATTTATTGCGTCTCGATACCCGATCAATATAACGAGCTGCATCTCATAAATATATTGCTCGAAAAAACAATAGCGAAATTGCACGATACGTACAAACATTTTTCATACTAAATAAGGTTCGCTTACGGGTTGTCCATAAATTACTTAAGATTCGCTAGAGGGGCCGGGAGAAAAAGCTTTGGGGTCGGAGGAAAAAGGGGACTCGGAAAAACATCTCACGTGTGACAATGAAAATAAATCTAAATATCGACAAAATCGGCTTTCAGTTTCATTTATTAACAAGCCTTACGCGTCAGATGAAATTTCCTCGAATCGGTGGCAACCGTGCTAAACTGAAAAATAAGGGAACTCCATTGAGAGTCGTGTGATTGCAAAGCTGACGAGCTTTGCGATTATTCAATGTAATGCCGATAGTCATGCACAATTGACGGCGTCTAGAGATCTGTAATCGGATTACGCGTTGGCATTCACCACGAAATCGATACTAATATCACATTGAAAATATCCCGTCAGAGCGGCAGAAGGAGAGAGAGAGAGAGAGAGAGAGTATTGATTTGAGTCTGAGCCTTGTGCGCTAATAAATATTTATTCGCGCGAACGAAAAATGAGAAATCAATAGGAGAAAACGCGATGTTACAGACCGGTCAAGTATCATAACTGGCGGCACGCGCTCAACGTCGCCCAAACGATGTTCGCCATGCTGAAGACCGGCAAGATGGAACAATTCATGACGGACATCGAGATACTCGGATTACTAGTCGCCTGTCTCTGTCACGACCTCGATCATCGCGGCACCAATAACGCCTTCCAGATGAAAACCGAGTCGCCCCTGGCCATACTTTACTCCACCAGCACCATGGAGCATCATCACTTTGATCAGTGCGTGATGATTCTCAACTCCGACAGCAACAATATCTTTCAAAATCTGCCGATGGAGGATTATCGTAAAGTGATGCGAGTCGTCGAGAACTCGATACTGTCCACCGACCTTGCCGTTTACTTCAAGAAGAAAAACTTTTTCATGAAGCTCATCGACGAGGGCGAATTCGACTGGCAAAGCGAGGAGAAGAAGGAACGTGAGTATATTCTAGCTGGCCAGAGCTTTTTCATAAAAGTCCTGCCGTCACCTGCCTTCCTTACTACCATTTTTGCCAATACCAACTCCAATTGACAAAAAGCGCGATCGCTGAAACTTTCGTCCGAATCGCCTTGTAAATACAATTCCACCAACTTTAGTTCCTATCGACTAACTTTCTTATTTTTCCAATTCTGTACCATTGCCATTAAGATACACTTTGTTCGCTTTAGATTGACGAGTTTACGGCGTGGCGCGCGCTTCGCCAGAGTTGCGAACGGTATTACTTTGAAACTGTCGAAGCTTTTTGAAAGCGGCAATGTACACCTGTTTGAAACACGATCAAGCTGTTCTTGTCGTGACGGAAAAGCGTTTCGCGCAGCTTATTAGCTTGAAAATTTGTCACGTCGATTTTACTCGCAAGACTACAAAGCTACAAATTTATCTTACTTTTTGATATTTACGCGCCAGTTCGAATAACGCGATTAATCAAAGTGGATCGACGGAATAGAAATTTCCAACACATATTTCTTCTTTGCAAAAAGCAATCGATAGTCCGCGCATCATTAGTTCACTTTTGAAGCCGAAACATCATTGGTATCTGAAAGATAAAGTAAGCGAAAAGAGTATTCTCGCAGGCGAGTTCGAGGTGAAAACTGAGCTCAGCCGGTGTCTCGCGAGCGCGCGGCTTCGCTATCGCAAGTAGAACGAGCATACGATGCGATCAGCCGGCCGCGTGCTGTGTGCTTCCTTTTCAGTGCTGTGCGGTATGATGATGACGGCGTGCGACGTTAGCGCAATCGCAAAGCCTTGGGAGATTCAACATCGAGTCGCCAAGTTGGTGGCGGATGAATTCTTCGATCAGGGTGACCTCGAACGACTGCAACTCAATCAGCAGCCCGTGGCGATGATGGATCGCGAGAAGAGAGACGAGTTGCCGCAGATGCAGGTCGACTTCATCGACTTCATCTGCCTGCCCCTGTACAAGGTGATGGCCGAGACCTTCCCTTGGATGAAACCACTGTATGAAGGCACTATGGAGAACCGGCAGCACTGGCAGGACTTGGCGGAGAAGGTTGAGATGGGACTCACCTGGATCGATAGGGACACCATCGAGGAGCCCGTCGAGGAGTTCGTGTCCATCGAGCCAAAAGACATCGAGTTCACGGTCACTACCCTAAACTGCGCTCAAGCGGATAAAAAGGACGCGGTGAGTTTTCTCCCCGTTGACTGTTCCCCAGAATTTCTCACTTTGTCGTCCGCGTCGACTCGCCTTTTACGAGGGTACTTTCACTCGAAACGAGCGCTGTAATGCCATTATCTGCGCGCTTTTCCTACGGGTACGCGACGGTCAGGTGTCATGACTCGCGGGAGACGTTGTCGCATGCTCGTTATGCTTACCGAGGCTATGCGACCAAAATTTAATGGAAAATGCATGTTTTTGCTCGGAGCGATGGGTTCCTTTATCCACACGTGCTCTGGCACTTCGGGAGAGATGACTGGCTCATCGGCTCCGCGCCCGTTCAGCTCTTCTCTCGGCCAAACGAAAAGGAGCGCGCTTGGGCGCGCCTAATCTGCTTTGATTGCTCGCTCGCTTGGCGCGCGGCACCAGCTTTCGCGAGCGATTCAGTTTCGGTCGATCCATCGATCGATCGATCGATCGATCGACGAGCGAGCCAAGTGCCGAGGGCGAGAACAGCGCCGCGGCGCGGGACAAATGAGCCAGAGTGGCGAATTATTCAAAAAGGCGTCCTTGATTTGCGTGAAGCAAGGGGCGCAAAGCCGAGCGAATAAACAAGCGATCAATCAGCGCGCTTGCGTGCCTGCGTGTTTGTGACCCTGTGTCGGTTTTTGACAGCAGCAATCGCAGGACGGCGTCAAGTCAGCGCTCGGGCGCTTCGCCTCGCTGCGCAAGGGCGGGCGCAGCTTGAGCAAGGGCATGCGCAGCCGACTGAGTCGGTCGCTCTACTCGCGCAGCAATTCCGAAGACGCGGCGAGCAGTCCGCCGGCCTGCGCCGGCGCCAGCTGCAGTCAGAATCCGGAGTCGGGCAAGGGCTCTGCTGCCGCCGCCGCCACCACCGCCAGCAGCAAGGCGCTCGTACCCGAGAGAAAGAGCCGCAACAAGCTGTGCCTGCTCATATGACGACTGACCTCGTCGACCCTCGAGAGCATTCCCGAGTGACGCGACAGATTACTTCGCAAGCACAACAAATTTTTTCCCTTTCTTCGCTCCTCCCTCGCCCGCTTTCATTCGTCCCTTCCCTTTTTTCATTGCGACCACGACGACGCAAGCTGTTCAATCAAAATGAGTATTATTATAATGCCGCGTGTACATTGTTATACATACAAACATAGCATACATATATATCTTTATTTTTTCTAATTCTCCGTTCGTTGTTATGGATATGTATTTTATGACAGATGTTTATCAGGATTGAATCTTGTTTTTTTCTTCCAGCTCTGTTGATGAAAGGCGCCGGATGTCTCGATAAGCACAAGTACAATTTCCATAATTAATTTTGCATTGCCCAGCACTTGCATTTAATAATGCGGATATTTGATACGCCAAATTCATGAAAGAATTTGTCTTCGTTCTTTACTCGTAGCCTCACTGTCTAGTCGTGTTAAGTTCTTTTTCATCTCTTTATTCGGTTCCTTTCATTAATCAAAGTGGAAAAACTAAACAGAAAAAAAACGCGATCAATTATTTGATGAGAAGCGAAGTAGGAGTCGGACGCTTTTGCCTGAAATGTTTTCAAAGTTGATGCATCAAAAGGCCGCGGATTGTGAATTAAACCATGCGGAATGGAATAGATCTCTTCAAAGTTTTCCTTTTATTTTTCGGATTTGAAATGGATTATTAAATAAGAGTTTGAGTGATAATACCGTATATACCTGCCGATGTCCGTTCCAGTACTTAACAAATCGTGCAAAATGGAATTTACAAAAAATACTTATAAAACCAGAAAGCATACGTAAAACATTCTTAGATTTTAAAAAGAACTTCGCATAGCTGAAAATATTGATTAAATGGGTGGTATAATGCCTGAGCTAGTTGAAAAACCATGAAAATTGGATATTCCATAGAGAGCTACTGAACTGTCACAGTGGCAACGTTTATTTTTTGGCATAACGCAAAAACTTTACCGACACCGTGAAATCAAAAGTTATATAAGAATACCAGATTTTCGTCATTTCAAAGTTTATAACTAATAACAAGGTATAGCGCGCGCTATTTTTTCGACTTTTTCCAGGATACCTATCGAGTGTGAGTGTGCATCTAACATAGAGTGTAAGCAAAAAAAAACTAAACTAATTGTCACAACAATAAAAGTAAAGCAAAAAAACGTAAGGTAGTAATAATTAAAATAATGTGGCTGTGCGCTGTATGTGTGCGCGTGTGTGTGTCAAGAGAAACAAAAACGAAAATAAAAGTGGACGTAGAATTCGAATTTCGACAATCTATTTGTATAATTTGAAAAAAAATATCGTAGGAGAGAGAACTTATGTGTGTCGAATATTATGTATTACACAGCCGCCGGCAAATGATTACTATGGACTCGTAGAATTATTGCAATGAAAGTGCGCACATCATGCTATTCGTGAATGTAAAATTAACGTGCAAAGGGAACGTAGTTGTACAATGAAATTGAGCAATCATAAAAATCATCTTAACGAGGCAATCGTTTCTACGCAACCAGATTGATTTTTATGAGAAAAAGCAACAATGAAAGTACGCAATACGTAGTTCAAGTTTATTGTACAAAATAACATTCTGCTTGGTCAATTAAAAAAACACAAAACAGTCGATGCAAAAGAGATTTAACAAACAGCCGATCGATCGAGTCTTGGTTTACTTTTAGATGGCATTAAAACTAAAGATACAACACTAGGTGCGTGCCACTTGCAGCGAGAGGAGACTCAATAAAAAATACAATTTCGATGTAAAACTGTCCTTGTCGATCCCTTATCCTCGTTGTATTTTCTAAGAGAAAGTACGCGTAACGAGTTATTTTTATCTCTGCAAAACAAAAACATTAATAAAATTGTTTAAAGCTCTTCGTAAGCCTCGATTTTTCAGACAAATTCTGTACTATAACGACGTTGATATCTCGTGTAATTAACGATATACGTGTATATTTTTAAACATTCAATGTGTTTCAGCAAATTCATTATTATTAAGATGAGTAATAAAAGAAAACTTTAGTATAATAATCCCTATCATTCCTAACTTGAGCGCTTTGTCAATTGATTTTTTTTTCTATTTTCATTTACAGGTATCAACGTCTGTAAATCAGTAATGTCCTTTACTTTATAAGATTCTTCCACCTTAAAAAAAAACTACTTATTTGTTCTTTTCTGTGTATTTAAATGCGATTATGTGATTGATTAATCATACATTCAAGTTCTCGATTATCTATACATAATAATACTAGGAAGTTTTCAAGGAAAAATCTTTCAATGATTCAACGCTCCAATTAAAGATGATTGAAGCAAGTTTATCAGACTTGCGTCGATTTTATTAATAAAACACTTAGAAATTACATTCGAACGCCGGTAATCGCTTACAGTTATTTTTAACTTTGAAGATATTTGGTCCTACTAGTAAATGAAGTATATAACAATTTTTCGATTCATCTTTTTTTTAATTACCTCACTTTTTTATCTGCATTTTAATTTTGTCTTTGAATCCATACACCGGGCGCTTTTGTTTCACAGTACTCATTTATTTTTTTGTTTTTTTTTCTTGTTTTTGCACAGTCTCCAGCACACAGAGAAAACGCATGTTATAGTGTTTATACCTTTTGTGACTCCATATAACAGTCGACGAGAATGAATAATGAAAATGAATGAGGCTTACAAATAAAACAACGAAACGAAAAAGATACAAATACGAATATGTGAAATTTTCCATTTCAGTCCACGGCAGTGACGCATTGTTATGATTTTTTCCACTTCCTTAATCTCTGCATAGTTAGATTTTTTTTGCCTGACACGCTTTATGTACCTCATACACTTTCATCTCGCAAGGACATTATCATTAGCCTAGCTTCAAGACATTTTCTCTCGTTATCGCGAGCTTGCACGCACCAATTGCCTCGATCTGTTATCGTCAGGAATTAGAGCACCACTGCGGAAAAGTGTGCACTCAGCCAAGATTACAGCAATGCAAAATAAGACATATCAGGTACTTTTACAGTCAATTATTTACAGAGCTCCGGGGCTATTCAATATACTTTTTTCCATAGATAATATCATTACCATTTCTTTGTTGTAAACAAACGTAAGATTTTTAATTATATTAAAAGTTTGGCAACGTAAATGCAAACCGAAGTAAAAATTTCAAAGGATTAACGTTCATTTGGATAAAAAATAAAGTATTTTCCAAAAATGTTTAAATCAACAAGCTTATTGTTTAACAAAATCTTGGCAAACTGGTCGAAATCGCTTGAAGCAAGCTACGAAGTTTTGTAGGCTACCATAAAAAAACAATTTCGCTTTAATAATATATCATGACAGTAATAGCAATAATAATAGTAAATATAAATATACTTAGTCTAATACATGTTACTATTTCAATTTATATGCATTTTTTGGTGACAAAATCTAACAAAATTCATGTTTAAATGAAATATTTCTATCCACCACGTAACTGAATGATCGATCGTTGAATAAATATTTTCAATCAACTCACAAGCTAATATTATGTTTTCCATTCCCTTCTCGAATCGTAATATAACAGTAGATTTCTAGCCGACCCGTGGATCATCTAACAAAATGTAAAGAAAATATTTATTTGATAACTAATCCAGTCGCAAACTTATCACACACCATTCAATTCATTGTATATAGAAAAAAATGTTTCTTGAGTTTATTTGATAGATTTTAAAACTGCACCTTAGTCACGTAATGACGCTAACATTGTCTTTGTTCTGTAAGCAACAGAGAAGTGAGGGTGACGGAAGATAACATCTGGAAGTATGATACAATTCGACTGTAATATGCAAAACATTATTAAATACTAAGCAGCAATCTGTTGATAGCATTGTATAAAAAATAAGATAAAATGCAGTGTCATTTCTATACACAGTGACAAATTTTTACAAAACTAAAAATGCTTACTACTGTATATATCTGAAACATAATTTGTAATATAAATGCAAAATTAGCATATCTGTACTTTTTTCTACAGCTTTGAATTAAAAGTAAATGTAAGAAGCAGTGGCAGCAAAGAAACAGCATTCTTAACAGTTTGTAAGATACATGAATTCATTCACTTCAATAACATGAGAGAATTCCTGATATTCAATATTATATTTTGATTTTGCTTATTTGTTAAAAATCTGCGAACATAAAATTATGGAAGATCTGTTGACTTAGCTTACAAATTGCTTATTGAATAGAATTGGCTCAGTCATGCAGAACTTCTTTGTCACCACTGGTACATACGTAGTAGGTTTTGTTGCAGCTTAGGATTATCCATCACTCAAACATGGTAGCCACAATATTTTTTATTTCAAAAGTTCCTGAATTTTTAATTAGTCTTTTTAGCTTTATTACATTATTAACCACAAATAAAAATATAATATGCAAATAACAAAACAAATAAATTCATATTAACTAAGTTCATTGACATATTAGATTTTCTTGGTTTTATAAGCGATAAAATATTTTATGTTTTAATGAACATTTTGCTTGAACTAAAATCTTTATGAAAAAGCAAAGATATAATAGCATCGAGATAATTATAGATAGCGATAACACATGTATGAGTCATAACTAAGTAGGACCATTATAATTTTATAGTTTAGTCACATCATATTACGTTCAGATAATTTTATATAACAAGACTCTAAGCTATTCTATCTACAAATAGAATCAAGAAATATATCTAATATTGAGAAAGCATCAGCTATATTTTTGTTTTAAAATCCACTTTCAGGTACTTGAGATGATTCAAACAAAGTGACCACCATGCTGCAAAGAAAAAACGAACGCATTTTATTCACGAGTGTCGATATCGTTCGGTTTTCTCGCGCACACCGCATAATACTTGCGACACTTTGCATAGACATATCGACAATTTTGAATCACGGTGCTCATGATGTCTCGTAAAACAGAGACACCACATAGCCCTAGGCGCGAAGGTGTGGATTACTTATCTTCTTTTTTTTTAACATTTTGTTTTCATTATATTTTTTTAAAAAAACGGCAGATGCGTTAAGGTCACATGAAGATCTCAGTAGATCGGCTAATATGCAGTCACGACGCGGGCCTGTCAAGCACCGAGATTTCTATTAACCTGAGGCCTCTTGTCGTTGGATCAGTCAATAAAAGCCCGCGAGGCCTGTAAACTCTGTCGTTTTGTTCACTCACAAATTTGGCAACCTTACGTAGACACTTTTCGTAGTGGGTCTCCGTGCATATATATATGAGGTATCCTGTCAAGCAAGCTAAACAACCCTCACAATAAGTTGAACAGCTGGCTCTTTCTGCCTCAGCAAAGTATGTATTTAATTGATTGATTGTATATTCAAAAGACTGACGGTCCAACTGCAAAAACATCATATTGTTCATTACAACTTGTGATTATACAACCTGATATCTCTACAAGCTCCACATTCTCTACAGCTAATTATATTCATCAAAATCCTTTTATCTTTGAATTAATTTAATTTAATTTATTCAACAAAATTATGATACATGACGGCATAACTTTTTGATTTCATAATAGTTATCATAGACTTGCTAATTAAAATATCTGCATTTTAATCAACAAATCTATTGATCATACCTGCCCTGAGCAAATTCAATATCAGTTCTTAAATCTAATGATTAATGTAGAATTTAGTTGCACTAAACAACAGGATAGTAGAAACATACCCGTTCACCAAGTTCAGAAGGAAACCTAGTTTGGAATTTAACCATAGTGCCCTCGCCATAATCTCGTTGGATAAAAACTTTCTGACAATTTTGTGGAGACCCTCCGCCACCTTGTCCTCGACCAGCTGACACGTCTTCCAAAGGTACATGATTGCTCTGGAACAATCAATTGAATTAATAAACAATACTCCACTCTTTCAATGAATACATAACATTGATTATTGTATCTCATACAAATGTCACACTATAAGCAAAATGAGAGTATATCACTAAGAAGCTTGTGAACAGCTCAAGATCACAATAACAAGACTATCAATCAGCAGAGCACTCTTTGAAAAAATTGACTAACCGCACCCTGGGCACACGTTACTTGCGCGAGCAAATCACACAATCTCATTAGCATTAGCAAAACATTCGTAGAGATCAGAAGGCCAAGGAGTGGCTAAAATTGTGGAGGACAGGTTGAGTTGACTTACCATTGGCATTTTGAGCTTCGTTTTGCAGACGGGTCGGGGACAAGACGGCAAAATCCACAGCGGAGGCCAAGGGATCTTCGCTGGCAATGCAGTCGTCCGTCGTGCGCGTAAGCAAGTCTACACAGTCCACAAGCAAAATAACAGATACGACCACGACGAGTAGTTAGGCTTTCTCCGACGTCACGCACGATGCGTTTTTCGTCCGAGTTGTGTAGCGTCTTTTCGTGCGGAGAGACGCAACACGAAAAACTTCATTCGGGAGGCACGCAACTAATATGCTTCTCTCTCTCTCTCTTTCTCTCTTTCGCTCTCTCGACGTGCGAGGCTATTTCCCGTTCGTTTGCACTTGCAGCTCTAATCTTTGGCCTAGCCTACTACTGCTGCTGCCACAGATTACCCCAACTCCATGACCCATGTCTTATGCCGAATGCAGGAAAGCGGAAATAGAACGGAAAATGAAACATGGGCTCTTTTGAATTTCAATTTGGCGCGACGGCTATTTATTTTTAAATATCGTTAATCCAAATTGCATTACATCACAATCACATTTATTTGATAATTCAATCTGTTATTTCTAGTATTGTCTGATTACCTTATGATGGTAATTGAGGAAGTACCATGTGCTAATCAGTAGCATACCAGCAATACCGCATTATCGATTTTTCAAATATCAATAATTTAGTCGACGTTATGATAGTTAATTTAATAATAACAGTTTTGTGAATCTATGTTTTATGGAAAAAAATAGAGTATCTCGTCATCTGAATTTCTCACAGTGGTAATGTCATCACATGCCTAATTACATTTCTGAACATTTACTCAATTATATGACGTGATTGCAATGCAAATTATCGTTGGAGTAATTAAATTTATTTATGATAAAGATTTATATTTGTATTTATTGCATGAATACACGTATAACATAGGTGGTTTAAAAAGTCGATGCATACCGTGAAAATTGTTTCCGCTATTACTATAATACATGGAGCAAAATGCCCAGTCGAGACAATCAAGCTTGCAGTTTATCATGCTCAGTGAACAGTTTTTACTTGTAGGGCACCGATTTATATTGTTGGAAACTCGATACCGGCCGTGTTAGCGAGCTTATCAATTGCCTTCTCTGTACGTCAATTTACGTCGGCTTTCCTTTTCATCCTTACGAACTCGATGACATTGTCAAAACGAAATTTCAGCTAGATTGAAAGAAATATGCTGTAAACTCATTTGACTCCTTCCATTACTGGCGAAAAAGTTGGCTATACACTTACCCTAACTATATAGGGGCAAACAAAAAATCAATGTATACTATATTTCAACATTGAAAGTTTTCCAATCAATAGAGGCAAGTCACGCTCGGGAGAAGCGCATCGCACCTTTGACCGTGCGCCTGGCGAAACCGCGTTTCCTGTCTTTATGCTGGTCGGCGAGAAAATAAGCATCGACTGCGGAACTCACAGGCCAGGGAAAGAAGCTCAGCCTAATCCCGCCGATTGATCGGCGAGCGCGCTTTCACCTAACCGACGTCGCCGCCTTCCCTCTAACAAAAGCTCAAAGCTCGCCTAGCGTAATAACTATGAAAAGCGCATTTTCAATCTCCTCGAAACTTTCCGTTCGATATCCTGGGAAGGAGGGGGGAGTGAGAGAAAGCGAAGTGCGTCTAAGCCGATAATGAAAGACAAGGTGGCAGTCAGCGCGCGCACCGCACGAACACGAATGAGAATAAAAGAGAGACAAAGCGCACTTTCAACGTCTCCGGAGTGAGCGAAGCTTCAGATATACGGAACTATGCAAATCTCCCGCAGACTTGCCTAAGATGGAGATTAGTTATGCCGGAGCTACCACCTCGTGGCTTCATCTATCCATCTACTCGTTCTCTCTCTCTCTCTCTCTCTCTCTCTCTCTCTCTCTCTCTCTGTCAGAAACTGCCCCTGATACTCTGCGGCTGCAGCTCGCTTTGCGGTTTCCATCCAAGCATGCTGCGTATGAATTAATCGTCGCGGCCAACATACGCTTCAACATCTTTGTGTCATTTCATTGCAATTATTTATTACCGGATTGTGCTGCCCCTGTAAACGCGCCCAAACTGACTCTGACGAAAAGCCCCGTACTTTTCGCTAACTTGCAAACACATTTCAACGTATCGACCCGAAAAGCTGAAACAACCGAGCAGCGAATCGAATCTTCATTACATATTTATGAAATTTTCTAAGTTACCTTCGCACGCCGAACAAAACAAGTTTAAAGTCTGTACTTCTCATTTGCAGCTTGGTTTACACGCGCATACACATAAAGATGTGTACAATCTTTATCTTTTTTCTTCAAGAATTACAATTGCATAGACTCGGAACAGCTTAGCCTATTTTTCAATTTTTTCACAATAATCGAATGTTACGATGGCTGTATTTACATATATCAAACTTTTAATAATGCTATAAGTATTTTCATTGCCGTTTTCAAGTCTTTGATCAATAATAATGCGTTGAGTTCCTTCAATACAGTTTTCACTGCTGCGTACGGCACACCGAAGTGCTGGTCGTGCGCAGAACGTTTTCTATTTGAAAAATAAAAAGGCAAATCAGATATCATATTTCGAATTACAATTGTTTCGAGGTGTGAAGCTAGTTTGATTGTTAAACTAGACATTTTCTAAACATATATAAATAAACCTTAATATAATAAACACTGATCAAGAGTAGAATCAGTTGTTATATATTCCAATTAATTAACTATGCCGAACGAACTTATGGCACAGGTAAAAGCAAAGTATCACAATTTTATTGATACAGTGAAATACATCTTCGGGAAAGATGGTCTATCAGCGCGTCATCGAAAAATCGGGATCAACGGTGTCTCTTCGATAATCTTCAGTATTGTTTTTCTGACTGTTATTTTTCCTATAATTCTTGAATCGCTCATTCAGAAGGTTTGTAATATTTATTATCGAACGCTGATTTTATTACAGTAAACATCAACCTACGTGCATCATTAAACTTGTCTTTCAAATGATTTAGCACTCTGCTCTAAAAAAAGGTTGGTTTATGAGAAAAATGTGGAGGAAATCAACATACGAGTTTCATGTTTATTTATTCAATGTGACAAATCCAGAAGAAATTGCTAAAGGTGACAAGCCAACATTAAAAGAAGTTGGACCATATGTTTATGAGTAAGTTGTGCATTTTTTCGGATCGTTTAATTTTCATGATTGTTTGTTGTGTCTTTTTCTTGAACAAAATATGAGTTTAGCGTATGGCAAGAAAAAACGAACATAGAAGATCACGAAACTGATGATACGCTGACCTACTCGGTGAAAAATACATTCTTCTTTAATGATGAAAAGAGTAGATGTCTTTCTGATGATGACGAATTGACTTTAGGTCATTTTGTTTCGCTAGGTATACCAAACTATTTTTTAATAACCAAACCTCATCTAATCCCAGTTACAAGTAAATAATTCAATTCTAAAGTAGCATCTATTTTTATTTGTCTAATATCTATTATACTGTAAATTTATAATCTGCTTTTTATTTAGCAAAAGTAGTAGATGGAATCGTAAATAATCCGCAGAGTGTATTCGTGAGAGCCAAAGTCAAGGATTATTTGTTCGATGGTTTCGCGGTCGATTGCAGCGGAATTGACGATTTTTTGGCAAAATCAGCCTGCAATGATATAAAGGAAAATTATGTCAAATATCAAACAATCAAAGCATCAGATGATGTATATAAGTACTCTATGTGGGGTTATGTAATTATTTAAAAGTAATTAAATGACATATTTCATAAGAACGTTTAGATGTGATTCCTTGTTCTTCTTAGTTGAATTTAACAGATACTTACAGTGGAAAAACACGCATACGACGAGGAATTAGGAACATAATGGAAGTCGGCGACCTCATAGAGTTTAATGACATGAAGAATATGTCTGTTTGGGATGATGATAAATGTGATGCATTTATCGGCACTGATGGGACACTATTTCATCCGTTCATTAATAAAAGGAAAAATATATACGTAACTAATACATTCTTCTGTCGAAGACTTACTTACAGCTACGATTCTGAAGTCCAATTCGCCGGTACGAGAAACCAAGTGTGGATTCAACTTTGGTATTAAGATTCCAAATCGTTTGCAGGTCTAAAATTATTTCGATATACAACTAGTCTGGGAACTAACTCGCAGACGAATCCTGAAGATAAATGTTTTTGCTTAGCGCCCGATCGTTGTCATAAAAATGGTGTATTCGAAGTATGGAAATGCCTCTCAAATGCTTACGTAGCTTCTAATCCTCATTTCTATGCTGCTGATCCATATTTCATTAATTCTGTTAAGGGCCTTAAACCAGTAAAGGTAAAAATAATTATTTATTTACTATTTTTATTCTTCATAGAGTGACAGCAGTTTGATTTATGTGTATCCAAATAAAGGAGAAACATTTGACAACTATTGACTTTGATCCACTAACTGGTTGGCCAATACGTACGCAGTTTCGAATGCAATACAATTTTGCATTAACAAAACTGTCAAAGTACAGACTAATGGCAAATTTCCCTGAAGCGATGTTACCGGTCGGATGGATTGATCAAGTAACCATTCTACCGAGTGACTTTGTAAAGAAAATAAAATATTTACACGTGATAATCAAGCTTTCAAGGTAAATGTAGGTTATACTGTATAATTAAATATCAAGAATTTTAAATCTTTAATCAACTAAATTATTTTCAGAATATTCAGTGGTCTGATAATATTGGTAGGATTTATACTTTGCTGTTATACAGTGTTTCATGAATATAGATTATACAAAATAAGAAAAGCACAAAGAGCCAATATGAGAAAAATCATATCAAAATGGAGAACATTAGCAGCAAAGCAAGACAAAAAGACGATGGGTATTTCACTGAGAACAATTAAGACACTAAAAATAATGCAGCAAGCCCAAGTTCCAGCACGCATAAGTTAAGATAAACAAATATTTCACTAAATAAAGTCTTAATTGTAATGATAGATTAATAGTAATTAGTTTATTTATTATTATGAATTCATTAACTACTATTAATATTAATAGTAATTAACAAATTAATTAGTCTCAATTGTATTAATATTAATAGAAGATTTTTCATATTAGAAATTTTGATGTGTTAAGAAATATAAGTAGGATAAAGGCATTAGCATTCGATCACTTTTAGACAATTCTCAGTTTAAATCGATACAGAAAAAACATGTTTATATTGATAAAAAATAAAAAATGAGTAGGAACTTGAATAAAAATATCATTTCATTTTCAAACGTACTCCGCGTAGGAAAAGAAATGATTGAAGTTTGAAAAAAAAAACGATATTCCACTAGTAATGGGTTAATATTTCTTTTGAAATTTTATGATTTTGATCAATAAAAAATAATAATAATTCAACAAATCATTAAATTAATCGTCTTAATTCAAGGTGGATGACTATACTAATGTTGAACCAACTTCTTTATTCTACAAGTCCCTTTATTCTACTATAATTTATAAGTATAAAAATATTTTATCAATACTCTCGATGAATAAAAGATTTGATTGCATCAAAAAATTATATCTTTATTGTACAATGTTTCACATGTTCGAGTAGATATCACAATAAATTAAACGTTAAGTACAAAAATGAATGTATAATATTAAAACTAACAATACCTGATTGTAATATCAGATAGCAAATGACTTTATATTTAATTTTATGTTGCATTTCTATTTTTAAATAATGTACTCATTTTTGTACCTAACATATAATTAATTACGATATCGGAGTTTTTGGTTTTACGTATGCACATGTTGTTACTCTGAATAAATAGCTATGCTCAAACATGTAAAACGATAGTTAATAAAGTTAATTTTTGATAAATTTAGAATAATTGGTATTATTTTTTTACTTTTTTGTTTTTAAAAACGTGAAAAAATGTTCTGTTTATCTTAATTTAGATTGAATTATGCATATAATTGAAATAGTCTTATTTTCTATATCGCTTTATACGGTAACTACTACTATTTTAGAAGGAAGTTTATAAAATAATAATTTTTAATATCTAATATTATGAACTTACCATTTTTTGTTACTAATTCATTTGTATGTGTAGTAGTTATATATTTAACATTTTTGATTATGTTGTTCTATTTAATCGCATAAAAAATTGTCGCATATATATTTAACATTTTTGATTATGTTGTTCTATTTAATCGCATAAAAAATTGTCGCATATTTAAAAAAAATTCTCTATAAGAGTCTGAAATAAGACTTTTATAATATATATAAAACATTTTGTTGCATCAAAACTTTCTTTTTTCTTCATGACCTAGGTTATTTAATGCCTCCAAGTTATACTGCTTGTTGTGCAGAAGTAGCATGAACTAAAAAGTTCTATATTATTTAAGAGATATATTTTGAAAAATTAAATTTTAAGTAATTTTATTACAAAAAGGCTATGATTCCAAAGAATTGATAGAAAAATGTATTAACAGTTTTTTTTTTGTTTTATATTGTGAAATAATTTATAATAGTAATCATGGAAAGTGTACTTTCAAGACAAATAAATTTTAGGTTCGTAAATTTCGTTTTGAAATTTATTTTGTGTAATGATATATTGCCTACGCGTTATTAAATATTTGAAATCTGTGATTGATTCGGTTACTTTCAGCATTGGATTCAAAAATTGGTATTTTGCTATATTTTTTCAATCATTTATTCAACGAATGTGAAGTTTTATATTTAAGATAGCTTTATAATAAAAACTATTAAATCATTTCACAGAAGACTGCTCTGACAAAGAAAAGGATTTATAAAAAAATCTAGAATCAATTAGTAATGGTATAAGAGTTTCCGATGTATGTTTTCAATGCGAGAAATCAGAGGATATGAACCACGGCATAAGTCCAATTGTACACGAGATTGGCCCATTTTTCATAAATACGTTTTCAGTATATATTTTTAGTCATTATTTTATTTGCATATTGTTGTTTCCTTTGTGAACTTTCAATAACCTTGTTTCAAATACTAACGGAAATTTCCGCGAAATATAACGTACAACAAGAAAAAATGCCAATATAAAGAGCAATGAAAGTGACGATAGATATATTTAGCAAAATTATGTATTTTGTATCTAAGAAAAAAGTAAATGTCTTACCAATGAAAATAAAATCTGCACAGTTATATGATGCAGGTAAGACATTAAATGTATATGAGTTATAAATTTGTAAAATGCTATTTTATTTTGTGACATAATCATTATTTGCCTTGTAAAAGTAAAGCAATGGATGTAATGAATAACAATATGTTCGTAAAAGCAAAAGCAAAAACGTATTTATTCGATGGCTTCGTAGTTGATAGCGATTGAATGAAAGATCAGGTTGAAAAAGCTTTTTGTTTTTCATCGCTTTTTCTTGCTATTAAAAAGTGCTCGCAATGTACATATACCTAAAAACTGCTTTTCGGCGATGTGTTTTATATGAAAAATCTCAAATATTTCTTATTTCAAGATTGTTCACTGTCCTGTCAATTTTTCATTGCAATGACGCCAGGATCAATTACAGTATTCCACGATTGTAAACTATTGAAAGTAAAACATGTATAAAAATGGAAGTTTTTGATGGCTAAACAAACTAAAAAGAAAAAATGGAAGTTGATGTAATGCTGCAACGATATATACGATTTTAGCAAAAATCATCTTCAAATCGTGATTATTCATCGTCATGAAAGAATATATGAGACCTCTCCTTTTATCCAAATTCTTTTATTAAATGTTGTGAAATGAAATATGTGGCGCATACCAGTATAGTTATCGAGTAGATGAAAGTCGATCTAATATGATAGTTCATCCAGCAATAAATATTATCTATAGAGCTGTTTCATTTCGTGAAACTTTAGATCAATATATTATCCTCTCCTGCTAGTGCTAGCGCATTTCTGCTAGAAAGGTATTTAAGCATCAAAACCCTGCAGTCAAGTTAGACAAAGCGAGTTGATTTATCTTTCCTTTAGCACGGAAACTTTTTAATCGTGATTAATAATACGAGCGCATTCGCTAGACGGTTCATCGGGTTTTTCTTATAAGACGTTAATCTTCGCAACGAGGCGATAGTGCACGTTTTAATTGCTTTCCTTGGAAACCTAATGAGGCGAAATTCTTTTTTTTTCTTTTTTTGTATACATATTTTTTTTCCGTATTGAATAGCAGATGCTTAGCATCGATGACGGATAGCTGAAATTTTGCAAAAGCGCCTGATAAAGCAGAAAAGACGATGTGGCGATTGATGTCAAAGTAAGACAAGAGAACAAGGAAGCATCTTCTTTTACGTGATATTCTCGAGCTTTCCCTTTTTGCACGGGATCGCTTTTTCTCGTTTGAACTTGGAAACTGACGGCGAGATTCCTCTTCCTGCGGATTTTCAATTTCTGAAATGTTCTCTAATGAGTTTAAGCCGTTTATATCAAGAGTACTCTTCCCGTGATAAAAATATTTTCCTTTGAGGAAAATTGCATTTAATGCAATCGCTTAGCTGTTTTTGAGTAGGAGTGAACTGCTGGATAACAGCTTTACGTAAAAAATCAACGTGAACGATCATTAAGCCTGGCTCATTTGTATCGATTCGGCGATAAAAAAAAGATTCTAAAGTTTTGGAAAAAGCCTTGCCATAAGAGCACATAGCGGAGTTTTGAAAGTTGTAAGACTCAATTTTCACTGATTAACAGTTCGGTCGCACCTGCTTCGTTCGGTGAATTAATTCAAACTTTGCGCAGCGAGCTTTTTTTACGGCATCGGCGGCTGAAAATAAGCTTTCATCGATAACGGTAGAAGAGAAAAAAGCTGGTCCGAGGTGGAAGCTCGATGTCATCTCGGGGAAACTTACCATCTTATTAGAGCAATCTGCAATGCTAAGTGAAAACTCAGCAGCAGAAAGACTTGCAAAGATTGTCGATGAGAAAGCCTGCATTGATTAGCCTGCGTTCCGAGCGTTTCACGAAGGCAGAGGGCGGAGATGTTCCCAAGTGAAATTTTATCGTTAATTCGTTCGATAAAGTCCAGGAGAACGAAGGCTCGCTCAGGAATGATTTAAAGCATCATGCGTCGAAGCGAATATCTGTGACATCTAGCATTTTCGCGTTTACGATCAGCGCGCTTTGTGCGCTTTTTAGTATGGCAGCTGTGCGCGCTCGCGACTGGCAATTTCACGCTGCCGCGGCATTGTTTTCTTTTTCGCCTCTGCCGCGCGCGCCTGAATATGTATATTTCATTTTTTGGCGAATTCTTGATGAACCGGCCCGCTTTACAGCGTTGACCCGTAGTGACATCAATTGGGTGAATTGCGCCGTCGTGGCTCCACTAATCATGTCAATGAAAATTGCAGCTGAATATTTCGCGCGTAGAGCCAAACAATAGCGTCAAAGCCAACGCGTGGATTATTATTTTCCATCGAGTGCGTGTTTATTACCCAGATGGAAAAAGCAGCTGAGTGAACTCACTTTATTATTTGCCATTTTGCACTCGCCATCGCGAACAACGTGGCCGAGATATTTTTCTCTTTTTTTTTTCGACTTTGAAAAAATCAACTAAGCCCACTCGGTCAATTAGCTTTTGTTATTTCGGTTTTGAAAAAAGCCGAGGATAATTAAATTTAAGTTAGAACAATGAACATTAAAAGGCCATTAAACGCTCGAGAAGATCTTTTGTTAAACAGTTCAGTAGTCCGAAATTAAACTAAATTTAACTGAAACTCGCAGCGGTTGATCCAACAATAAATGCACTCGAAAACTTTAGTAAAGCATTATCATGCCGCATAAACGCGATCCGCAGTTTTCGGCTCGACAAACACAAGTGATCAAGTCCCTTTGTGCATAGTAATGAGAAGCCGCGTGCGAGCTTTCTCCGCAGCAACTAGAACGTGGCTTTCGATATATTCGACGCCTCGCCTTTTCAAATGCTCTCATTTCTTTTCGAGCGGGGAGGTGATTTCCGCTCCCGAATAACTTCGGCACGCGATTCTGCGCGCGTTGACCGGCTTCTTTTTTCCAGCGCCGAGAACTTCTAAGCGATGCCTTCTATTTTGGTTGTGTGGCTTTTACGAGAGCACGCTCCTGGCTTTTCGAGAAGCGGCAAGGATGGAGCGCAAGCAGGAAATCGAAATGAAAGTGGTCGAAGGAAACGCGCGCGCGCACGTGTCGAGCGAGCAGACGGGGCCGAGCGGACGGCATTCGAAGGGTCATCTTCGGCCTGTTTTTCCGACGATGCGTCTCGCCGCGGACGACATTCGCGCTCGCGAAACTCGCAAACGGGAGTTTGAAGCGAATGATAAATAGGAACGCTTGACAGCGTCACGCGAAAGGGCAAGCGCAAAGGCAGATCCGATGAATTTTCCGGACACGTATTTCAATTCTCCTTTCCAATTTGTGCGTTTGCTTGAGACCGCTACCGGCGCTAGCTATAGCTGCACGCGCCCTGGCCCGCACATAATCTCTCAAAGTTAATGCGATCACGACAAGAAATAAGCTATGCTCGCCGGCCCTTCGAGTGGCGCAGAGGTGAAATGCAATTTTCTATATAGCGCGCGCGACGTTCCCTAAGATTTTTATTCTATTGGTGTTTTATTGGAACTGCTCCGTATATCGCGCTTATCGCATTGCCTACATCTATATGGCAAATGCTTTCTCTGCGTTGCCCCTCCCTTTCTCCCCGGTTATCTTGGCAAACGATAAGAAACAGACGCAGGTAGCTTATAAAGTAAAGGCAAAAATAGAGCAGAGCACCAATGTCTTCGAAGCTATGTATACGGCTTCTCCAAATAAGGGCTACTCTCCAGTACGGCGGTTCTCTCAAATATCGGATTTTTAGCAGGGACGCTTTCATTTGTACGCGCAGCGCCGAGTGAGAATTAAAGCCAGCCACGTGAGGCGCCTCGCAACGACCGTCACTCTGGCGCGCGATTATTTGAACCCGAGATATGTAATTCCGCGCGATCGCCGTTCGCACCGAGCATTCATCGAAGGTAAATAGGACCGTTGTCGCGTGCATTATCATAATTGCTATTTCATCGCTGATTTAATCAACGAGCGCGCCGAATGTAGCGGCTGGTTTTAAGTACAATTCAGCCAGTCCTGGCCCCGTCTGATCGATAATTCGATAAACAGCGCTGTAGATGCCGCCTGGCTTATATTTCCATTACGCGCAATCCAATTATCTTATAGTACTTGGCAGCGCACTTCAATAAACTTTGCTAAATGCCTTTGTCGAGTTTCGTCGCACGCACGCCAGCACAAAGTCAAGGGCTGCTCCTCGGTCTCGTTCTCGTTCCTCGTGCACTAATCGCTTGCCGACGCGACGATACGCGCCCAATTTCGATGCTCGAGCGCGCCTCGAACTCTTGAACTGGGATCAGTACGTCGAAGGCGGACATCCGCTCGCAGCGGTCCGCGAAGACCCATGGCGATCTCACTTTTGATTGAGAGTCTCCCCGTCGCCCTCGCCAGCGCCGGCGCAGGCTTACCTCTCGGCATTTCTCTTTTCGTCTCTATTTATAGCTCCTCCAAAATAACTATCTATTAGCGAACAATCATTGCAATCTTGCCGCGGTTCTTGGGCGTACCCTCGACAAACTGTCGAAACGTATTGCCCAGAGTGCGCATGCGTCAAAGACCTAGAAACGCTTGTCAAGTCTTCATTTGCATGATAAGTTTTTTTTTCGAGGCAAAGCTCCGTCGCGTGACATCGACTCCTTTCTTGCAACGTATTGATGTTCTCGATACTTTCGTGAGTCATCGCGAGAGAAAAGGAAACATCGAGTAGGTTCAGTGAAAACTTGACGTTTCAGTACTTTGCTGCATGCATTAACAAAAGTACCATCATCGGCTCGCGGTGCAACGTGAACCTGATAAACCATTCCGTTAGATAAGCTGCCAGTCAATTTTGACAAATCAATCATTTCCAATCAGCTGATTCGAATAATTGAGGAAAACTCGAACGTCTTAATTTCACTAGAAAATGGCGAAAACGCCGCAAAATAACACGACAGTGTCAAATGATACAAGCGTGTTTGAAGCTCGGACCGAGCGCCGGAGTTCGTTCGATCAATGCTTTTTCAAATGCCATTAATATAAATAACTGGAACAGTCGGAGTAGACATTTTCATTTGAAATTGCGTCATAACGAGACCAATCGAAAGAAATTCAGCTGTTGTACGCTGAAAAAGGCAATTGGCCAAATTGTCCAGGAATCCATTAGCCTGATAGCATGAGGATGGTCACGATCGCAAATCTTATAGCCTCCCCGGTGCAACGCTTCTCGTCGATTCTGGCTTAATAAGCAGCGATACGCGAAGAGTGAATGGGCAATCTGACGACAATCATGCATCTTCTCGGCAGAAACACTCCGAACGAATGTAGTAGGGCCGACCTGATCCTGGCAAGAGAGAGCACGCGCACACCTGCTGCACGCGGTGGCGGCGGCGGCGGCGGCGGCGGCGGCAGCGGCGGCGGCTGCGGCGACGACGCAGAGACAGTTGTCCTCTCGCTTGCTCGCTCGCTTGCTCGCCCGCTCGAGCCATCCATCAGTAGAGCGAAGGCGCTTGCGCGCGCCCTCCTCTTTTCTCTCTCTCTCGTTCTCTCGCTCTCTCGCTCTTTCGGGCGCGCGGTACGTACGCGCGGGTCAAAGTCTCTCCGTGTCTCGCGCGCTTTAGTCTAGCCGTACACACGAGACCGGCGCGTCCGTCGGCTCTCCAAGCACTCGTTTCGGTCGCCGTATCAGCGAGCTCCTCGCACGAGTGTGTCGCGACGCCGACCACCAACGAAACAGTCCTCTTCGCGCGTGTGCAGTTGCTCGTTGTTTTGCTTCTCTGCTCGTTTCATCGGCGAGCACGCGGCGACTCGTTTGAAGGATCAACCCCCACGGAGATGCATCCGTTCGCCCCGGACAGAGGAGGTGAGTTATGAGTGGTGAGTTAATTTCCCCCGCGGCTTTAGCTTATCGATTGCAACAGGTTGCCTCGTCGAAAAACTTTTTCATCCAGCGCGTGCACCGCTGCTTTCGTCTGCGTTTCGCTCGTTATCAGCGACTGCGACTGCGAGTGCGACTCCAGCAACTTTTTCCCGCTCGCTTTTTTGTCTCGGCTTCGGCGGCCGTGACGAAAGTTTTTCAGCGCCACGCCGAGGCCATCGTTTCAGTTCATTAAAATTATATTATTAGCACCGCAGGGCGAAATCGTTGCTAGTTGGCCGTTTCGGAACCAATTAACCGCTTGCCAGCGCAAAACTTGCATCCTTTTCCTCCGGCGAGTATTCTAATCGACGGTGGCATTAATGAGACTGACGAGCGCATTGCAAATTAGCATTAATTATTCGATATAATTAATGCAGTCGAAATTCTGAAACAATTGGCTTAAATAAATAACCTACATGGGAATCCTACTCCGGCGCTTAGTGCAATTATTGAATAAACTAGCTTTCGAACAATTATTGACTCTGTGTTTTTCACAGTCAGTCGCGCAGGTGAGAAGCAAACCTTTGTACATTTCACGAACGGTTCGCCCGCGTATGAATCACAACCTCGTTAAATTTATATGTAGGTATAAATTTCTTTTATATAGATCTCTTGAAACGGCACTGAGCACCTAACGATCCGAAACGTCGAGTTTACAATAAAGTTTTTTGCGCTCCGACTGGACCGCTCGAGTCTGTTCTCATTTTTGCACGGACGTACTTGATACATGTCCGTGAGCAAGCTGATAGGGAAAACTCGCAGCTATGCGATGGTTAACAATATATCATCGTGCTACTCTCAAACTCTCCGCCGCACTATTTCTTCGTAATTATTCACTACATCATAAGTGTCTCGTCCGTAACCGTCACGCTTATCGTGTATACTTCATTATAGATTCATCATGATAACCGAATCTCGTTTGTTTGAAAAAAGCATCGTGCTTTCCTAAGCTGGCATCGTGAAAACGCGAGCACGCTGGTCCAATGAGAACGTACAGTAGGTGGGTTATTTACACAATTGTTTGAACATACGCTCGTTCCGAATTGCCCGCCGAGCGCGCAACGCGCACAGCCGCACCGATCAAAAAGGAGACATTAAAAATAACAAAAAACAGCTCTCAAATCGCATACTGTTTGTGGGTACGACTACGCGCTTGTCTCTCGATTCAATGGCCAATGCTATTTTTAGCCAATTTTCACGCAACAGGACTTACAGCAATCATAATTGTCGGTAATTGAATTCTCGACGAACGCCGCGCGCGCACACGACTTCATTGTAGCAGATAACAAGTCCGCGAATTGGGCAATTTGATGCTTTACGCGCGCGTGCCTGGATATATTCAAGTGACGATTTGTCAACAGCTCACTCGTGGCGAACGGGAAAATTGGTAGCTATGCTAGCCACGCGCTCGCTTCTCATTAAATATTGTATCAGCGGAATCAGCAGAATCTGGCACTCTCTTTTTCATAGCGTTTCGATCAAGCGAGACACGATTTGGCAACGGTAGCTTACCTGCCAAGTGTTCTGTTTACTCCAGCTCGAGAGCGCGAGAGCCATCGATTGCCGTAAAGCTTCGTGTATGTCTTATCGATCGCTGACGGTCAATCTTCGCAACGCACTTTCAATAAAAGCTACGTTCGTTAAAATCGCTCTCGAGGCGGAAAAAAGGGAGTTTAATTGCTCTCGAAGCGTCAGGGTTGAGTCGACTCGCTCACGGCTGGGAGAGGGTTGTTTTTGCTCTCGACTAACTTCGTTGCTTTTTCTTACAATTTATCGCCTCCCGAGAGATAGACGACGAATTTTCAAGCTTACGGCCTGGCATCCTACCTTTTTTTCTCCCTCGCTTTTTCTCTCTCTCCATTTCTCTCTCTCTCTCTCTCTCTCTCCCTCTCTCTCTCTCTCTCTCTCTCTCTCACTATCTCTCTGACTCGAGTGGTTTTCTAGTTGCGCTTACGGTAGATCTCGAGTAAACTCGTGAACTGTGTTAAAAGTCAATGTTTTGTCTTAATGTTTACTCAGCTCTCTTGCTCTATCGCTCTCCCAATGGAATTTTACAACTTTCGCACAAACACTCATACTCGGACATATCGCTTTTTTTTAGCATTTTATGTCTTCGATTAAAGGTGATTGCTTTTGTGCGGAAAAAGTACATTCGCGTTTTATTTTTCGCCACGTTTTAATTCCGCGGGAATCGTTGATATAATACGTCGAGTCGCCACTAGAACAATTTGCATGTGGTAATGCGCTCAACAAGATAGAACAGCCAGTTGTAAAATCATTCAGTGACTCAAGAATGGAAATTCACGATAGAAGATGTAAGTGCAAATGATGAAACTGAATAAATTCTTGCGCGAAGTCGCACGTTCCCAAAGAAAGTCTCATCGTAAAAATGAAAAAATCAAAACCGATTTTCAGCTGGTTCAACTATTCTTGAATGTTTGAGACAAAACAGAACAGTAGTATTTTCACTTGCGTGAGTATTATTATTTAATAGTGTATATAGACTTTTCTCCGAACTTGTTCTTTTTTCCCTGCGGATTTCTTTTACGATTCCACTCGTAAAAGCATTGTACCACCTGAAAGAATCTTCCCTTTCTCTTTTGGCCCTCGTCCGTGAGCGATGAGCGACGAGCAGTTGCATAAAAATGGCACTCGGCAGCGGCAGCAACAGCGGCTTTGCCAACAGCTGTCGTCGCTTGCTCCTTTTTTCAGCTCATTTTTTTCCTCTGCACTTCCTAGCTTTTTGGCTTGGTTATTCAAGTGTGCTTTGCCCGAGAAAGAGAGAAAGAGAAGCGTTGCATAAAGATGCTCAGGTCCTGCTCTAAATGCAACAAACAACCAAGTAAAGCGGTTGCTCTCGACAATATTGAAGGGAAGAAGTAGATTCGAGCTTTTGCCTCTGAATAAAGCATCCACGGATTAGATTGAATTTCCGCAAACATACTTTTTTATCGCGCACCGCTGCAGTATACCTGCATTAAATCTCCACAGTTTTATCCATAAAGAGTGGCGTCATCGCAGATAAATCTTCTACAAGGCTATGCTTTCACAACAACGAACAAAACAATGTTGCGCTGTTACTCGTGATAGTGCATTGCATCCCTCTTCGTTAGAGTTACTTAAAAAAGCTCTATCGAGGCAGATAAGATAGTCGAAACAAAACAAAAAGAGGTACAACGTGAAAGCAAGCCGACGCTTTCGTGTTAAATTATTTAATTGTGTTAAGTTAGACGACTTTGTTCAATTATTCTCTTTCGGCGAATTCTCTCTTCATTTCCTGTCGGCAGCTCGCGCCTTTTTCCATCTTTCAAAGCAAAAAAAAATTCATTTAGCCAAAGTTGCGAGACAACTTTTCAAACTTTCCGTTTTTTTTGACTTTGTTTTTCCATTAATTTTTTGAATCGTTACCTTCTTCAACCCTCCGGCCACGACTTTAATGTTTCTGACCTATTTAAACGCCCGAAAAGTTCGGCGTCACTGCTTCTGCATAATTAAGTTCAAAGTTGAAATTCTGATAACTTTTGAATGTTACATCTTGAGACTAATGAACCTGTTTATTAAATAGTAGTAAAGAGCTCAGTCAGTTTATCGGCATTATATCAAAAGCTTATTTAATACGCATCAAAACTCTGGCGCGCGATCTAATTACATCCAAGCGTCTTTCAGTTAAAGCATAACGCGTTGTCACTTTCAGCAACTCATTTACTCCGCAAGCTCTTTTCCGCTTTTCTTTTTCAATGCACTTGCTCTGTTGCGCACGACACTCGTATTTCCGAAACCTGAAACTTGGCGCGCAGTAGAGTTATTATCTGGAGGGGTGTATCTTGCTTGATGGGCAAAGTTGCACCGTCGGTTTTTTGTAATCCATTTCCAATAGTTTTTCTCTTGAAACACACGCACAGAAACGCGGGCGGAATTCGAAATACCGGTCGAGAGCGATAAATCGTCGCGCTGTTGCGATTCCTCGCAGCGTCGAAAAGTTTTTCGATGCAAGCTATGCGTTTTTTCGTCGAGCGAGCGCGCAAATTCGTCGACAAATCTATACGAAGTAATCGTGTCTGCGCGCTGGCTCACGTGCGAGAGGAAAGGGAGAAAGCTCTGGAAAGTTTCCAGCTGCACGCGATGGGCGTTAAACAAATGTACTTACAGCCAGATTTACATGCAATTAGCTTTCGCGCGCGCTCGGAGCTTTTATACGGCAGAAAGCTCCGAAGAATGAATTGTCGATCGATTTACCGTCTTTATAGAGTCGTAGGCGTGCGCGCCTGTTGACTTTAATCCATGACTGATCAATCTGAGTCGCGATCTATCGATTGTCGCACTCGCTGCGATGAGACGCGAGTCGCGAGACCAAAGTTGGTGCAGATATCGAAAAAGAAGCTATCGATTAGCATGTTGAGCGTTGGTGCGCCTCCGTACCATCTCAGTCGGTTCGCCGTGTGTTCCGCGCGATATCCCTTAAAGAAAACAAACGCATTTTACAGCTGGAGTGCTTTTCGCTCTCTCAAGCTTGCCAACCTATCGCGCTGTTCGTGACGGCGCATACGACAGTTCCATCCGAATCCAAATACACCGCAAGCGACTTTCGACGTTCGATATATCGACGACTCCGCGCCAGCAACGAGCAGCGTCGCGCCCAACCGAGCCTTCGCCTGCGTCTCCTTCGTTATTTTCTTCTTTCCGCGGAAGACTCCTTTCGCGCTTACACGAGACGGAATACGCGAGTCGCGCGATCGAAAATATAAGCGACGATGAAATGCACATCGACGAGCAAGCATTGTACACACCGTGCGGATGTGCGTTGTTGCGCGAGACGGAAGAAAACTGACAGGCTCGAAACATCATTCGTCACCAGGTCGGCCTACTCTGCGAGTCTTTTTCATCGCGCGCTCATGCGTGCATCGACAAGTGGTATGGATCCGTCATCGTCGGAGGCAATTGCT